ATTAAAAACATATTTTATGGGAATTAAGTTGCATGTGTCCTTAGTCCCTCTGATGCTTTGATGTGTAAAATATTTTAAATTCACTAGAATACAAGCCCTGTTATGATGTGTGATTAAATTTAAGATGATCTTGTCTGATTGCAATACGATTTGAAATATATATAGAACAAGGATTTGAAGGAAGCACTGAGTCGCGAGAAGACTGAGGTACTAAATTTGAAGGCAGCCAAGCAGGAAGATGTGGGGCGTTGGGAGGACCTTGAACAAAGGGTGAGAACAAAGAGACTACAAGTCACTATATAACTATGACAACAATGTGAAGCATGCATTGAGGTTCAACTCACGAAGAATATGGATGATATGGCTTCCTGTCAGACAGTTGGTTAACGATAAACAATTTCAGTGTCTGCCAACCGATAAAAGAATTACATGAAAAATTTTATATCTTCATGTCAGCTAAGACAATAAACAATCCTTAAAAAAGTCTACCACATGCATGTAAGCGTGGATCAATTGTAATTCACAACGATTGGCTTGTTTTTATTGTATATGAAACAGTTCAAGACTTTAGAGGAAACACTGAAAGGCAAAAGCACTGAGAAACAAAATGAAATAAAAGCGAAGCAGGAAGAGATTGAGGGTTTGGAGAAGCTTTATCAAAACGTAAGTTGTCTAGAACATGCAAACACCTGGTGCACCGGCAGCACCTGATGTGAATATCCGCTATTTTTGAGTTTATCGAATAAGTTTATATAGCTGCCATACCTGGATTCGAATAAGCAATATGTTGAATGTATGCGGTCTTGAAATGTTGTCTTGGACTCAGTCTGATTGTAACGTTTTAAAATTCCAACATTATTATTATAGTCCCAACGTGAAAAAGATGCGTTAGAAGAGAAATTGAACGAAGAAAAAGTTGCTCACACTGCTACAACTGGAAAACTTAAAGCAGCAGAGAAGAAGGTGTAAATATAGTATAAATACTGTATCTATTCAATATAAATTATATACTATAGCTATAGTTCACAAAATTAATTTTGTATCTTAGTTGTATACCCGACTTGTATAACTAACTTTATCGGGTTAAGTACATCAAGACTTCTATCTGCAGTAAGAAGTCATATGTACGTATGTAACTTAATAGAGTTATAATATTCTTGTAAGTTTGCATGCATGGTGACATCAAATAAATAAATTAGTTTGTAGGTACACCACGTATAACTGTATTTATTACTGCAAAGCTGTCGATCGGTCCGTTAACCTGGACGAAGCTCCATCGGTGCAACTGACGGACCGAAAGCTTTCCAGTATGAACTACTTACGTTGTGTACCTACAAGCTAATTTACTTAAAAGAGTTGGTTTGGGTTTTATTTCTACTCTTTAAGTCGAGGAGCAGAGTCTGATCATTTTTCTTACAGTGATCCGTCGTCTCTTTCTTATTTAGGCTGAGCAAAAAGAGAGGGAACTAAAAAAGGATCTTCTTGTGAAAGAAAATCAACTGGTTGAATTCAGAACGGACTTTGCGCAGAAAAACAAACAACTGGATGAACTTAAATCTGATATTCAGGAGAAAAATACTCAACTAGGTGAAGTTATAAGAGAAAAAAAAAGTTTACAATCGTTGGTGGAGGAATGCCAGGTAAGACTGTTGTCAATTTCCTGAGGTTTCCTATTATTGCTAAGCTGTTTCAAACAAATATAGCCACTTTCAGGCTTCATGGCTTCATCCATAGGATTCCATAGGATAAGTCATTTTTTCTGTTGAGCAAAAAATCCGGTGCAAACCAATGCAATCAGTATATGTAATTCACTTTATATGTCACGTGCTTCAGGCTTCAAAAACTCAAGATGCCGCGACCATTGAATCATTGAAAATAAAAGCGTGTAATCTGAGAAAACTGGTTGCTCAAAGACTTTATGACTTAGAGGAAGAGGTAAACTATAAACGTTTGATGTGATATGATTTTTCCGTGTTTCTGTCTTGCGAAAAAGATTCTTTTAGCTGGAGAAACTGGGGTTCGCAATGCATTAATATTTAATACCATGCAGTTCTTCTGAACTCACGTGACTACCCTGGTGATATGATTTGACCCTCAAAGTAAATCATAATTATACATATGGTATAATGACTATAATCAGTTTGAAAGCTTTATTGTATTTATAGTTGGAACAGCAGGGGAACCGTGCCAATAATTCATCCTTGTTAATTGGGGAACTTCAACGCATGATAAACGACATTGAAAATGAAACGGAAACACTGCCATTGCGAGATGCCAGGGGTGTTCATGAACTTCATGGAGCGGTCGTAAGTTTGTTGTTGATCTATATTGAGGGGATGTCGAGGTGCTCAGATTTTGACAACCTGAGGCAATATTCCAACCTGTATTTTTAATCAAACACGAGATCAATACGTTAACGTTCAATGACTAGTGAGCAATTTAGTCATGTCCATCTTGCCGATATCGATCATTCAGTCCTACTCTCTTTTTGGACCAGGAACTGGTCCCTAACCGCTGCTAATCTTGTTGTTGTTGTTATTGTTGTTGTTGTTGTTGTTGTTGTTGTTGTTGTTGTTGTTGTTGTTGTTGTTGTTGTTGTTGTTGTTGTTGTTGTTGTTGTTGTTGTTAGGGGGCGACGCTTTTTAAAAAAACCCTAAGGCTCTATCATTACTTGTTTGATCGGAATGAAACTTGGCACAATTATTCTAAGCAATATTCCGCATCGATTGACGGAGTTCGAATTTTTACTTTTGACCGTTGAAGCAAGTTACAAGCAATTCTTGACTATATGTGCAGCAAATAATATATACATATCATTAATATTCAGCCTATATATCATTAATATTCAGCCTATATATAAGAATACGCAAACGATTAGAAATACATTGTCCTCTCTATTGTTGTAAATACAATGCAGTTCAGAAACTCGGTCACGCAGTTCCTGGTCCACTTTTGTACGATCGTACTTGTTTTATTAACGCCGGAATCATAAACCGTGTTTACAAGTTTGAGCCTGGGCCTTGTCATACAATATCTAGCTTTGAACTTGATTTCCGTGTTGTGAAAGAAGCTCAGCAAAGTCATGCCGAGGAAATCTAGGTCCTAGCTTACTATCCTATCAGAACAGATGACCCAAATTTTCAGGGCAAGGCTATCCTGAAGTGCGTTTTCACAACAATTCCATTTAGTTTAAAGCTATGTCCAGGTAACGTTTACCAACATCACCGCTGCATGGTTATCTTTTCTTTCAGAATACAGTCTCTGTTTTACGTTTTGAAGCTCTTTCGGCGCCACCAAGCATCGATTGTATTCCGTCCCTAACTGGGGATAATGTCCACGTCGTCCGCGTATAGTGACGAAAAATATGTGTTAAACGTATCTGTTTCTCAGTTTTTTTCTCACATTCTAGGGAAAACGAATAGAAAGTGAAGATAGTATTGATCCAAATTTGAAGTCAGAGAAGCTTTCCAGTTTGATGAAACTACCCAGTAGAAGTACGATATACTTTTTATACAGCGGCGTATGAAGCAGGGGCCCAAGGAGACCGCGCTTCCCCCAACCCCTAATATATCTGGGGAGGCTAGAATGTCCTTTGGCCCCTAATAATTGCCGTACCTTAATTTGAGTATTTAGTACTGAGTATTAGTACTGAGTATTTGATATTGAATATAGGCTGTAGAAACACATGTATACCTGCGCTCTTTCTGAAATGGTCGTTTTCCTAGGATCTAGACTAGAGCAATTTTAAAAATTTTTTCGCTCGGCGCCAATCAATTTTATTGCTGTTCAGACTATACCAATACCGAAGATCGAGCGCGGATGAAATTGATATTTCATACAAATTACACTTTTTCTGATACAACCTGTATATCTCGACTTTCTAGCACGTCCAGATTTATCGAAAAAGCTCATCACTACTGACGGAGGTATCATAAAGACAGCAGACGTCATTATTCGAATCGACGCTGGTTGCTTGGCTAAAGATACAGAAATTACTTTAAGAGTAGACGACCAACATGTTGATCTCAAGTCGCTGTTTGAATTGGATTTAATTCAAGGGGCTTCGAATGTTGTTGAGTTTCTCCCCAATGGTCTGAAATTCTTGAAACCAGCTGATATTTTATTCAGACATGAAAAGACGGTGTCCGATAATGAACTGCTTTTTCTACGTGGTTCTTACAACTGCAATTATCGCAGAATCGTTTGGGAACCGATGGCTAGTGATATTGAAGAGAATACAAAAGAAGGATTTGTTACTATGAAAATTGAAGGATTTTCTTTTTATTTGTTTATATTGGCGAAGCGCGGGGTTTTGGCCAGAGTTTTGAGTCACCTCAACTACTCATTTACCTGCTTTTCGTATGCTTTGTGTCGACGAGATAATGAACTGATAGACATTTTAATTGTCTTGGTGAGTGAGTTCGTTGATGAAGAAAAAGACATTAAACAATTGAACTGTCTTTATAAAGAAGGTTACTTTAAAAGTGAGAAAGGATTAGGGAAACGTGTTAAAACTGATCGTTGTCTCCAAATGTGCTTGGATCTCCCGGAATACACAGGCGGAATTTTTTCGTTTGAAGTGGACCAACCACAATTAGACTCCATCGGTTTTGTGGTTGATCATTTCAAGGGAATCTCAATTAAGTATCCAGCAAAAGAAAATGTTAAGATATGCGAAGTTCATTCAGAGGAGAATTCAACAGCTGAAAACGAAATTCTGTGGGTATTAAAAATTGATGAAACGAAAGAAAGGGCGATAAAGACGAAATCTTGCGGTAATTCAAATCGATTAAATTTCTGTTCTTTTGAAAAGCTGAAGTAAAAGACCTTTTCAGCTTGCAAATTAACCCATTTATTACATATTAATCATGAATTAATTTTATTTCTTTAGTAATGCTTTATTATGTTATACGTTACTTGATTTTACTGTGCTTTTATGTCTAATTTTACTCCGCTATGCCTATAGTCACTGACAGTTTCACAATTTTTTAGTGCCACCACCACCACCACAACCAAAAGATCTGGACTTAGAAGGTATTTTTTCTTAAAGTATACATTACTCATGCAACGTCTTTGTGATTGCATGCGCATTTAAACGACGAATACATAATTCGTTAACAAAAGGTTAAATCTACGTGCAACAGTACTAAAATTTTCGGGGTACGCCGACTGAAAGGAAAATGATACCTGAACCAAAGCTACCTTTTGTCATTCCAGTGAAAATGGTGTTGACATCAGAAATAATCACTATATTTTGGAAAAGCTCTTGTCGGCTGGTGTTCATTTGCAATCAACATTACAATGAGTTCACTATAAAAGCTCACTCACACTCAAACTCATTGAGTGTGATATCTTAATCTTCTCATAACGTTTCAATGGCGGTATTTCCAGCCAAATAGGGGCTTGATTTTCACTGATTTACCTTATATCTTTCCATCTATTCAGAGAAAACTTTCTCATTGAACAGCTTTTTGAATACAGGGGCCGGTTGTATCAAGCCCGTTTAGCTTAAACGGTGGATAAGTCAAAATTAAATAACACTCTTACATCTCTCTTGAATAAGTCAACTTGAATATTATGCACTGAATATGTAGTTTTAAACAGTATCTTTGTATTAAGGTTAAAAACATTTAGTTTCCTTGTTGAATAAAACGATAGACTTGCTTTCTATTTTGAACTAAACCACCGTTTAAGCTAAACGGGCTTGATACAACCGGCTCCAGGCGTATATATATAGTTCACAACCGATAATGTTAAAAAAATCGAATCATTTCATTGTACTTATTATTTCACACTTTGTTTCAGACGGATCCACGGAACCAAAAGGTGAGTTTTAATATACATTCATATGTGTAAATTTCACGGAATGTTGCGTCTTATTTTCCACGGAATTCCTTGCAACATATTTATTGCAAGAGTATGATTTATAAGATTAACACCTGCATTTCAAATTAAACTAAATAACGTGTTATCAATACAAGAGAACCGCATGATTTGATCACTTGAAATTATATATATCCCTATAAAGTTATACGCCGGAACACGAAACTCACACGAGTGGAAATAACGAGGGTGAGTCGTATGGTTGCGATGGATTGGGACAGTCTTGCCGGGCTCTTGGATATTCCATATGAAGAACGTGAGGAAATCAGAACCAACTATGCAAAATATCCTGATTCTCCGTCGAAAGCGGAAGAAGTTCTCAATCACTTCAATGGCAGCGATTGCTTTGGTCGAGATATTTTTGGAAAATGCGTCGATGAATTGGGAAGGCATGATTTAATAAAAAAATTACATCTTATGGAGGACGAGGTATATTTAATGCTTAGAACATATGATCTTTGCCTTGATCTTAAAGTCTTCACCAAGTCTTCTAAACGATTCTCTTTGAATGTGGCTGAATAATAAGTAAATGATAATTTAATAAGTACCTCAAATTCAGGTTCTTCTTTGAACAGGATGAAGAAGCTTTGGGTGATAAGTGGAAAGAAAAAACTGCTTTGGAAATTAATGCCAATAATGGGGTTACTAATGAAGAAATTCCTCCCGAAAGTCAGCCTCTCTCACCTCGTGAAATGTACAGACTAAGTCGACGTATTGCGGTTGACTGGGACAGTCTTGCTGGCCTCATGGACATCGCCAAGGAGGAAAGGGATGATATAAGACGCAACATTCGCATTTACCATGACAATCGGTCGCAAGCGGAGAAAATTTTATCGATTTTCAACCGCAGGAGAGACTTTTCACGTAAGAAGCTGATAGAATGCTTGAAAGAGCTCAAGAAGATAGACATTATTCGACCAATTGTCACAGGAGAATGGAAAGACTTGTAATTGTCAAGTCGTCTACAACATAACTTACCCTTTCGAAAATTCATCTATCCCACTCATCCACATCAGACTCACCACCGCGCCAGTACTGGTATTTACTGTACACTGATGACTCGTAGACGCTATATGTATATAATTATATATAGCGTCATCATACACATGCAGATATACTGATTACGTTTGACATTCAGGTTGAGATATTGCTGGTCAAATCACTTTGACGTTTTGAGAACGGTTTTTATGCAAAGATAATGTGAAAGGTTCGTCTTAACATGGGCAATGAAAATATTTTATTTAAAAACCGCTGCCTGAAAATGCCCTCTAGCTGACCTGGATTGAACAATTGTTAACCAACTTCATTTCCTTGTTAATAAAAAATGTAGTTTGTAAATTTTCAACGAACATAATTATCAGAATATTTAAAATCATTGTTCAGTTCAATAGATTTCCTCCAGAACTCTTCAGTCCTCTCATGTATTTCCAGGGCTCGATACCCAAAGCATTGAGGACAGTCACTGGCATATCCACATGCATTTGTTTGTCCATATCCACGTTCTTGATTCCTGGCTAAAAATAATGCTAAGCGAACGACTGGAAACAGAATGAGATACAACAATTTAATTCTTTTAGATGACCAACCCCGTTTTACATGACAAGTGACAAAACATTTACACATCAGGTGGTCAATAGAATATTTTCACCGGCAGCCACGCATGCAAACACTATAATTTCTTCTGCGACACAACATCGATCCTCATTTCCTATATACGTTTCCGTCTTTGCTTGATCAGAAGAAGTACGTTAGTTTCGACCTAAGGGCCTTCGTCAGAGAGTTAGTTCATACCAACGCCTAAACTAAGCAAGAGAATGGCCCAGAACCAAGAACCTTGTTTGAAAGGACAAAACAGAGCTTTGGATGTAAGTCTTGTGATTTTTATCTATTTCGCATTTTTAATTGCGACATGCATTCACAAAGTGAAACTCATTCAGCATTCATTCATTACAGCCCATTTACTTCCGAGTTTGCTCAACTTAGAAATTATTTGTGTAACTAACCAACATACTATTTAAAGTATACCGACTTCTTGTTGATATCGACATGAATATTGAAAATGTTTAAGGATTTTTCAGTTGGCTGACATAGTCGAATTTAAAGGCGTGCTATAGGCGATCAAAACATTATGACGCATCAACAATTCTATAGATATTATAGCCAATTTTGGTATAACCGTTGATGCAGGCCTAATAACTCATAGCAATACATCTTTATTTTTAGGAGGTTTCTATTGAATCTGTTAAAACAACTAGTGCACTGCCTAGAAATGCCCGTGGAAGTGCGAATGAAACAATGGAAATAGAAAATTCCAAGATCAAACCCGCTTCGTTTCAAACTGGCTCTGTTCAACAGTTTGAACAGAAGGGATCTGATGGGACTCCAGAAGAACATCAAGTGGTATAAATTCACTAATAACTTTAAGGCCTATTTAGACTACACGTTGAGTTGTATGCAATGATTATTCTAACGAATGGAAACGAAATTATTTCGTAAACTTGCGGAAATTGAAAGTGTCATGATTTGTACGCGTGCCTTATAATATGTGCCAGGGCTTCCCGGCTAAAATCGCATAGTATGGACCTTTAAAGGTGTTGTGTGGTAAATTCATTGCCAATGGGACGTTAATTGCATGAGATGCAAAATTATTGAATCTAATAATTTCTCCAAATTAATTGAACATTTCATATTTGATTTTAAATCTGCTGTAATTCCATCTTGTATAGGAAACTAAATTCACTTTTAGTAAATCAACTGTTCAAACAACTGGCAGTCTGTCTGAAAAACAAAGTCAAGGTGCGAGTAAGACTAAGATCTGCCCTTCGTCTCAACAAAGTGGCCTTGTTCAACAGGAGGTATCTGGTCCGACTCCAGAAAAACATCATGCGGTAAATTCATAACTTCAGTTGTGTTACGGCTGCTGCTCGTACTTTAAACCAACCTTAAATGCATGCATGGTGTGTGATAAGTTCACTGTAAATGTTTAAGTTCAGATTCAGGCAATACTGATTGAATTTTTCATTTGCTAATTCTATCTTGCATACATTCATTTTGTAGGGAAGCCGCGAGGAAACAACTGTTGAAACCACTAGTTTGGATCAACAAACTGACAGTATTCAACACACAGGATATTGTGCGACTCAAAAGGATCAAGTGGTAAATCCATAACTTTAGTAGTGTGACGCCTGGTCGTATACTTTCAAGTTTCAATCAATCTTAAAAGGTCGCGTGATAAATTCATTGCTGATGGGAAGTTCTGATTCATGCAAAATTACTATATCAAAATTCTTGGAATTAATCTCGTAATGCACGAAGCCAGCTAGATCTAGAATTTAGAAGCACTTCTATACCGACGTTTTCTTTTGCGCTTCAGCTTTAAGCTGAAATGACGCGCGTTCAGCGGTATCTTAGAAAGAAAAAACGATAAAAGTGTATGCATAATGATGCAAAAATCCGTGCATCGGTGCATGTTGATATATTTTCAACCATAGTTGCATGTGTCCTTAGTTCCTTTGATGCTTTGATGTGTGAAATATTTTAAATTCACTATAATACAAGCCCTATTATGATGTCATGATTACATTTAATATGATCCTCTCTTATTGCAGTACGATTTGAAATTTATAGATCAAGGAAACACTGATACGCGAGAGGGCTGTGAGCGCAGCGAAACAGGAAGTTATAAAGCGTTTGAAAGACCTTGAACAAAGGGTGAGTGGTCAAAACTACAAGTCACTATAGTCCAATACTTTATGACAACAATGTGAAGCATGCATTGGGGATCAACTTATAACCAAGATCAGTATACTTTCATGATGTTCCTGTCAAACAGCTGGTTCACGATAAACTATTTGTCGTCCTGGGGCCGGTTGTATCAACGGCGTTTAGCTTAAACGGTGGATAAGTTCAAACTAGAAATCAAGTCTATCGTTTTATTCAACAAGCAAACTAAATGTCTTTAACCATAATGCAAAGATACTGTTTACAACTACATATTCAGTGCATAATATTCAAGGTGACTCATTCAAGAGAGATGTAAGAGTGTTATTTAATTTTGACTTATCCACCGTTTAAGCTAAACGGGCTTGATACAACCGGCCCCTGTTAACCGAGAAAATAGCCAACATGAAAGATTTTATTTATGTCAGAACACAATAACCAATTCATGGGAAGGTCGATGTTATTTGGGACGATCTATACTCAGGGCGTAGCATGACTATATTAGTAGTGCAAGGTTTGATTAATATAATTTCTGACTTTATCGAATTTTATCGCTTTTCGAGCATTTTTAGAACGGTTGAAAAGATCACTATCCATGCAGTGGATAATGCAATCTGGCTTTCATGCAACCGGCCCCCGGTATCTACTCTTTAGCCGTCTGAATGGAAAAGCAGTCATTTTCCTAACAGCCATTCCACGCTTGTTTTAGGTTGAGGAAAAGGACAGGGAGCTGGGTGAACTGAAAAATGATCTTCACTTGAAAGAACATGAGCTGGGTAAATGCAGAACAATCATCGAGGAAAAAAACACTCAACTGAGCGAAATCAAATTTGAAATTAAGCAGAAAAACATTCAACTGGGTGAACTCAAATTAGACGTTGAGCAGAAAAACATTCAACAGGGTGAACTCATATCAAAAGTTAAGCAGAAAAACACTCAACTGAGGGAATTCATATCAGACGTAGCGCAGAAAAACATTCAACTGAGTGAACTGAAATCAGACGTTGGGCAGAAAAACACTCAACTGCGTGAACTGAGGTCAGAAGGGGAGAAAAAAGACACTCAACTGCGTGAACTGAGGTCAGAGGGTGAGATGAAAGACACTCAACTGCGTGAACTGAGGTCAGAAGGTGAGAGGAAAGACACTCAACTGCGTGAACTGAGGTCAGAAGGTGAGAGGAAAGACACTCAACTGCGTGAACTGAGGTCAGAAGGGGAGAAAAAAGACACTCAACTGCGTGAACTGAGGTCAGAAGGTGAGAGGAAAGACACTCAACTGCGTGAACTGAGGTCAGAAGGTGAGAAAAAAGACACTCAACTGCGTGAACTGAGGTCAGAAGGGGAGAAAAAAGACACTCAACTGCGTGAACTGAGGTCAGAGGGTGAGATGAAAGACACTCAACTGCGTGAACTGAGGTCAGAAGGTGAGAGGAAAGACACTCAACTGCGTGAACTGAGGTCAGAAGGTGAGATGAAAGACACTCAACTGCGTGAACTGAGGTCAGAAGGTGAGAGGAAAGACACTCAACTGCGTGAACTGAGGTCAGAAGTTGAGAGGAAAGACACTCAACTGCGTGAACTGAGGTCAGAAGGTGAGAGGAAAGACACTCAACTGCGTGAACTGAGGTCAGAAGGTGAGAGGAAAGACACTCAACTGCGTGAACTGAGGTCAGAAGGTGAGATGAAAGACAATCAATTGCGTGAACTGAGGTCAGAACTGAGGTCAGAAGGTGAGATGAAAGACAATCAACTGCGTGAACTCGAATCAGAAATCGAGCGCAAAAACAGTCAACTGGGTGAACTTACAAGAGAGAAAAATGATTTACAATCTGCGGTAAATACATACGAGGTAAGACTATCCCACTTCAGAAGTTCACAAGATAGCCTGAGCGCAGGTTTTGTTTATCCTGATCGCTGACAACTTACTGCTGTTGACTATATTTGGGCCGTTTACGGGAAAATACAGAACTGAGGTCTTCCTGTATAGTGTATACTGACCGAATGCCATAGGACTGCATGCAATACGGTCTATTATTATATGGCAAGCGCTTGTTTTGGTTAATTCTGCAATTTGATTGGCTGCTGACAGGTCCGGATTTCCCCGTATTGCCCACGGGCAATACGCAATTCTTATTGCCCTGTGAAAACAAGGCAAAACTCACGGCAAAAACTAACTAAATTTAAACTGAAAAACAGATTAAATTCTTAAATGGAAAATAATGAATTTGAAATAAAAATAATAAATTTATATTTTACAAAATAGAGCGGTTTTTTTACACTTTAGGCCGATGTTTTGGTGTCGTGTGCCCGGATGAGATTGATCATTAAAATTACTCATAAAGAATTAATCATTACAATGTCTGCATGAAATATGCCATATAATAAAAAACTTACTAACTTCGACTGTTCGGTCTGTACGGTAAAATATCAAACCTCGGTCTTGGTGTATTGACCTCGCTATCGCTCGGTCAATACGGCAAGAACTCGGTTTGATATTTTACCGTACAGACCTCACTCTCAGTCAGTAAGTTCTTAATATTTTTTCATACAGCCAGGAATAGCAAACGCAAGTAAGTTTTTATTTTATGGCGTACTTTATAAATTGTTAGTTAATAACTCGTGACTGATCATTATGGGATTTGCAATTTTCCTCCTATAGTTTTTTCATATCATTTGTTTCTGTGAGATGTATTCTGTAAATCCGGTAAAAACCATACAGTATATATGATGTGCTTCAGGTGTCACAAACTCAAAATGCCGCCACTTGTGAATCATTGAAAAGAAAACTGTGTAATCTGAAAAAAATAACTGATGACTTAAGAACCAGTCATGATGATTTAGAGGAACAGGTAAATTATAAATATTTTATGTGAAATTATTTTCCGTGCCTCTGTCTTTATTAGCTGGTGATACTAGGCACTCATTTGACCCTGAAATAATGCCCCATCCTGGTATATTTAGCTGGAACAGCAGGGGAACCATGCCACTGATTTATCCTTGTTAACTGCGGAAATTCAACACATAATCGACGACATTGAAAGAGAAAGAGAAAGAGAAACGGAAACACTACAAGTAGCGGTCGTAAGTTTGTTGTAGTTATACTGATCTAAATTGAGGTGCTCAGATTTTAAGAACGGTGTATCAGTTAAAATATATCGCCTTTAAGATAAAGATTAAGATTAAGATACGGCCCTGAACCGTTAATCCGCCACCTATATTAGACAACACTTAGATGTGATATGATACGATTGTGAATACGCATTAATTTGGTTATCTTTTCTTTCAGGATGTAATCCCTGTTTTACGTGTTGAAGCTCCTTCGCCATCAACCATCAATTGCATTCCGCCCGTAACTGGGGATAATGTCCACGACCCGAATGAGGAATAGAATTGGTTTGTGGAACACTGCAATGAATCAGCCATAATACTGGTAAAGCATAATCATAATGGTCTTATATTCAAATCTTTCCATGTCGTCATGAGTGGGTAAGACGCTCTATTGCTTTGCTGGGATATTGACCGCTTAACATCCAATTCAGGCAATTCTATGATGCGAAATGAGAACTATTTTTCGAACCAATTACGAACCGGTGAAATTTGAATACGAAAAATGATATGTTTAGTAATTATTTTGTGCACTAGCAGGTACTACGCACAGCACAAATATTCTCACTGGCTTCGTGAGAATGATGTCTAAAATGGTGCCATTTTTAATATTGGCAGGGAGGCGATTGCTCTATTTACGGTACTTGCTGAGTGATGATGAATCACACCGTACGAAAAAAACAATGCATGGAGTTGTTCTTCTGGGGACGGTTGTATCAAGCCCGTTTAGCTTAAACGGTGGATAAGTTCAAAATAGAAAGCAAGTCTCTCGTTTTATTCAACAAGCAAACTTAATGTTTTTAACTTGATGCAAAGATACTGTTTACAACTACATATTCAGTGCATAATATCCAAGTTGACTCATTCAAGAGAGAGCTAAGAGTGTTATTTAATTTTGACTTATGCACCGTTTAAGCTGAACGGACTTGATACAACCGGGCCCTGATAGGTATTTTGTGGTTGAGCCTACTCTTTGGCTGAGCTTTTGGCTGCCCATTACACTTTTTTGGCTGAGAGAGACTCTATTCCGTAGCCGTAGGTCCTCTGTGAGCATGTTGGAGACTGAATGACGAGAAATATCGGACCGAGGTCTTTTTAAACAGACCGAGCTCGATCGAAAAGCGAGGTTTGTACAAAAAGATCGAGGTCCGATATTTCTCGGTAAAAACCGAGCAAGCGAGGCTAATAAAAAGTCAGTTATTATATGGCATAAGGCATGTATTTGCACTTGAAACAAAAAGAAATGTGTGAATTCGCTATAGTATAGCCTGGTACACAAAAACTAAACAAAATATTGAATTATTTAACTAAACTGTCTGGAGACGTCTTATTACTTTCAAAAGCAATTAAATTTTCTCTTGAGCATTTATTTGTGCCTTATTCATTCAGAAGATCTCTGCCGGTTTTTCATCTCGTAATGGATCGCCGCTAACGCCGGTTATATAGAAACATGCGTGGGAGTTTGGGAGAACGAGGAATAATCAGTGGGAAAATGAGCCCGTATGGCGAGTTTTTTCACGTTAATAACGTTATTTCGAGTTCTCCCAAACTCCCACAAGTAATTATATAACTGTATAGAAACACAGGAAAAATGTTTTCTATTTCTTTTATAATATAACTCAATAAAAAGATTTTGTACAAATATTATAATTCGATTTAATTAGAAATTTTCATAACATTACTTCGCTTGTCAAGTTCGGCGGGAAGCTGTCCCGTGTTTCTATACAGTTATAACAAACCTTTAGTTTGACGCGGCAATTTCGCTAAATTACAAACGTTTTACATATAAAGCTTGTGCATGATGTTCAGCAGTAATGTAAAAAAGCAATAGGCTATTTCTGATGTATTTATAATTAAGCCCGGTTTGAGTTTGAAACTTCAGCCCGGGCTGAAATTTCAGACCTGGTAGGTAATTCTGACGTGTCATAACATAGCCCGGACTGAAACTTGCCATGTAATTGAAAAATACTTATAGAGATTATAAATAACACTATTAGTTATTTATAATCTCTATGCATGGTATATATATGTGGTCGACACCGGTCAAAGTCTATATAGCAACCAGTGAGCTCACTGATAGAAACACGCTTCTTGACCAATCAGCGCGCTAAGAAACAGAAAACATTTTCCGTGTTTCTATACAGTTATAGAAACACGCGTGGGAGTTTGGGAGAACTCGAAATAACCAGTGGGAAAACGAGCCCTTATAGGGTGAGTTTTTCCTCGTTATTTCGAGTTCTCCCAAACTCCCACAAGTGTTTCTATAACTGTATAGAAACACAGGAAAAAATGTTTTCTATTTCTTTTATGATATAACTCAATAAAAAGATTTTGTACAAATACTTGTGATTTAATTACAAATTCTCATTACATCGCTTCGCTTGCCAAGTTCGGCGGGAAAATTCCCTATTAGAAAATTCCCAGTTATAGAAACACGCTTCTCGACCAATAAGCGCACGCACGTACAATAATGATATATAAAGCGAAGGATAACAAATAATAAGCGAAGGATAATAGAGGGACTACGAGCAGTCTAGCGCTCACTATAAATGAAAAAATATTTCAAACGATTTTAAACTTACAGGTAAGCCTCGTTTAATTTCATAATATATTGGTAGTGCTACATGAGTGGATCTTTGCCACCAGAACTTTAATTTCTGATGATTGTGGATAGGATTTTCATTTTGTGAATGACGATTCAAATTTACCGATTTATTAATTTTTGTCATGAATTGACAGTATATTGACACATTTACTCTTAATTACACACTATATCGCGCACATGATTGGTTAGTTACGAAAGGATTACACTCGCACTAGTGGTAACGGGGACATTGGGAATATTTTCAGAGATATAACACTCTTGTATATAGTTCGGATTCACTTGTCTTTGAGCTTGTGCGTTCTTTGTATAAACAATATATATATTCAAAACTATGGTGTAGATCGTCTATGATTTTATCGGAAGAACCTACGCATTCTCGTTTTCGTCGTACTAATTGACACAACGCAAGACTTGGTATTTCGAGTGACGAACGAGACATTTTTAATAGCATTTTATATTTATTATTGAAGCGATTGCAGAATACCCGCTATTTTTTAAGCGATGCCTTTAACTGATACCATGGATACGTGGATACGTAGTTAAATTATTTTTCTAATATTAGAAAGAACGAAGCATATATAATTAATATAATATAATATAGTAATAGCATATATTAATATAATATAGTTAATATAAAAACATGAGAAATATATGACGTAAGATAAATGTAGGTATATAAAGCTTTGTGTGGATACGCAGTCGTAATATATGATTTAAGATAAATGTGAATTAGATAAAATTATGAAAGAACTATCGAAGAAAATTATATATACGTATATAAATTCATGATTGAAGGCCATTGCAAAACAAAAAACCTAAACACACATACACACACACACAAATGTATTCAAAATAGACACAAACACAGGGTCGTAAACTGTAGCTCAAAAATTTGTTGTTGAAGTGTATATATGCATGGCTCCAATGGCATGCAATTGTTAAGATCATATCAGTCCATGATTATAGATTTTTTAGATGCCATAAATTATATGATTATCTTGCTTGGTGGTTGAATTGTGAAGCCTTGTGTTTTAGGACTTGAACCACAACTGTCATGTCGACTTCACGCCGTCCCCGTTCAGTTAGCATGAATGCAGGTGAGATTATCATGGATTCTGAGGTCAACCTATAAAATTACCCATTGTTTTCATTTGTAATGAATGATAATAATTCGTTAGAACAGGGTACATTCTTTCCTTACGTAGGAAATAATGGACCTAGTGAAATAATGGTGAAAAATTGTCAAGATGAGGTGAGTATGTGAAATAGCTTTATAATAATATATATAACATTGTAAAGCTGGTCTTGTAACTTTGAAGATGTCCTCGTTGTTGCATGTTTCTTCATTCTAAATTTAAAATTTTATAATTTACACACATGTACAAACTACAGGATGAAAAGGGGGACAAAGAAAAGAATAAGGTTAACATTTCAACCCAAAAAGAAGACAATGTTAAACTAAGGCAAGAAAAAGATGAAATGAACAAAAGAAAAACTGAAAGAGACAGGGTAGAAGCTAAACAGAACAAAGTAAAAGATGAAAGAGATGAGGTAACAATTGTTTATATAAGCAATACATATGTCCAGCAAAGTGTATGGAAAAAGCCATAAAGACGACAAGAATATGGATGTAAAATTTGCTAATGTTAAATTCTAAAAGACAAAACATTAAAACTTTATAAATGTTTATCTACATAACTACATTCTTAGTTTTTATAGCTCATTTAGGGTTGCGTTGCGGGTACGCGGGTACCACCCGGAGGAAGGTTTGTTTTGCCGGAATGAGTTTGTAAGGAAGGCTCAAAGTTGAACACTCTAATTGATCACATGCATGTACCAAAAAACCAATTTTTTTATGCTGGTTGCCACTTGACTCAGTGACGTGACGTCATTTTGAGGAAGGTTTTCAAAACTTGAAATTTTGAACATGGTTGAACTCTTTTTGCGACTCTGGTCGGTTCACATTTACCGTTGTCTAATATAAAAGACGAGGAAACAGTTATTTCCAAAATTATTATAGTTTCATTCCAAGTATTGTTTTTTCAGATTAATAACAGAAGCTAATTGTACTGCTTATACATATATTTTGTAGGATGTTTAATTCAATTTCCTAAAACCATTTTTCAAGACGCTTGTTTCAAACCCTTGAATTGTTTCAGCTCCAATTTGAAAAGGACAAATTAGAACGTGAATTACGAAAAAAATCAGATGCCTACACGGCTGTATCTACAGAACTTTTAGAGATAAAGAAACAGAGAGAAAATTATGAAATGTCAATAAAAGCATTAAATGAAACGATCGAAAACGATAAAAAGCAGAAAGAACAGGTAATTTTTTACACTGAACATTATGTAGTTTTTTATTACGCGATGCAAAATCACACAAGTGTTATTTGTACAATGAGATGGTAAAACTATATGATTAGACAGGAAAAGACAAAGCTATATGCATGCATTATGCATCCAGTCACTTAATTTGGAAAGAATAACTGATTTATAATTTATGAACAATATGTGTTAGTAAAATTAACTGGGTTGATGAAAATTTGAGATGTTAATTGTCTACCAAAATAAAATAAAAATTGCGCTTATTATTATAGTTACAACAAGAAAAAGATGAGTTTGAAACAAAATTGGAAAAAGAAGAAGATGCCCACTCTGCTACAACGAAAAAACTTGAAGCAAAAAAACGGAAGGTAAATATATGCCGTGTTTCATTGAAGAAGAAGTGCATGCATCAGCATTTCTTGGGTGCATGAGCATGGCTGAAAGGTGCTGTTACACAGGGCAATATATATAGTAAAGCATACATTGAGGTTCCACTCGCCAATATATGGCTTCATGATGTTCCTGTCAAACAGCCGGTTTACCATAAACCATTTGTCTGTCCTCCCAACCGAGAAAATAATTAGCCTGGCAACATAAAATATTTTATTCGTCTCAGAACCCAATAACCAATCCAAAAATAGTGCTACACGTGGGAGAGAATGAGAAGGTAGATCTCATTTGGGACGATCCATATACTCAGGGGTGTAACTCTAGGGGGGGGGGCGGATGGTGCAACTTCAAAGTTCTGCCGACGAACACGTGGGACCCTGAAGTGCATCTAAAAAAATATATAGCCTTTTGCTCAGTTCGTACAAATTGAAAAGCTTAAAACGATTTATCAACAGACGAGTGAGGCGACTTGTCACATTATCGCAAGCAACTAAGCAAAAGTTAAACTTTATTAACAAAAGCAAAATTATACTTTTTACCGACGCTTGTGTGCTATTATCGACCTACGTCGCGTGGTTTAACCGACCACCTTGCCAAAACTGGGGTGTAGCACCCCCTTTCCCCACGCACACTACGCCACACCCACAGTATATGGTGATATTGCAACCATATAACAGTGTCAACTGACGTTGAAAAACTTGAAATACAAGTTTTAGTAAAAATGTCACTCTCTATTCCATGTATTAGCGTTTAATATAATAAAAAAATATTGTTACATAATCACAATGATGTGATTATGACCGCATGTAATTCACGAAAATTAGCTTATTTTTATTGTATATGAAAAGCTTAGACCACCTTGTTACCAAATTAACAGAAATAGTGTCTTTTTTCTGGATAGTTTACGACTCTTGAAATACTGTTCAATATCTATTCATTCAATGAATGTGATATCGAGGATGTAGTTCGCAAGATTAATCTTGTATATCTGCGTTGTATAACTAACTTTATTAGGTTAGGTATACATCTAGACTTCTATCTGCAGTTTTTATCTCTTGTATCTACTTTTAACGCGTCTGAATGGAGAAGCAGTCTGATTATTTTCCTTACAACGACTCCACGCTTGTTTTAGGCTGAGCAAAATGAGAGGGAACTGGGTAAACTAAAAGCTGATCTTAACTCGAAAGAAAATGAATTGGCTAAATTTAAAACAATCATCGAGGAAAAAAACAATCAACTGGGTGAATTCGAATCAGAAATTGAGCAGAAAAGCAGCAAACTGCGTGAACTGAGTTCAGAAATTGAGCGGAAAAACAATCAACTGGGTGAACTGAGGTCAGAAGTTGAGAGGAAAAACACTCAACTGGGTGAACTGAGTTCAGAAATTGAGCGGAAAGACGCTCAACTGGGTGAACTGAGGCCAGAAATTCAGAGGAAAAACACTCAACTGGGTGAACTGAGATCAGAAGTTCAGAGGAAAAACACTCAACTGGGTGAACTGAGGTCAAATGTTGAGCGGAAAGACGCTCAACTGGGTGAACTGAGGCCAGAAGTTCAGAGAAAAAACAATCAACTGGGTGAACTGAGGTCAGAAGTTGAGCGGAAAAACAATGAACTGGGTGAACTGAGGTCAGATGTTGAGGGGAAAGACGCTCAACTGGGTGAACTGAGGTCAGAAGTTCAGAGAAAAAACAATCAACTGAGTAAACTGAGGTCAGAAGTTCAGAGGAAAAATAATCAACTGGGTGAACTCGAATCAGAAATTGAGCGGAAAAACAATCAACTGGGTGAATTGAAGTCAGAAGTTGAGCGGAAAAACAATCAACTGGGTGAATTGAAGTCAGAAATTGAGCGGAAAAACAATCAACTAGGTGAATTGAGGTCAGAAATTGTGCGGAAAAACATTCAACTGGGTGAACTGAGGTCAGAAGTTGAGCGGAAAAACAATCAACTGGGCGAACTGAGGTCAGATGTTGAGAGCAAAGACAATAAACTGGGTGAACTCGAATCAGAAATTGAGCGGAAAAACAATCAACTGGGTGAACTCGAATCAGAAATTGAGAGGAAAAACAATCAACTGGGTGAACTCGAATCAGAAATTGAGCGGAAAAACAATGAACTGGGTGAACTTACAAGAGAGAAAAATAATTTACAATCTGCGGTAAGTGCATATTAAGACTAATCCACTTTAAAAATCGAGATTCACAAGATAACCTGTAACCAAACGTATAAGGTTTTCCATATTCTGATCGCTGAAAACCTACTGTTGTTGACTATATATTAGGGCCGTTTACGGGAAAATACGGAACTGAGGTCTCGCTGTAAACTACTAACCGAGTGCCATAGGACTGCATGGCATACAGCAAGCCTCAGTCTAATATTTTCTCATACATCAAGGAACAATGAAGGCCAGAATGAAGTTTTCATTTTATGGTTTACTTTATATAATGTCGCTGATAAATTGATAATGAATGTCACATGCACGTTAGTAACTCGTGACAGATCATTATGGGATTTACAATTTTCCTCCTTTTTCCTCAGCTTTCCCTGAATATTGCTTAGCTGTTTTAACAAATAGCTCACATTCAGGCTACGTATACATCCATAGTTTTTCATATCATTTCTTTTTGTGAGTTGTATTCCGTAAATCCGGTGCAAACCAATTCAGTATATGTAAGCCACTTCTAGCTATATGTAATGTGCTTTACTGGTTTCCGCACAAATATGATCATCGAAAAGAAAAGTGTGTAATCTGAAAAGTTAGAGGAACAGATAAATTAGAAATATTTAATGGTTTATCGGTGTCGCTGTCTTGCGAAATAGATTTTTTTAGCTGGTGAGACTATATAGGGCTCGCAATACATTAATACCAGTTCTTCTGAACTCACGTGACTACCCTAGTGATATGATTTTACCATCAAAGCATGCTTCATAAATTCACATATGGTTTCTTCAAGACTGTAATCGAATCTCGGTGTATTTATAGCTGGAACAGCAGGGAGTGCAACTAGAAAATGCCGAGAACCGCGCCGCTGATTTATCCGAGTTACTTCAGGCAATTCAACACATAATCGACGACATTGAAAATGAAAGAGAAAGAGAAGCACTACAATTACATGAAGTGGGCGTGGGTTTGTTGTAGTTATATTGATCTTTATTAGTTAGAATATCACCTGTGTCCTGTGAGGTTTTAAATTTTCGAAGACTTTTTGCTGCGATTTTATGTGCAATTTTCTTCTTTTGATAGATGTGAACGAGCGATAATGAATTACGAATATAAAAAGGCAACACTTAATATTCATGATGGCTGATGAATGAATTACAAGGCTGACAAGCCATTGTGATCCCGGTCCCAGAGGCCTAAAAGCTATTGTGGTTAAGAACAATATGAATTTTAGACTGTTAAGTGTTGCCTTCTTTTTATACACCCTGTACAAGAGCTCCTACTTGAACAACCGTAACTTCGGTAACTAATTCACTCATTCACATCTATCATAAGAAGAAAATCGCAGCAAAAATCGCAAGTATAAACCTATAAACCTTAGCCTACCGGCCCCGAGCTGTTAATCCGCCCCTTATCGGAAAATAGTTAGATGTATGATTCAATTGTAAATACGCATTAATTTGGTTATCTTTCTTTCAGGATGTAATCCCTGTTTTACGTGTTGAAGCTCCTTCGCCACCAGCCATCAATTGCATTCCGTCCGTTATTGGGGATAATGTCCCCGAACCAAATGAGGAATAGAATTGGCTTGTTATATGAAGGAAATTTTTTAGATTGTGAAACACTTCAATCAGCCATAATACTTGTAAAGCATAATGGTAAGGGGCGTACCGCTTTTTACAAAATGGTCCGCAAATTGATATACGGATTTGATAGTTGTAGGTTTTTAAACAAAGGCGTGAATTCGGTAATTTGTGGGTCATGACATCAAGCGTCGTACGGGTGCAATGAACGACCGCTAGTAGATAAATAAAAATGCGTGTGAATATTATTGTCTACGATGTAGTATTTTTAAGTTAATTGATTCGTCTATGTAGCTGTATATTCGTGATTTATTCGTGATACACAATTAAACTGTTTATGAACTAATTACGAACCTCTGAAATACAAAAATAATAATTTTTTTAATTATTTTGCGACTGCACTAGAAGGTGCTGGTGGGATCGACAGGGTGTCCCAAAAAATGTCCCCCCTATTGCTTTTGTGGGAATTTGAATGCATGATCAATGCGGTAGTGTGTAAATAGCATAGGGTAGCAGGGTCTTATCAGATTCCTGAGGTTATCGTAATATTAAGGCAATCAGATTCTAACAAAGGCTTGATTTGAATAGAGGGGACTTTTTTTTGAGACACCTGTATAATGTCAACCAGAGCATCTTTTAAGGATTAATTCTCCAACACTTTTATTCTGCAAGTCGATCTTCATTCAATGTAATTGTACTAATATCATCTCTCGAGCACAAAGACAGTGTCTTTCCTACTAGATAGATCAGTAGAACCACACGGAACAGTTCATTCGTTTGATTTGAAGAGCTAGCCGAGTTCCGGTAGATTTATGGATATTGAAGAATCTTTACCCTCTGGGACCTAAAATGGCAACGCAAAAATAAAAATCTTTTGAAATGCCTTTTCTTAATCGACGTGGAAATGCTGTGAAATGCCACACTTTTGTTTTGACATCGTCTTGTGTTTAAAGCAATGCCAATGGAATGCGTGGGTGAAGATGCTGACTTTTCATCCTGATAGAATCTTAGCAGTATTGTTTATTGTAAAGTATTGTTTCCTAAACTGAGGAAACTGACTATATTGTCGAAATAAATGTTGTTTCCCATCCTTTTGAGTTACCCGTAAGTATCACTGATAAGACAAGACTATCGAAAGATCAACTCACGACAATTGTGTTACAGAACAATCCGAATTATCAAAGTCGATGGCGTTATCGCCTTAATCCTTATGATCGTTCGTGCACGCTTTATTGGTTTTGCCGTCGAAATTTCATTGGTACGATGGCTTACAGCAATCTTGGATTCGTTTAAAAGGTGATGTAGAACATTTCAAGAACATGTTTAAAACTTTATGATTGCATGTTTATACGTTGAGTCATTTTACTAATTCTCTATCGGTAAGCTAGCAATCTGATCGCGTGCTATCAATATACACAACTCTGCCTTTGGCATAGCGCTTTGAAATTTGGCGTGCCAGTGGAAATGCGTCCACAAAACGTTTCTGCTCTTTTCCAGCAATTTGCCGTTGGTGAATATCTGCAGCTTGAAGTTGTTGTACAATTGCTGTACACCGACAAAAATATCCCGAGTCAGATCTGACGCTGCATGTAACACAGGCAAAATGCGGCCCCTAAAGCTGGATGGATTCGACCATTGTTAGCCCCCTTCTCGTTAAGAAAATATACAAAGAAAGGCTTTTTTATAAAACGGTATATTTATCAGAATATTTAAATTATTGTTTAGTTCAATACATTTCCTCCAGAACTCTTCCTCTCATGTATTTCCCTGGCTCGATACCCAAAGCATTGAGGACAGTCACTGGCATATCAAGACTCGATATATCACGATAATCCAGTTTGTCCATGTCCACGTTCTTGATTCCCGGCCCTGTGCAGTGAAAAATCAAGAATGTAGAGCTTTCTTCCTGTAGTAAGACTGGAACAATAAGAGATGATCCTTACTGGACCTCTAGGAAGAACAGTTTAGAACTGATAGAACTATCCAGTGTAAATAAAGTTAGTTTAGTTAAAGTTTCTTCCTGTAGTAACACTGGATCAATAAGAGATGATCCTTACTGGACCTCTAGGAAGAACAGTTTAGAACTGATAGAACTATCCAGTGTAAATAAAGTTAGTTTAGTTAAAGTTTCTTCCTGTGTGTAGTGATGTAGTAACACAGGATCAATAAGAGAGGAAGTTAGGAAGAGGAGAGCTATAATCCAATATATTACAAACCTTTGAATAAAAGAGGTACATGAACCTCGGCAATAAAAGGTGGTGTCCAATCGTGGCCATTTCTATAGCCGCCATGATCCGCGATTATTACTACGATAGTTTCGTCCAACATCGAGTTTCCTGACGAGGTTTTGGTTGTCGCAAGAGTGTTTAAGATGGTAGCGACTTGCACGTCTTTTTGTCTGACTATTTCATAGTACACGTCACTTCCCCAGTAAGTATGATGACCAGCGTCATCAACAGCGTCTAGGTAAAGAGGGGAAAAAATAAAATTGATCCACGGCACTTGCTTTTGATCCTGTTCACCTAGCTAACATTTCCTGGTTTGTCTGTCTTTAAGGAAACATGGCTAGGAAACAATGTTTCCTGGTTTGTCCATCTTCATAAAGCAAGGCTAGGAAACAATGTTTCCTGGTTTGTCTACACTTTCAGGAAACATGGCTATAGGAAACAATGTTTCCTGGTTTGTCTACCTTCAGAAACATCGCTATAGGAAACAATGTTTCCTGGTTTGTCTACACTTTCAGGAAACATGGCTATAGGAAACAATGTTTCCTGGTTTGTCCATCTTCAGGTAAAAAGACTAGCAAACAATGCATGTTTCCGGGTTTGTCTACCTTCAGGCAACATGGCTAGGAGACAATATTCATCAGTTTGTCCGAAGTGAGAAACATAGCTTTATACCAACCAAAATGAACGAATGTTAAAGTTGGTTTATCATTCTGTATGGCCTCGACAGTCCTCCTCGTAACGTCCCAGTCTTGTCTATTTTCACAATCATAAGCGCTCTCTCCTGGCCGGCAAGGATCATAACACTTGTACCAGTGATCAACATGCGGATTATTTTTAGCAATTTGCGTGAACCAGTTCCATGTGTAAAGTATCCACGTCTGAAAATAAAGGGAAGGAAAGTGAAATGTGATGAGAGTGCCGCCCTTGGATATAACTAACTTAAGATTGAGAAGGGCAACGTCAATGAAGGATTACAGCAAAATTTTATTCCACTGTTAATTTAATTATTTTACTCCTCTGTTAGTCAATTAAATGCAGTTTAACTTGAAGGAAATCGAGACGAAGAGCTGCTCTCCACTGTCGCGTTTTCTGTACGTACGTATAAAACACGTAAAGTTTGAAATCATTTAAATGATGCTTATAAAGGCAACGATTGAATAAATGCATAGCCTTGAGTTCGCTTGATGATTTGGTGTGTTTTTTCTGCAAAATAATTATACAACAACATAGAAGGTTTTAAACTTTATACAACAACTTAGAAGGTTTTAAACTTTACCTTAGCTGATGGATCTTGTTCTTTGATAGCACTGAATATGGTTTGTGGTCGACCGCGTCCTGATACCGGGGGGAGATGACCTGCCTCTCCTGGGGGGTTACCATCGACGTCCGTCCAGTAGTTGCTGTAAACGCCTGACTGAGTCACATCCATACTTGTGAGGTATCCGGCCCAGTTCGGAGCGCTGATCTGAAAGGTGATTGGATTGGATTAAAGGATCAGGAGACGGTGATACGAAAACTGGATGGGGCGCAGGTAGAGTCATTTCGTAAGCTATTATTAAAACCATACTCACAGTAGGTGCAATATTTCTGGCTTTGGTTGAGAAGGCACCGTAGTCGAAAAACGTCTGGATAGCTGGAAGTTGTCCCGAAACATTTCTCAGATACTCTCCGCCGAATCCATCAATTCCTGGAAAAACAATATGCGCAAAGTATGCAAAATGTCTGTACATGGACTAGTTTTGACCTGTGCTTCTGTTGTAAGCCCGGATTGGCCGTAAAAGCTGATCTTGCTACAGCACTCCGAGATGTTTGAGCAAGCTTGCAACTGATATGTTGCCAAATCGCTTTTATGCGCGAAAGTTTAAATGAAAATTTAACTTTATGACAGACAGAATGAAACATTGTAACTTTTGGCCAAACGATACTATAGTACTGTATACATTGACATCTTTATATTCTTTTGTCGCAAAACGATGTCGAAATCATAAAATTATAATCTATATAACAGCAGAATTAAGTGACAGCTTGACAGCTTGTATCATTTCACCGAACCATTTTATTGCGATGCAATTTTACCTATAATGACAGCGTGCCTCGCCGTACCAAATCCTTTAGGATGTTCTTTGTCATTGACGTTGTTAGTTAATAGTTTGAACGCCGTGGAACAGGACGCCACAAAGAGCAGTACCAGTGTGCAAATTACCCGCATTCTGCCTCTTGAATGAAGGTTCAATACTCGGGCGATAGCGCTTCTGGTCAAAGAAAACTTCTAGAGTCGCAGTTTGAGTAAATTATTCCAAGTAAGTATTTTAGTTTGCATTAATGACAAATCCTACCTTGGTTAAACTTGTCAAACCCTCTGCAGGGCGCTATTTTCCGGGTCACAAGACAGAGGAATGAAAGGTGTATTGAATTTCACAACAATATCAAAAAACATCCCTCTGCGGGTATAAGGCCTACTTTATACGTCACTTTTTAATCGCGAATGCAATGCGGAAGCTGCGGCCCGAAGTTTCTGACCCAAACGCGCGAGCGCGTCCACGACACGAGGTGATCTCGGGATAGAGGGGTGCCGTTCTTGAACACGAAAAGGAGGGCTGGAGAGCAGCCTCGGAGCTGGAGGAAGTGGACCAAGGCATGCACGGCACAGATCGGAGTGTTCGTACGGCCCAGTCGCAGTGTATGTCCTCTAAAGAATTGATCCGTTTTCGAAGCTTTGATGCGTAGAAACGGAACCGACGGATTCACTCGATCGCTGGTCCACCGATATGTCCGACAACGACAAATGGACTGTAGGGTCGTAGGTACCGGTCGTGGTAAATTCGCTCGAGCGCAGAAAACCGAAGAACCCTGTACAGCATGTCGCCCAGAACAATGCGTCCCGATAGTTGCGCAGGCCAAGTAGCGAGTATCATCCGACGAAAAATGGTGGCTGTTATCGGTAAACGCGGCACTCGCATCTTCACAAGCTGAAGGTCCCTGCCGGACCGAGAGTGAAATAATCATCAAGGTAGTGGAGTACATCTACTACACCCTATTGATGTTGCAAAATCCATTCAAAGAGCTAAGCTAGCGTGTTAAAAATCCCGGGTGCAGACCGAAGACCAAAAGGTAAAGCTTGGTCAACGAAATATTTATCGCGCCATCGCATTCCCAAGAACTGACGATCGTCTGGATGATAAATAGGTACAATACGGTACGCCCCTCTGAATGTCTACTTTCACCATTAGCGCACCCCTGCCGGTTTTAATTATGAACCGAATAGCGTCCCGAACTGAACTATAACTGACAGGAAAATCGGATTTTGATATGCTATCATTGACACTGTGATCTAGCGGGAATTATAAGTTTAATATTAAACGCCACGAGTCCGTCACGAGTCCGTCTCGAGTCCGTCACGAGTCCGTCACGAGTCCGCCACGAGTCCACCACGAGTCCGCCACGAGTCCGCCACAAGTTATGCACAGCTGTGGGCTTACTAATAGCACTTTGTCACAAGCTGCTGCTATCGACGTCATCGCTCGTTCGCAGATGGGTTGTTAATTCCACTCGCCCCACCCCCTTTGGTCACGTGGATAACCACATATTTGCCTTGCTTGTTAAGCGGTACCAGTACGTGTGGCTAGTCTACAAGTCTACGAGAAAAACTCACATGTAAGTGTTATGCATTACACGTATTTTGTCTATTTCGTTGAAATAATAAGTAGTCGCGTGACAAGAATCCACTTGCTTTATTTCATATATACTTATTGATCGCGTTTCGAGAAGCACAGAATTAGTGCGTTTTGCCAGAGGAGATTTTAGCGTCAATAACTCAATTACATTTGTGTTGCAATTTTGGCATCGCTTCACTTGGACGAAATCTTTTCTGCAAAAAAATGCTCAAAAAACAACAAAGAGATTACGGAGTTTGCTGATGACGCGATTATTACGATTGCCTCGCGCGAATGATGATAATGTCGATTGTGGATACGATTTTTCCTCCGATGGGCGCACGCAAATCATGCAAACGTGTGGAAAGCTGTGGTGCTTAGGTCACAGCGAAAACCTAAAGTCTATCTTTGATAATTTCCAATTATTTTAGGAAAGCTCTTTGCGTTATTGATTCAACATTTAGACTTTTGTAGCGTAGATTTGAATATACACATACATGTATAAGTATAGGCATAATCTCAGCAGTTATATGGTAACGGTATAGCGGTTCGCATTGATGACGTACTTCTAGCAGCGCTATAACACAGCTTAATTAAACGGAAGTCAGAGGAGCAACTATGCGCTGGATGTAAAAGTAATTATAACGCAGTGAATTGCCTTCTATGGTAATAGCAGCATCTTAGTTGTCGGACGATCGGATTGCATTACCATAGTTTGCGCGCCATATACGTCAGATTTGATGATATGATTTAATGAAGGCGAGCACTATATAAACACTCGCACAATCACATATAATAGAGATATTTACGAGAGAGAGAGAGAGATATATAAGAGAATGAGATATATACAAAGCTGTACATAGAAGGAAATACATATTCCAAAACTTGACTGATGTGGGACTGATTCATATTATGACGATGGTGCAAGCTTTAATTGCAAGTTTGCTAATGGTCCCTGGGACACAGACACACCCAGTTTTACGGTCCAACGTTACACTTTTCATTATCGTCAGCTGGATGTGGCTTTCTCTGTGCACAAAATTACGTCATGATTCTACCAAAGATATTTGCGTTAGTGTCTTCAAGATGACACAAAATCGCGGAATTCTCCGATACATAATGCGTGCTTGGTTTTGCTAAAAACAGCTTGACTCAAACACCGACTGTTTTACATAAACAAGGCCACACGCATGCATATCAATCAGTATATTGAGAAAACTTTTTATCACTTTCGTTTTAAATTTATTTGTCTGGTTTTAGAATTATTGAACTCGCCTTTCTTGTTCTAGTCACCGAGTCTCTGGCAAGTTTTGTATGAAAATTAAGCGATGAAAGTGATAACTACAATTTTCTTGTGCGTGTTTTTGTTGTCTTTTATCATCCGTGATGTGCTTTGTGCGAGCATTTCTGACACGGCGTCAGCAATGCCGCCAATGCCGCCAATGCCAAAGGGATTTGGAACGGCGAAACGTGCCATCATCATCGGTAAGTTGCGATCAGTTTTGAGGTGATTTGTTTCGAAAGATGCTCGAGGTTATTATTATTATTATCATTTTTTTAAAAACTTTTTTTAATGAGGGATTACACTGTTACCTTAAAGGTTAGTTTCCACTCAAGAAAATTCTTCTTTGGATCGGACAGGACAAGACAGGAAAGTTTCCTTTGTATAAACGCCGCCTGAGAACTCACCGACAAAGGAAATTTTCCTGTCCGGTCCGATCCAAAGGAGATTTTTCCTGAGTGGAAACTAGCCTTATTAATTAAGGTAGTCATCCCAATGGCCCTTAAAAAGTAATGTAAAAGCCCAGTGGTAAATAACTTCATGAAAAGTATAGTAACATTGGCAACCGGAATAATGCGTTTGCAAACGAAACAGCATAATATGGTCTACTTCATAGTTTAATTGAGGAAAAAAGGTTTTTGAGCTTTTTTTATAAGAGTTAGGTGAATAATTTTCAATGATTTTTAACTCGGGAGGTAAAGAGTTGAATAGACTTGCACCACTATAATATATCTTAGGTTTCTTAGGTGTTCATGCACTAGCTTATCAAGGACCGGTGATTTTTTGACGTGAAGCAAAACGTTTTTTCGTCAGCTGAACTCTCAGCTGGAACCATCTGGGGTAAACTCACCAAGGACAGAAATAAATCTCGTGAGAGTATAATCTCCTCAAGGGAAAATCAAACCAGTTTATGGCTACAGTCTAATTTGAACCGTTCTAAGTTCGTCCTAAGTCAAATTCAAAACGGGTTAAAATGTTTGAACTCAGATGACTGAGTTAGTATTTGAGTCTATAAACAAGTCCATTAAATCACTATTAATCCTATATTTCCCTTGATACCGCAAGAAATAACAGTCTGTGACGTTTTGAAAAAAGCCTTTCTTTGTGGAAACAGTTAAACACTGAACATGAATCCGGAGTTTTTATTTGGCAAAAACCTAACGTTTGTCATACCTTTTCTATAGGTATAGATGGCTTGGGCGGTTCGTATTTGAGAAATGCAACCGAACATTACCAAACATTAAGGTCATTCTTTGAACAAGGTTCCTACACTACCCGTGCAAGAGGAGTGTTTCCCACAGTAAGCAAACATTCATTTGCCTCATCGTATCAGGTTTCTTCATAGAAAATAGCTACTATAGAAAATAACTGCAGTTAACAGTTTAGAACTGAAAGAGCTATGCAGTATAAATAAAGTTAGTTTAGTTTAGATTTTCTCCCGTGTAGTAACACTGGATCAATATGAGATGATCCTTACTAAATACATTAATCTTTCTTAGGTAAGTGGGCCAAACTGGAGTTCGTTTCTGACCGGCATGAACGTGATGGAACATGGAGTGTTCGATAATGAATGGACAGTGGAAACTAATGGTGATCCGGAGAATGAAACTACTTACAGTATTCCTCCTGTAAGTGGTCGTGGGCGCCCTGAGACCATTTTTACACAAGTGAAAAGAAAAGATCCGAATTTGCAGGTGAGGTTGAGCCGGTGATGCGGTGTGCTGCCTGGAATGAGCTGTAGCCTAGGGATCAACCAAGCCAGAGCTACACAGTTGATTCTCTCTTTCTAGCGGATCTGATTGATTAATCATGTTAATAGACTTGTATAAACTGGGCCAAGTAATCAACTCACTTAATTTTAAATGTTAAATTCACTCAATATTATACACCAAAAGAAGAGAACCGCCGTCAAAAATCACCTATGTACACGGGGCCTAACCCGATGGCTCTACTCAGTTCAAATATGAATTAAATCTTGCAAATTCGAGTCAAATAGGCGAAAGTATCCTCGCGAGGGAAGTAGGTCCGTTGATTAGTCCCCGAATTCCCTTGATACTCCCTGACTCCCCTTGACACCCCGCACGACTACCCTTGACACCCCCCTACCCGACTCCCCTTGCCACTCCATTTTCCACGCAACTCCATCTCTCTCCAGACAGCAATGATGTTCACGTGGCCATGGTTGAAAAATTACGCGATTAACAACACAGATGTAGATGTCTGGAGCTATGGAGGTGATGGTCTGCCGTGTGAAGACAACGATGGTGATAATCTGCCGTGTGAACCCAAAGATGTTATAAACTACTACAATAACAAAGATATGAATACGGCATTTGCCGTCAAAGAAAATTTGCTGAAGAATGATCCGATTCTAACGTTCGTACATCTTGGTATGTAAACTGTATGGTAAGGGGGCGTCCAGAGACGGAGGAACAGTCCTTTCCCCCTCCTTTGTTATACTTTCAAAATTCAAAGACAGGGGTGCGCGTGGCTTCAACCCCCTAGACCCGGCAGAAATGTCGACTGTGTCATTTTCGCCCAACTGGTAATGCGCGGTCCCCTAGTTGATAGTCTTGTGAAAGATATCTGATTTGTTCTTGTAGGTCAGCTTGACTTGGCTGGGCACCATTCCTATTGGGGATCTTCTCGGTACTACAGTTCCCTGGTGTCAGTGGATTTGAAGCTCAAGTATCTGATCAAATGCTTGAGTGAGAACCGCGATTCATCAGGTATCCAAGGACGATGGTTATCCAAGTAAAAACTGCTACTTTCACCACGTTTGAGATACTTTTCTCAAGTGGTTCAGACACAAACTACGACAGCTTATTGTAAAATACTATCTACACTAGACCACCACGTTTGAGATATCTTTCTCAGGTAGTTCAGACACAAACCACGACAACTTATTGTAGAATACTACCTACACTGGACCACCACGTTTGGGATATCTTTCTCAGGTATTTCAGACATGAAGCATTACACGGTATCTTTTCAAATTAAGGAAATTTAATGTTGAATGAGACAATGATAGTCATAGTTGCGGACCACGGAGGCTGGAGAAGTAGTCATGGCTTTGGTTTCAAACCGTTCAGTGCGTTGGTTGACATTCCTGTACTTATACGCGGTGAGCGCAATTTTGATAAGACTACATCAGTTCTAAACTGTTCTTCCTAGAGGTCCAGTAAGGATCATCTCTTATTGATCCAGTATTACTACAGGAAGAAACCTAAACTAGTTGACTGAATAAGAAACAGAAAAGCAAGTATATAATATTCTACCATGATAATCTAATTGTGTGTTCCCACGCAGGTCCTGGTGTGCTTCGAAACAACAGTTTGGAAGACACATACGTGTCGAATTTAGATGTGGCTGTGACCGTCCTGAACGCCATTGGTGTAGAGAAAAGCAAGTTTATGAAAGGTCAGGTTTTAGAACAGATTTATGCGTAAAAACGTTCAAAGTTGATTTGCCCAGTAATCCTGGGAAATATAAAATATATATCAAGTTAAAATACAATTCATAAGGTAAGAAAGAAATCATTGAAGTGTAATTAAAATTGTGTTCATGAAACACTTTATGATTGATGAAAATCTTTACTATAGACATAATGAGATATTCTGTTGAAAATGGCTATGATATACAAGATGATTTCGTTATTGTTGTTGTTTGTGCTCTATACATAAACGCCAGGTCTTTGTTTAGTGTTTGATTTATCATCGACTTCATCGTAAGGTAGAAAGTCTTCCGTTTCCTCAAGCGTCCAGTCATTCTTATCAGAAACTTGACCTGATCTCTTTTGACGAGGCATACTTTCATATTGGTGTTCCTCCACGGAATCTCTTTCAGCGCGTCATAAGTATCCACGTCTGAAAATATAGGGAAAGAAAGTGAAATGTGATGTGAGTTCTGGCCTTGGATCTAACACTGAACAATTAATGATATGACTACCTTAAGATTGAGGACAACGTTAATTAAAGATTGCAGCAAAATTTTATTCCACTTTTAGTCAGTTAAATGCAATTATATTAAATGCAGTTTAAATGCAGTAAATATTAGGTATTATTTCTCGGGAAATGCACGAGGGGGAATGATTCGCTGTCAGAAACTGTCAAGATGTCAAAGAATCGGTGTAGCTTAAATTCCTCCCCGCTTCGTGAATTTCTTCTCATCTCATGAAAGATCAGGAGACGGTAATACGAAAACTGAATGGGGCGCAGGTAAGGGTCATTTTGTAAGACGTCATAGTATTAAAACCATACTCACAGTAGGTGCAATATTTCTAGCTTTGGTTGAGAAGGCACCGTAGTCGAAAAACGTCTGAATAGCTGGAAGTTGTCCCGAAACATTTCTCAGATACTCTCCGCCGAATCCATCAATTCTTGGAAAAACAATATGCGCAAGGTATGCAAAATGTCCGTCTATGGACTTGTTTTGACCTGTGCTTCTATTGTAAGCCCGAGTTGGCCGTAAAAGCTGATCTTGCTATAGCGCTTCGAGATGTTAATGTTTGAACAAGCTTGCAACTGATATTTTGCGAAATCACTTTCACTGATACGCGTAAATTTAAAAATGAAAATTTAACTTAAATGACAGAATGAAACACAACCCCGACTGTAACTTTTAACCAAACGATAATGTAGTATACTTTGTCTTTATATTCTTTTGTCGGAAAACCATTCGAAATCATAAAATAATTAAAATTATAATCTATATAACAGCAGAATTAAATGACAGCATTGTATACTGTATGATACTTTGTACAACATACCTAACCATTTCATTGCGATGCAACTTTACCTATAATGACAGCGTGTTTCGCTGTACCAAATCCTTTGGGGTGTTCTTTGACATTATCCTTCCTTATCCTTCCTATTTAATAGTTGGAACGCCGTGGAACAGGGCGCCACAAAGAGCAGTGCCAGTGTGCAAATTGCCCGCATTCTGCCTCTTGCAATTAAATGAAGGTTCAATACTCGGGCGATAGTGCTTCGTCAAAGAAAACTTCTAGAGTCGCAGTTTGAGTCAATTATTCCAAGTAAGTGTTTTAGTTTGTATTCATTACAAATCCTACCTTGGTTAAACTTGTCAAACCTCTGTAGGGCGCTATTTTCCTGGTCACAAGACAGAGGAATGAAAGGTGTATTAAATTTCACAACACATAAGACCTATTTTATCACGTCACATTGTAGTCACGAATGTAATTGAAACAACAGATAATGAATGATAAACTACATTTAGACCCGCTAGAATAAATCTCATCTATTGTTATTTGTTTGAATTACATTCGACGCGACCAAAATGCGACGTATAAACTAAGTATTAAAGAAAGCTGAACTTTCATAATATAAAAGATTTACGATCTTATTAAAAGGAGCTCTCTTTTTTCGGGTATGAGCTAAAACTGCATAAGTGTAGTTTCGTTTCGGTGAACTCGTGAACACGACTCTGAATGGGGCAAGGGTTCTGCCCACCACCCTGCCCTAGAAAGCGCCTTGAAGGGTGAAAGTGTGAACTTTCCCCACAGGTTTCTACCACTTCTGAAAAAATAGGAAATACAATGTTTCATACCGCACAAGCGAACGAGTCCCTATTTTTTCTGTAACCACTAATGAGTAATGTGACATCTTTCGTTTCAGAATTGCTCGAGAAATAGTTCCACGCACTCTCCTACGCATTGTTTTCCTGGTGAGGTTAGCCAAGGATGTGGCGAATTGAATCAATTAATCGTTTAAAATTCTGTAGAAAGAATGGCATTACACATCAATTCATTTACATCCAGTCGCGAACTAAAAGAGAGAACTAAAGATGCACATATTCTACATCACTACATGCAGGACTGATAGGTATACAACATATGCATCCTGGTATACAATATACACATGCGAGCGTGATATAAAAGCCTGTGCATAATCATGCTTCATTCAACCTTTTGTCACTCAACAGACCCCGAAATATTAATCCGACAAAGTGGATTACGCTTTGAAATTGTGTTCAAACCAAAGATACTGTCCGTATTTGGATTGCTTGTTAAGCAGTACGTGTGGCTAGTCTAAGAGTCTCCGAGAAAAACTCATATGTAAGTGCTATACATTACACGTATTTGGTCTATTTTGTTTAATTTTGATGTAGTTAGTCTCGTGACAATGAAACGCCAGGCGATGATTATAGGATTGCCTCGCGCGAATGATGATAATCTCGATCTTGAATACGATTTTCACTCCGATGCGTCGCATGCAAATCATGCAATCGTGTGGATTGCTGTGCTGCTTAGGCCACGGCGAAAACGTAAAGTCTATACCGGAATTTACTGTCTTTGTAAATTTCCGAGCCGATTACTTTAGGAAACGTCTTTACACTACTATATGCTAGGCTTTACCTGAGGTTATCTTTAGCTGGATTAAAGTTTATATAAGGTATGATTGATATTCAGCGAGTTTTTTTCTCAAAGTAGAGGTCGCCTCACCTGTTCTACAAAAGTTAAGTTCTAAGCATACAAAACAGTGCAAACCCGTCTAAAGTCATAATTACAGACTTATTCACAAATTGTATCAACATTTATACTTTTCATTATCGTCAGCTGGACGTGGCTTTCTCTGTGCACAAAGTTATTTCATGATATTTGCATTAGTGTCTTCAAGATGACACAAAATCGCGGAATTCTCCGATACATAATGCGTGCTTGTTTTGCTAAAAACAGCTTGACTCAAACAGCGACTGTTTGACATAAACAAGGCCACACGCATGCATATCAATCAGTATATTGAGAAAACTTTTCATTGCTTTCGTTTTAAACTTTGTTTGTTTCATTTTAAATTATTGAACTCGCCTTTCTTGTTCTAGTCGACGAGTCTCTGGCAAGTTTTGTATGAGAATTAAGCGATGAAAGTGATAACCACAATTTTCTTGTGCATCTTTTTGTTGTCTTTTATCATCCGTGATGTGCTTTGTGCGAGCATTCCTGTCACGGCGTCACCAAGACCGCCAATGCCAAAGGGTTTTGGAACGGCGAAACGTGCCATCATCATCGGTAAGTAGCGATCAGTTTTGAGGTGATTTGCGTCGAAAGATACTCGAGTGGTTTACTAGCTTATCAAAGATCTGTTATCTACCGCCAATTTTTTGACGTGAGTCGTAAGGCAAAACTTTTTTTCGTCAGCTGAACTCTCAGCTGACGAACTCTCGGAACCATCTGGAACAAACTCACCAAGGACAGAACAGAATAAATGTTGTGAGAGTGATCTCCTTATAAGAAAATCAAACCAGGTCATGACTATACAGTCTAATTTAAACCTTTCTAGTTCGTCCTAAGGCAAACTCAAACGGGCTTAATTTTGTTTAATACCAGCTTTAGGTTAAAAGGTTTGAACCCAGACGTGTTAGCATTTGGGTCTATAACTGACAGGCCATTAAATCACCATTAATCCTATATTTCCCCAACCTCGCAAGCCAGGCTCTTTTACCTACGCTCCACGGAAAGAGCCTGGCTTGCGAGGTTGATATTTCCCTTGATAGCACAGGAAATAACAGTCTCTGACTGAGACGTTTTGTGAAAATGCATGCCTTTCTTTGTGGAAACAGTTAAACACTGAACATGAATGCGGAGTTTTTATTTGGCAAAAAACCTAACGTTTTGTCATACCTTTTCTATAGGTATAGATGGCTTGGGAGGTTCGTATTTGAGAAATGTAACCGAGCATTACCACACATTTAGATCATTCTTTGAACAAGGTTCCTACACAACCCGTGCAAGAGGAGTGTTTCCCACAGTAAGTAAACATTCATTTGCCTTATCGTATCAGGTTTCTTTACATTGAAAAACATGCTTTAAATTTTAAAAAACTGCAGCGATAATGTTGTATGTCGTGACGCCGTTAAATAAGTCACGATCCTCTAGGAAGAACAGTTTAGAACTGATATGGATTAAGTTAAGTCAATTATGATTTTTGGCACTTCACTCGATGCGGGTAAATTCTAGAGGTTCAAAGGGTCTTAATTGACTTAATTTCGAGTGGAATTATACACACTTCAAACTCAAGGTTCGATTCCTGCCTGGTACCGATAGTTGACACATTTTTCATCGACTGTTCCTGGCTTGAATTTGATAAAGATAAAGATATATAGATAAAGTTAGTTTCGCTTAGGTTTCCTTCTGTAGTATAACACTGGATCAATAAGAGAGATGATCCTTACTGAACCTCTAGGAAGAACAGTTTAGAACTGATAGAGCTATCAAGTATAAATAAAGTTAGTTTAGTACAGGTTTCGTCCTGTAGTAACACTAGATCAACATAAGATGATGCTCCTTCCTAAATACCATATCTTTCTTAGAAAAGTGGTCCAAACTGGAGTTCGTATCTGACCGGCATGAACGTGATGGAACATGGAGTGTTCGATAATGACTGGACTGTGTTAACTAATGGTGATCCGGAGAATGAAACTACTTACAGTATTCCTCCTGTAAGTGGTCGTGGGCGCCCTGAAACCATTTTTACACAAGTGAAAAGAAAAGATCCGAATTTGCAGGTGAGGGTAACACTCTATTTTTTGGACAATAGGGCGTTGGGTGTAAGGATGAGGCTGGAATGGGCCGCACCCAGGGATGAACCAAAGCCACACATAGTCTCGGGCCCGCAGCTGACTCTCTCTTTCTATTGGATCTGATTGAGTGACTAATGAGCAAAGTTGTATAACCTTGGCCAAGTAAAGTAATCAACTCTGTCAATTCACTCAATATTATACACCAAAAGAAGAAAATCGCCGAATTGAATTTTGCCAATCCCAAGTCAGATTTGGGAAAGAAGTAGGTTCGTTGATCAGTGTCACATGACCTTTCCGCCCCCCCCCCCCAGGTCACGCCCCTGTTATCGTCCACAACTCCATCTCTTTCCAGACAGCAATGATGTTCACGTGGGCTTGGTTGAAAAATTACGCGATTAACAATACAGACGTGGATGTCTGGAGCTGTGATAATGTCCAGTGTACAGGCGATGTTATAAACTGCTACAACAACAAAGATATGAATACAGCATTTGCCGTCAAAGAAAATTTGCTGAAGAATGATCCGATTCTAACGTTCGTTCATTTTGGTATGTGAACTGTATGGTAAGGGAGCATCCAGTGGGGGGGGGGACAGTCCTTTTATCTCTCCACTGTGATCCCTTTCAAAATTCAGTGACTTGAGTGTTTAAAACTGTAAATGATTTGATTCCATTTTACATAGTTTTTGTTCTTTACTACAAACTAGCGAGGTTCGTCTTTCATTAGTTTCATAGCGGTACAAGAGAGGGGTGCGCGTTGCTTCAGCCCCCTAGACCCGGCAGAAATGTCGACTGTGTCATTTTCGCCCAACTGGTAATGCGTGGTCCCCTAGTTGATAGTCTGGTGAAAGATATCTGATTGGTACTTGTAGATCAGCTTGACGCGGCTGGGCACTATTCCTATTGGGGATCTCCTAGATACTACAGTTCTCTGGCGTCAGTGGATTTGAAGATCAAGTATCTGATCAACGCCTTGAATGACAACAACGATTCATCAGGTAAGACGATGGTTATCCCAGCAAAAACTGCTACCCTTACAGGACCCAGTGGCGGATCTAGGGGTAGTCAAAATAAATTACTCCAGCTGAAAATCGCAATGGCAATCGCATTGGTAGATTTTTATTTAAAAATCAAACAAACCAGGACCAAAACGTTTGAGATATCTTTTTCAGGTAGTTCAGACACAAACCACGTCAGCTTATTGTAGAATACTACCTACACTAGACCACCACGTTTGAGATATCTTTCTCAGGTGTAGTTCAGACACAAACCACGACAGCTTATTGTAGAATTCTACCTACACTAGACCACCACGTTTGAGATATCTTTCTGAGGTAGTTCAGACATAAACCACGACAGCTTATTGTAGAATTCTACCTACACTAGACCACCACGTTTGAGATATCTTTCTCAGGTAGTTTAGACACCCACGACAGCTTATTGTAGAATACTATCTACACTGGACCACCATGTTTGAGATATCTTTCTCAGGTAGTTCAGATATGAAGCATTACACAGTATCTTTTTAAATTAAGGAAAGCAAATGTTGAGTGAGACAATGATAGTCATAGTTGCGGACCACGGAGGCTGGAGAAGTAGTCATGGCTTTGGTTTCAAACCGTTCAGCGTGCTTGATTGACATTCCTGTACTTATACGCGGTGAGTGCATTTTATGATAAAAATGCAAGCTTTATCAGTTCTAAACTGTTCTTCTTATAGAGGCCCAGTATAGATCATCTGATTCATCTCTTATTGATCCAGTGTTACTACAGGAGGAAACCTAAACTAAACTAACTTTTATTTATACTGGATGTTTGGATAGCTCTATCAGTTCTAAGCTGTTCTTCCTAGAGGTCCAGTAAGGATCATCTCTTATTGATCCAGTGTCACTACAGGAGGAAACCTAAACTAAACTCATTTATACTGGATAGCTCTATCAGTTTTAGTGTTCTTCCTAAAGTTCCACTAAGGATCATCTCTTATTGATCCAGTGTTACTACAGGAGGAAACCGGCTAAACTAAACTAACTTTATTTATACTGGATAGCTTTATCAGTTCTAAACTGTTCTTCCTAGCGGTCCAGTAGGATTCGTGTCTTACTGATCCAGTATTACTACAGAAGGAAACATAAACTAAACTAACTAAATTAGATGGAAGAAAGACTGAATAAGAAACTGAAAAGCAAGTGTATAATATTCTACCATGATAATCTAATTGTGTGTTCCCACGCAGGTCCTGGTGTGCTTCGAAACAACAGTTTGGAAGACACATACGTGTCGAATTTAGATGTGGCTGTGACCGTCCTGAACGCCATTGGTGTAGAGAAAAGCAAGTTTATGAAAGGTCAGGTTTTAGAACAGATTTATGCGTAAAAACGTTCAAAGTTGATTTGCCCAGTAATCGTGAGAAATATAAAATATATATCAAGTTAAAATACAATTCAAAGGCAAGAAGGAAAGCTTGTAGTGTAATTAAAATTGTGTTCTACAATATCTGGAGAATTAATTTAGGTGTTCACTAAAACTGACTATTTACGTGTTGTTACTTTATGCATAAATGTAGGCTACGAAATATTTTCCTGGTTAAGCCGGGAAAGTTTTTTTAAATATCCACGCAGGTTGAATTGTTGTTCAGCTTCGAATAGCGATAAGTTTCGAGCTTGCCTTTGCACACTGCTCTGGCAGACACTTTATGATTCATGAAAATCTTTACTATAGACATAGTGAGATATTCTGTTGAAAATGGCTATGATATACAAGATGATTTCGTTATTGTTGTTGTTTGTGCTCTATACATAAACGCCAGGTCTTTGTTTAGTGTTCGATCTATCATCGACTTCATCGTAAGGTTGAAAGTCTTCCGTTTCCTCAAACGTCCAGTCATTCTTGTCAGAAACTTGACCTGATTTCTTTTGACGAGGCATACTTTCATATTGGTGTTCCTCCACGGAATCTACGAAAGGAGAAATGAAATTTGAACCGATATTTTTCACCATGAACTAATTTGTGAACTAGGCAAGGCTGAAGCAAGTATATTACCAGGCGATTGCGAGGTTGAATTTGGCGAACCGGACGTGCCTAATACAAGTTTCATTCAAATACCATTGCTTTTGCGAGAAAGCGAGTCGTACAATACATGAATAATGGTAGTCGCTTAACTCGCTTTGCAGATGGAATGGATATGACAGTTAAAAACTTCTACTTACCTACAGCCAACGAGGACACAGTTTCTTTTGCTTCGCCATTTCCACAGTTTATCTGAACAACCCCAGCAGTTTCATCCATTTTTGCATCACTATTCGTCTTTGCTTCTCCCTCAACTTCGCCATTGGTTGCACCTTTCGCGGACTCAATCCTGTCTCTCGTTTGCTTTTCTCTGTCGACTTTCGTGTACGGATTTTCGTTCGCGCTGCCTTCTACCTGGATCGCACCATTGGCTAAACCGTCGTCTCCCGCCTCGGCTCTGTCTCGTTTCTGTTTCTCCTTGTCGACTTTCGTATACAACCTTTCCTTCTCGTCATCGCTCAACGCTGGTTGAACATGATGCGTGCCGCTTGGTTTAGCAAACTTCGATATGTTAGTTTCCTGTATAATATGATCCCCTTTCTTTACCGTGATCGTATAAGGCTCTATGTCATCCATCACAACGATGTTTGACACTTTTGCCTGTCCTATGGTTTCAACGGGGGGAGGGGTAGGGGCGGCGTCCTGCCTCGTTTGCCGACCCAGGGACATCGTTTTTCGCTCTGCATCACTTCGGGGCGACGAGGATCCAGGAAGACCTTCCGAGAAACTTCGCTGTCTGTCCATAACTGGTTCATCGTAAAGGTCTTCGTAATCCTCCTGGTTTGGTACGGATAATGCGGGGGATTTGATCGATTTTAACTTCGGATCTACACTCTCATATGCGTCCGACTGATTATCGTTGGCGGTTGGGTCCCCCTTTGCCTGGGCATTGAACACCTCACGGTCATCGACTGAGTCGTATAAATTAGTATCGTTCTCAGACGATTTCGTCTCGTCTTTTTTCGGTCCCTTCTTAACTTGGACAATTTCGTAATCGTCTTCGTCCAAATCCGAGGGTCTTTTGGGCAACTCTCTGTTCGTGAAACTGCGGCGGTCGCCACGAGTCAGCGCCGTGGTGTGCGGACGTGGCGGACTGGGAAGGGCCGTGTTTTGCACCGGGGGACTGGGGAGGGCGGTGTTGGGAAGCGGGGGACTGGGAAGTGGTTGATCGTTGTCTGATTTCTTTTTTGATCTCTTTTTGTCCTTTTTGGACATCTTTGGCTCATCGTAAGCGTTCGAGTCGTCGGTGGTTTTTTTGAGTGAAAACCTTGTTTTGTGTTTGGAGGGTTTCTCTTCAACCCTTTCCGTAGGAGCTGTATGTGATCGCTTCGATCTCATATCTTTCTGACGATCCTTTTCTTTTCGTTTTTCTTCTTTTTTCTTGCTATCGCTTCGTTTATCTTTCTTCGCTTCCTGTACGCTTGCATCCCCAACGTCGTTTCCCTTCTGCTCCAGATTATCCCCATCCTTCCCTCTCAGCTCATCGTTATCAACGTTTATCCCTTTATCTCCCGTCTCGACTTTGACATCGCCAGACTTTATTTTCCCCAACACGGCACCATCAACGCCGGTTTCGCCAGAGCCGGATGAGTTGACCTCTCCGACAGGTGGCGAGGAATGGTTCGAGTTGCTGTCTGTTGCTGGCACTGGGCTTTCCACTTTGATTTCCACCGATTCCACTTTTGTTTCTTGATGGTCGGGATTTTCCCTGCGAATAGTCTAAAATTCACAGAAGTATAACATAAAACCACTTGATTTTCAATCTCAAGCTAATCATTGACTCATTTCTGACTGGCGCCTGACAGATCAAATTATTAGATCAAATTCAAGCCATTTGGCATTAGCTTAGCTGTGACTTTAAAAACTTAGTTCAGTCAGGTCGGTTTGTAAAGGATTTTTAAAGAAATACACGTTCAAATTTTCCGTTCATGTCTGACTTTAAAACAGTAAACGACGAAAGTGTGTTGAGTACGCCAGGATGGACATACCTCGACTTTTTCTGAGGATATGATTTCAACATTTGCAGAATTGCTGTCTCGGGCAACGCTTTCCTGGGAGCTTGGAGTAAATTATGGAACATAATATAAATATTTATAAATTGAAGAGGGAGCAAGGAGAATGATCTTGAAGCATGGATGCAGGAGGAAAGGTGGGTTGGAGACATGGGGTGGGGAAAAGGGGGATGGATTGATATGGGTGGGATTAATTGTTGTGAAGTAAGGGATATGAGAGAGCATGAGAGGATATGAAGGTGGAGGGTGAGATGAGTTAGAGGAAGCGGGAAAGAAGTCAGGTGAGATGGGTGGTAGGGAACTATTAAAGTTGAGGAGTGAGTTAGGCCTAGGTCAAACATTGCTCTTCTCATGCAAATGAGCTCCAAACCAAATGTGCTCAAACAAAGACATTCATTTGCATTAGGTTCGGTGAATGAAATGAGTGACGTTTGACCAAGGAAAAGGTGGGTGAATGACCTGAGACACTTGCAGGTGTAGTATGATAAGGGAGCAAGGTAAAATGTTTCTGACATAGTAAGTTACTAGGGTGAAGGAGTGCTTCCTCTCAGGGAGGGGGAGGGGGAGATGCAATGCACTGGCTATTTATATTGCCATATTCAGTGCCAACATCTGTGAAATTAATTATATTTACCCAAAATTCTCAACCGTTAGGACATACTTCTTTTCGGTTTTTCCACATAAAGCAATGCAAACAACCACTACACAGAAAGCGAGAAAACTGAGCACAACACTGTCTTTTTGATCCAGTAATGTATCCTTCTCATTGGAGTCAGATTGAAACATCAACAGTTTCCTTTGGGTTGAATGACCTTCGTCTAAAGATTTAAGATTCATTTGGAAAATGAGCAGTACACACAGTAGGTGAGTGAGTAAAGCTCTCTTTTCTGAGGTTTGAATTGCAACAAGAACGAACTAAAGCAAGTTGATCTAATTCGGTATCTTGTTACCTCGCCTGTTTCAAATGGTATGTTGTATCGTAATTATGCATTCAAAATTATTCTAGACACCTTGAATTGCTGCTCTTGAATGTTTAACAAAACAATGTTTGTTTAACAAGGGCTTGTGATTTTTTAGTGTAAAACTCCATTAGTTTGCAACTATTACAAAATTATTGGAAATCCAAGCCAGGGTTATTACGGTCTAAACCAACTTATTAACACTCACTACAAATGATCGTTCAAATCTACTTTACTTATAGTATATACATGTACTTAGAATCACTTTCGATTCTCTGTAATAAAAGCGTAAGTTATACCTTCCGGCCGTGTATGAATACCGATACACGAATTGCGAAGTTTGCATTTCACGGTAGCTGCGATACAAATTGGCAAAGGTTTTCTTTTGAACCATATCTAAGATTAAATTGGACATTGTGTCGATTGACTTCAGGAATTACACAACAATAATCTCATATTTAGCATTCCGATATCGCTTATAAGAGGAATTGAGTATATTCATTTCTAGACTATGATATATAATATAAAATATAGAATAAACAAACACATACCACGACCGAGCGATCGTCAATATTTTGCTTGTAAAACGCAGCATTTTCCTTCAAAATTAGCTCGCAATTTTTCGGAAACTGCACCAAACGCACGCCTCTGTATAACGTGTTTATAGACAATGAATTCGCATCATTTAACGTTTTTAACTCACTCTCCTCGTAGGAAAACACATTTGAAGCCTCGTTAACTGTTTTAGGTAGCCAGAGCTCGACCGATGTGCAGTCGCAACGTTTTGGAGTCGCAACACTTCCGTCTTGCTGAAGCTTGTAGGAGAAAATACAAAACGGCAGCGATGTAAAAGCAAGCGCCAAGATATAGAAATTTAATCCACGTAGCCCCATCGATTACCCGTTAGCATGTCCAAGCCATAATATCATGTCAAACTCTGTGTGATTTTAATTGAAGTTGATCGTCCCTTGGCCACAAATTTGAAAGAAAACACAGCGAAACTTGAGACAAACTTTGCATTTGTATCAAACTATTGTGGCCTGTGGGTGTTTTCTTAAGGCTTATTTATACCGGAAAAGGTTACCAAAGCGGAAGTCGAAATCATTAATTATTTTGTACGTGTGCTATTTCATCCACACTTGAAAGGAATTTATCAAACTACTTTCGTGTTTTTCCTTTTTGAAAACCAAACATTTCTTTTGCAATGTTCTTTTTTGTCTGCGACTCTGCGACAACTTTTCCGAGAATTATGATTATTTCTTTGGCGTACTTTATGTAAGCAAAGCTAAGCGTACTTAGACAGGCGTGGTTTTGTTTTTGGACAGCCACGTGGGCGTGTTAAAGTCAAACCCTTTCGTTTCTTTCTCATTTACGGGAGATTTGCCAATAGACAGACTTACCACTTTCTTTCGGTGTCCGCTCATGACAATCGACGTTTAGACGTTGTAGGGAGTGCCTTAAAAGGGAACAATGAATTTTCTCAAATTGCAGAATAATTGGGTGAGGTGGAACAAAAATCTCGTATAGACGCATCGATTTGTGTGGCAGTTTTAGATGATTGTTTAATGACATTCGAAATATGCGTAGCAATCGTTAACTTACACCATTATCATCCAGGAAATCTGCGCAACAATTTTCTATTATCGTAAGCGTAAATTGAGACTTTCGAACCTACATTCCAAAAGGTGACAAGGTGACAGCCATTGGGCCTTGAGAGCTTCCTTTTATTTTATGAGAACGCCCTTCCTTATTCGGGGTAGTTTTGTAACTATATTTAGAAATATAGAGGGATGTTTTGCTTGGAATTACTGTAACAATGAATTTAGAAGAATTAATCCCCTGTGTCAAGGGAATAGGGTAAAATACCCTTATGTCCTATATTTACCTCAGTGAAACAAAAGTCGTTGCGTGACTGGAAAAGGTTTTGGTATATTTTCATTGCGCATGCGGTAATCGCAAAACCTGAACAAACAAAGTGTTCTGTCTTAGGTAAGTAGATATGAAGTATCCCGACTCGTAGCGCCGCTCTCATTTCGCGCACTGCACGGCAGGCTCGTTTCTTTTTCACATGTGGTTTTTTTGTGCTGAAATTTCAAAATGTCTAGTGCTCCAACTGCAGCCGAACTTATAAGCGTTGGCGGCGAAAGAACGACCGGTGCTTCGGTCAGAACACAAAATGGTAAGCATCCAGTCTTGTGCTATCCCGATCTCGGGTTTTTGTTGCTTGTATAACTTTGTTTTTTTGTTTTTTTTCTACGTAGTCATGGCTGTGTCGGCTATAGCAAATATTGTCAAAAGTTCTTTGGGCCCGGTGGGGTTGGATAAAATGCTCGTAGATGATGTTGGGGTAAGAATAAACTAAAGAAAGAAGTCGCTTAAATGTGTTTTAGTGTACAAATTTGTACAAATTCAGTTCAGGTTGATATCATGCAGTTTAATATAAGTTATTTCTGTACAAGTACAAGTATTTGATGTCGCATCATTTGGGCAGGGCGGGTTTTCCTTTCGAGTTTTTTGTTTATTCAATGTTTGTCATACCTTTTGCATAAGGTGAGAAAATATTGAAATCTCGTATTAAAAACAATTCCCAGTATTTACATTTCACTTAATACTACCAGGGACAAGGTGAAAAGTTTCCAGAAAACTTCAGGTCTATATTTTCTGAGGTTTATTGATAAAATTTGCAACAACATTTTTGACTATCTTTGTTTCATACCATGCCTTGTTACAGTAAAATACCATATACGTACAGTAGACCTGCTCCACTCTGGAACCGTTCAGGGTTGGTAAGTTACTGAATAAATAAGCCAAACATTGTTATTGGTGGCACTTTGATTTCCTTTGTTTTAAACAAAGAAAACAAATGTTATGTTAATAAATTTGGCTTATGTATTCATAAAATCTACCAACTCTGGAACTGTTTGAGTTCTTTCCTTCATACATATCCTAATAAACACAATTGTCCACCATTACTCTGGTTGATTAACATGTTTCTGGCCATTAAACACACCAAACTGGCTTGTCTGCTCTTATTTCAAATAGTTGATTTGTATTATATGTTGGTATTTTTAAAAAATCATCCAGCGAAACCACTCCTGTTTTATCAAAAATTTTGGAGCATTACGGACTTTTACGGTATTCTTGTTGTTCCAATATAACCAGAGAGCAGCGTCTTCAAACAACTTAGCATCAAATGTGGTATAACAACTGCCTAAAATAGACAAAACACTTCTCGACGTTTCGACCTGAGGGCCTTTGTCAGGAGAGTCATGAAAAAAAGGAAATACTAACTCTCCTGACAAAGGCCCTCAGGTCGAAACGTTGAGAAGTGTTTGTCTATTTTAGGCAGTTGTTATACCACATTTGATGCTAAATTCTTGTTGTTGCTTTTAGGATGTGACTGTAACCAATGATGGTGCTACCATCCTGAAGTTACTTGAGGTTGAGCACCCTGCTGCAAAGGTTTTGTGCGAGCTGGCTGACTTACAAGACCAAGAGGTTGGCGATGGTACAACTTCGGTTGTAATATTAGCTGCTGAATTGCTAAAAAATGCTGAAGATCTGGTTAAGGCTAGAATTCATCCTACCTCGATAATCAGTGGATACAGACTTGCATGCAAGTAAGTTTGTTGAAAAAGTTTGCTTTATTTTTTGTAAAATCATCCTCGCTAGAGCTTAGCAATCGCTGAAGGTCTACACAATTTAATTTTGTTGTATCAAATTCACTTCTGATCTATGAAATGTATTCTATTATTGATAAAGCTGTAATTGTATTGGCTTTAGTTAATTTGTTCTCTATGAACATTGCATTGTATGTACATAATGGCTCAATATTGGACATAAGTCAACAGACTATAACATCAGAAGTGAATTGGATCCAATAAATTGAATAGTGAGCTAGAACAGACCTTAATACATCAAGGTGAACATAATTTTTTCAACAGGGAAGCATGTAAGTACATTAATGAACATATGACCATTGGTGTTGATGAGCTTGGAGAAGATTCTATTGTAAGTGCAGCAAAGACTGCTATGTCTTCTAAATTGATTGGGCCAGATGGTGATTTCTTTGGTAAGATGGTCGTTGATGCTGTCATGGCTATAAAAAGGGAGACGAAAGGTGATGTAAAGTATCCAATAAAGTCCATCAATGTACTAAAAGCTCATGGAGCCAGTGCTCGAGAGAGTATGTTGGTCAGCGGTTATGCTTTGAACTGTACCATTGCATCACAAGGTAAATAATTTCTCTGGTTGTTAACCCATTCCCGGTAGCTTACAATCCACCCAGATCTGCCCTACTTCGGTAAACGAATTATTACCAACAAAATTATCATCTTTTCTCTCACCATTTTTTTCTAGCAATGCCTAAGAAAGTAAGCAATGCTAAGATTGCTTGCCTGGATTTTAGTTTACAAAAAGCTAAGATGCAACTTGGTGTGAGTGTTGTGGTTGAGGATCCTGATAAACTTGAAGCAATAAGAAAGAGGTGGGCAAAATTTGTTTTCATTTAATGTTGGGTTTAGCAATAAATGCAAGCCTGAGTTACTCAAGTCAAATTTTGATGCCTTTTAGAGAGTCTGACATAACTAAAGAAAGAATTGAAAAGATCCTTGCAACTGGAGCAAATGTTGTTCTTGTTAGTGGTGGTATTGATGATCTTTGTTTGAAATATTTTGTCGAAGCTGGGGCGATGGCTATAAGACGTTGTAAAAAACAAGATCTTAAAAGAATTGCACGTGCAACAGGAGGTGAGCTGCTCATAGATATCAGTAGTATGACTTGATGGATTTACTACATTCTTTCAACAAAGGTTTCATGTCTTCTTGATTTTCTTTTTCATGCAAAATTTATGCACAAAGTATGCTTAAACTGTATGAAACATGGTAAATTATGTGTGGGTAGTTGGATTAAAGTTATTTTTTCAGACTAAACCAGAAGTAGCCTGCGAGCAAAATGTAATGTTATCTTTTCTAGCAACAATGGTGCTGACATTGACAAACTTGGAAGGGGAAGAAAGTTTTGATGCTAGTATGTTAGGACAGGCTGAGGAAGTTACACAGGAGAGAATCTCTGATGATGAACTTGTTCTTATCAAAGGGTAGGTTTGCTGATTCAGATGAGGATGCTGGAGCCATCCATTTAGTTTTTTGTTTACTATGGATTAATTCACTAAAGTTTTATAGTATTTAACCTTACTCTTATTTCATTCAGTCCAAAAGCAAGGTCTGCAGCATCTATCATTCTTCGTGGAGCAAATGACTTCATGTTAGATGAAATGGAAAGATCGCTCCATGACGCATTGTGTGTTGTGAAGCGTGTTTTAGATTCAAAGAAAGTTGTTCCTGGAGGAGGGGCTGTAGAAGCTGCTCTATCAATATACTTAGAAAACTTTGCTACCTCTCTTGTAAGTTAAAATGCAATTGTTTTCTAATAAAATGAGCTGGTGAAAAGTGTTATCCTCCTATGTAATGAAATTTTGACCTATGGTATGACTTGCTTCTCAATAACTTACTGATTTTTTTGTCAATTCTAGGGATCAAGAGAGCAGTTAGCTATAGCAGAGTTTGCAAACTCACTGTTAGCCATACCAAAAACATTGGCTGTAAATGCAGCCAAGGATTCTACTGAATTGGTTGCAAAACTTAGAGCATATCATAATACATCACAAACAAACAACGATAAAGTGAACTTTAAATGGTAAGTTTTGTCATCTGTAAAAGGAATTTTGTGTTACCTGTGATAGCTTTCATCGATGAGCTAATACTACAACTTAAACCTTTCTATTTTTTAATAGGATGGGTTTGGACCTAGTTGAAGGTACCATTCGTGACAGCAAGAATGCTGGTGTACTAGAGCCGGTGGTTTGCAAAGTAAAGTCCCTTAAGTTTGCTACAGAAGCAGCCATAACTATTCTACGTATTGATGATATGATAAAACTGGATAAAAAACAAGAGGAACCAGCTGGTAGGTCTTATCAGGATGCTGTTCGTGGAGGACATCTTTGAAACAGGTAGAAAACTTAGAAGTTATATTGAAATGTAAATGTTGATATCTCTGCAGTGATTGCATTAACAGAAAACTTAAGAGATCTCCTGAAATATTTTTATGTGAGCAATATTTAAAATAAGCATAATAAAACTAGAACCAAATGTCTGTTTTTCAAACTTACATAATATAAGTGCAAAATAATGAAAACCAAGACAAAATATTGAAATCAATGCTTCTCCATAGAGTACATTAGTCCATTAAAGGCATGCCATATCATTTATACACACATGTTAACATTTTCATACTACCTACACACATAGGTATTGTTATAATTTATCATTTGTTCCAATCTTTGTTTTTCCCAATAGTTTTATTATATTTCCATACACTAGCTTTTATATTTTTATCATTTGTTCACATCTTCGGCATGAGTCCATTTAGGTTTTCGTTTTTCAATGAAGGCTTTAATTCCTTCATTGCCATCTTCCAATTTTAAATTATCAACCATTACTTTGCCAGCTATTCTGTAACAAACAGAAATTAAATCATTAGTAGTCTCATGGTCTTATTACATGCAGGTCCATTTAAACTGTTTGGCATAGGTATGCATTTAGAAAGTGAACATTAAACCACTTTACCGGTACGCCTCGTCTCTTTCTTGTGTGATCTGTTTATAGTAACATTTCTTGCCTATGGCTACCACAGGCTGACTTGTTGTGCAAATCTGCTCTGCTAGTTTCATTGTCTGAAGATAAGAGTATTCAATATTTATACGTTTTAAGAGTATGCAATATTTAAGTTGGCCAAAGTCCTTGCACAAATGCTTTCACATGCAGATTTGTGAATACCTCTGACTCCAAGTCTTCCTCTGGGACCACTTTATTGATCAAACCATAGCGGAATGCATCTATCGATTGCAAGATTTATGTATTCATAATTGATAGAAAATTTGTGCGCAGCATGTCTCTATACATTGGAATTGGAGCCTTGTGAACTCCAAGTAACACTTTACCTTCAGCTGAAATTGGTTTTCCAGTGAACAGCATTTCCATTGTGATTTTATGAGGGACAGCTCTGCCAAGAGCAACAGCTGGCGTTGAACAGAATAGGCCAATGTTTACACTGCATAATGAATAGGAAAAGAGTTGGCAATGGTAGTCCAATATACGTATGCATTTTTTTCTGTTTTGCTTATTCACAATTGGAATTGACTATAGGAGTTTTACATCTCTTTTGTAAGCTAAGAAAACGTTTCCTACCCCGGAGTAGCAAAGTGTGTGTTTGTTGCAGCCACAGCCATATCGCAGCTGGCAACTAGTTGACAACCAGCTGCTGTTGCCAAACCTAGTAAGACACACAATATCATTGAAGGGTAGAAATTGATTTGTAAATTTTATCAATCAAGCAATTAATACCTTTCACTTGAGCAATAACTGGTATTGGCATATCCTGTATGAAACAAAATAATTTGTCAAGTGATACATCATTTGGCAAACACTACTTGGTTACTTAACCAAGGTGTAACATATTACAGAGTCTGAGCTGATTGTTAAAAATATTGTGAACAGTGGCCAATTTTACTTTTGAAATTATATTACCTGTATTAGTGACATAACTTCGCTGCATTTGTCAAAAATTTCTTTATGGTATGAGCTTCCAGTCTGCCTAGTCTGAATGCAGAGTTGTACTTAGGCAAGTTTCATATGGAAATGCTACATTAATGACTGCAGAGTTTTGAAGTTGTTTAAATTTTTATACCAGTTCCTTCAGATCATGACCTGATGAAAATACTGGACCATTGGCCGATATTATCACAACTTGTGTTTTTCTTTCGACATTTTCCAACAAGTTATTTTCAATGCATGACAACATTTCGAGTGAAAGTGCATTTCTAGAAACACGGAAAATACTCTTGTCTATGTTTTTATTAAACCTGAATGACATTGAATGGTATCGGCAAATTTAAAAGCTTTGTGGACCAAGGGATGTAGATGTACCTAGAAACTGGGCAAAGGAGGTAGGGGTGGTTTTAAAGTCACTTCAACTCCTTCCCTCCCCCACTCATGTGGTCATGTCCAGCTGAATTTATTAGAGGTCATTTGTTTGATAAACTGCAGTAAAGTCACAATTGAAATTGTAACAAATTAAATTTATTACTTTTGTAATGTAACAAGTTATATACCTTTTCTTTGGGTTATTTAAAACAATTTTTCCCACTCCGTTCTCAAAGCTGGCAAGAGTGAGGGTGGACTCTTTAGCGTTCGCAGTAAATGCGCCACTGAAACTTCGGCTTACAACCTGGTGTTTTGAAGAAACAATTTAAAACAATTAAATACGAATTAGTATAACTTGCAGCTAAAAGGCTTGTATGCACTTTTCCGCAGCAAAATTTACAGATATTTACATTGCATTTTCTTGAATGTCTTAAAAAAGTTTGGACAATATAGTTGAGGGTCGCCATTTTATTTTACATAACACACACTAGCAGGGGGGGGGACATGTTCATTGTATAAACATGATTGGAATTGTTGGAATTAGTTTCACTTTTTGCGTTTAAATTTATGGACATCAGTACATTAGTCATTTTAATGACATTAATTTTTAATTCTTTTCAAATACAAAGACCCAATCTTTCTACACAACTTTGTGGCTACTTTTAATTTTGAGAAAGTAAAAAAAATGTTATTTTTGTCGCCATTTAGTTAAGTGGTTAATGGTAAAATATTTAAACTCCCTGTTTTTGTACCCACCCGCTAGGGAGGGTGAATTAGAAAAATTTGGAAAATGTAAATTGTTTGTTTGTTTTTACTTCTTTTTATACTAAACAACTTTGATAAATTTACAGCCAGTCTTTTGGTGGTTCGGAAGTTAGATTACATTTGTGCATAAATTTCATTTTATAGTTTGTTTTCTACTTTTCCAATATGCATTGAGCAAGCACAGTTTGCTCCCGTTAGAACCATAGTCCAATTATCAAGCAGTTTCTGTATTTCTGGTCAATTTTGAACAGAGAATTTCGCGAGTCCGCCTCCACGGCCCCCTACGTCATGTCATTCCTGTACTAAGTGTACTTCCTTGTCAATATTAGAAAGTCAAATATTTTTTAGCTGTTGCATGGTAGTATTATACTGCAGCTTGCGAATACAGAAATCTATTTGAAATTTCGAGTACAATTTTCAATTTGATACAATTTGCTTCTTGCGAAAGAATTCGGAATATCTACAATGGCTTCTGACTTGTGGACGTTGCAAAACCCTGTCTTTGCGTTTTACTCGTTCTGTGCCTCCGTATTGCTGTTCAAAACGTTAATTATGTCCATTTACACTGGACGTACAAGACACAAGTATAAGGTAATACTTTGAATTTGTGTTGCATTTGAACTATTTTATGGCTGGTATAAATGATATAAATCTATGAAAATTTCTAAGAATACTCAACTATGTCAAAAATAAGCCAAATATAATTTATGCCAAACACAAGGACTGCTTTATATTAGGAGAGCTTAAAATCTTAAACTGAGCAGAGTTTTAACGGTTTTAGATGGATTCCATTTGTGCTTTTATTATGCAAACCATCAATATTTACAACAGAATTTAAAACTGATTCAATATATTGGTAATGCGTCAAAGCGATACGTCGTAAACGTTTTTAAATTGAAACAGCTTGAGTCCAATGTTGATATAATTTTGCCATATTTGCGTATTCAAATTCAAAAGGAAACAACATTGCCTCCACGTTTAAGATTTAATGGCTAGCAGACTTTGATTTTTGAACCACTTATGTATAGAGCTTTTCCTGGCCCGAGGATAATGTGATGCATGGAATAAAAGAAGAGGTGAAGCCACCTCACCCTGCTGTGGAACGAATTCGCAGGTCTGTTGTATAAACATAACAAGTGCTTAACTGGTGGGCGGGAAAAGGGACCTGCAACATTTACATTAATGCATTCACAATTAGACTATTAGAGCATGGGAGGAATGCACGAGGGCTAAACTTGCAAGATGGTGTTACCATAGACAATCCAGAAGAGTGAGAAGACAATGTCTTCTGGATTGTCTATGGTATTACCAAGAGATGACTTACAAGGACATAAGGTGCTCATATACAGATTCATATCTACACTTCCAAAACTGCTTAGCTAAATATTAGGTAGAAACGTTTCATATAATCAATTCTCACACAACTGTTAAACCCCAGTAGAAGCAAAATAGGCAATCAATACTGCTTTCTGTATTTATATTGTGTTTTCTAGTTGTCACCGAAATGATCTTGAAAACATTGTGCCATTCTGCATAATTGGTCTTCTTTACACCTTGACAAATCCCTCTCTGCTGACAGCGAGGTTACTTTTTGGTGCATATACAGTGGCTCGTTTATTTCACACAGTTGTCTTTGTGAAGCTACATCTGCAGCCTTATCGTGCCTTTTCCTTTTTGTTTTCCTATTTCATTACTTTTGTTCTGCTCATTTCCTTTTTTATACATGTACTGAGTTATATCTAGTGTAGCTCTACTGCTACCAAATTACTGTTGAGTTCTTGAGCATGAATATACCAAATGTTCTTCGCTAAATGAAAGTAATTTTTGATACTTAAGATCATGATAATTAACCTACTGGGTTTTCTATTAGGGGGCTAATTTAATTAGATCAATAAAATCATTCATAGTTTTTTCCAAAATCCAGAGAAATTAGGCGATGAAATGAAGACATATCTTAGACAATAGTATATTAATTTGATATTAATATTAATAGTGTGAGTACTAATATCTAGAGATTTTTGAAATAGATTTATTTTTAGTAATCTAAATATCTAACAATTGAAATACCAATGTGTTCTATTTTTGTACCCACTAAGGGAGGGTAATTTGGGTAAAGTCAATAAAAATTTAAGTCAATACAGCCAATAAATATTTAAATTCACCTCTGAAAATAGACATTTTATTTTAAATTCCCCCTCACTTATCAACACTGAACAGCTGTAAACTTTTACAGCCAATCTTTGACGTTAGACTCAATAGACTGACTGACTAAGTCATTGCGTGATGCATGCTGTGGGCATCCCCCCCACACACCCTCAGGGTAAATTTTGAAGTACACGCTCTTTGGACCTTTGGTCTTAGTTCTGACACTATAATTTGTAACTTTTGGTTGTAAATTCTGTCCTCTGTAGTATATAAATTGTTTTCTATTTACGATGGCGCAAGATTTGTGGTCGCTGCAAAACCCTGTTTTTGCTTTCTACGTCCTCTGCTCTTCCGTGTTGCTGTTCAAAACATTGTTCATGGCCATTTTGACTGGATATGTGAGAATAACGTACAAGGTAATGCCGTCCATTTTTTACCATGTGCATTTCAAGTCTTTTACAAGACTGAAGAGTCTGGTTATAGATTTATTTGCCAGGTTTCAATATAAAAGGGTGGAAGGCATGCAACTATAACATGTGTTTAAAGAAAGGAATAAGCACACTTGCTTTCAGCCTTTAAATAAATCTGATTATTGTTAGAGAAAAACTTTATAATAATTTACGAATTAGCTACAAATCAGGGAAGAGGTCTGCACTATAAAGTTTAAGCCTTGAAGTCGAGGTATATTTATGCCTAATGGAGTCTGGGTTAATTGATCCCAAAGCTTTGCTGTAATAAAAATATGTTGTGAATTTATTTAAATGCTAAATGACCAGAATATTGTTATTTGTATGTAGAGCTATTCATGGGCAGAAGACAATGTTTCTGCAGGAGTTAAAGAGGTTAAACCAGAACACCCTGTTGTGGAACGCGTGCGCGGGTTAGTGAAATATCAGATTAATACTGGTTCAATGGGTTGGGGGGGGGGGTTCGGTGTAATTGATTAGAGACAGGGTTGACTAAAGATGGGGCAAAACCGCATAAGAACTTATGCTTTAGATATTGCAATATAGGTATTCCATGAGACAGTTTAGGTATCTTATATATCATATAGATATTGCTGCTATCAGTGTTATGCACTTAAGTCATATAATTCATGCATGTTTATCAGTTTATTTGCTAATTTATTTGCTAATCTCTTTTAACATGGTGACAACAATTTACAATATAAGTTCATTTGATAAGTTCAGTACCACATTTAATGGGCTCCCATGGTTATTTATAGCATATTATTGTTATAGCTCATAAGCAGGTTTTGCAGATAGGCCAAACAACATTACACTAGTTCTTTGTTTTCTTTGTTTTCTTGATAGCACTAATGACAATTTAGTCCTCAAATATTTGCATATCTAGGGTTAGGGTTCTCTGCACATAAATCAACTCTGCTCATAAATCATATTGTGTTTTCTAGATGCCATCGGAATGACATTGAAAACAATGTGCCATTTGGTATAATCGGTCTGCTTTACACCCTGACAAATCCATCTGTGTGGATAGCCAGGTTACTGCTTAGTGGGTTTACAGTGCTACGTTTACTTCATACAATCATCTTTTTGAAGCAACTCGGACAACCTTATCGATTCCTTTCCTTTCTGTTTGCTCTCATCATTAATTTTATAATGCTTATCTCTGTTTTCATACATGCACTGCCACTGATAATCTAGTTTTGAAATATTTTGCTTTCTGAAATCACATCTGAAATTGCATGTATAAACGTGATTACATACACAAATATTGTGGGCTAATTTTGTTTAGAATTAGTTTTTATTTCAAATATAATAAAGGATGCAAACATGCAGAAAAGTGCTTGTGTATTTTCTTTATTTAATACAGTTCAACATTGTCCATATAGTTTGGACAAACTCAGTTTAGGGTTTGTTTAGCTATTAACTTCTTGGCTACCATCACTTTAATTATATTGCACTCTGCAGTTTCTTAAAAGCAGCCTGCAAAATTAACACAAATACACAGTATGGTTTCAATTTATTTATTTTGTTTTGAACAGCATTTTTACAATCTATTTGCTCTTCTTTGCTCTTATCTTTTTGACGTAGAACTCAAGTTCTTTGCCTTCCAAAATATAACCATCACATCTACCACTCTGACCAGGTCTTGAAGAGATACATGCTACAAATAGTTTAAAATATACCAATGTTAGGACCTTGCCAAACCTACAAAAAATGTACTGCAAAAGTGCTTATTACCATAAAGCCGTCCAGTCACAAACTGTTCATCAAGACCAGGCGTAACTTTAGCAGTGGCTTTCCGTCCTTCCATCTTCTTCTCCTGATGTTTCGACCTCTTTTTTTGCAATTCCTCTTCTTCAGTTTCCGTCTAATAAAAAAATGTTTATCACCATTTCAAATACACCAGTAAACATCATTGCTCTCAGAACCAGAAGTGCAAATAGAAATTCCTACCAATTTTGTTCCCTTCTTCCTTCCAAGAGGGGTTGCATAATGTGACTCATACCTAGAAAATAGTTAAGAACTGGTCAGGGTTTATAACTAAGGAACAGATTCCATTGATAATAATCCTTAATACCTTACCATTGTCTAAAGGGATTGCTATCAACTTGAACGATGCAGTTCTTCACAAGAGTTTTCGTTCTCACAAGTTCATTGTTGCTTGCGTTATATACAACATCCATGACACGGGTTTTTCTGGTAATGCCTAAGAATTCAATTAAAGCTTGCAAGTTTAAACCGGTTATCAGAATTAATTCAGGGGAAAAGGGGTCATTCCCAATTTGCTTTCTATTGACATCTCTAGGTATGCTTTTAGCAATAAAAGGGTATCCAAAGGTACCAAGTTTCACTATGGCAATCAGAGTAACTATGACTTTAAAAAATCATATTTGAAGCTTGAAGACTATGACAGTCTCAAATTTCCTCATACATATAAAACAAGGTCATCATTTTGCCAAAATTTGAAACTTTTAACTGTATTGGCCAGAATATCATGGTGCATTTCATCTTCACTCACTTTCAGATCCCCAGGAAAAGTTGCCATGGTCGAGACGTAAAGCTCTGAACTTTCTATTTCCACCCCTAGTTCTTACTGTATGGATTCGTTTTTGACCAAGCTAAAATACCAACACAAGCATAAGTTATGATGTGGAGCTCTATGGTGGTTTGAAATGGGTGTCACAAGGGTTGTCAAACCTTGGTGTTGGCAGGTGGTCGACCAAGTTCGTATTTTCGTTTTTTTCTAATGGCTTTCTTCTTGCCTCCGGTTGCACGTCGCTTGTGCCAGTTATCACGGGAGATACCTGTACATCACCACAATCATATTAACAATTAGAGAAACCCAGTTGAAACCAGGTACCAGAGAATTTCGGAGAGTTTGCAGACGTTTGATATTGTAAAGATGTCATGTAACTCATGTTTATAAAATCATGGGTTATCTATTTGCAGTCTCTCGTTTGAGAGAGACGGAAAATCAGAGTGCATAGAGTTATTTGTTGCTTATTTGATGTGAATTTTTTGTGAATATACTGTATTTAAAATGCAATTTTCGAGATGAACTTGTCTCATTCTGTTTAGAAATTTATGCAGGAATATGGTTCCACATAGTTAAATATTAAACTGCATCAAGAAAAACATGCATTCTCCGGATATTTGAGGGGAATAACCTAATTCAACAATCAGAAATACGCAAAGGATTTATCGCGACGAGGATCACAAATTGTAAGACCACAACAAATTGTTCAACTTCGTAATTTTGTTTTCCCGAAAAATTCCCTAACAAAGCTCACTGTTCCTAATTATTCATTATTTAAATACGGCTCTGTTTATCAGAGAATGCGATTTATATTTCGTTTCCCTTGGGATTCAAACGGATTGTTTTTGACCATCAATAACAAAAAACTTACCCATGTTGATCACTGGTTCGAAAAGAAAGAATTTTTGACCGGGATTTGGCTTTTGGCTTCGGAAAGCTGGGCCGAGAAAGCATCAGGTTATTGAGCCTGTATTTCTTTGTCAAGCGGTAAATCCACTGTACTATAAAATAAAACTGTATGGCTAACTCAGGGGAAATGAAGTTATAAATATTATCCAAAGAAATACTGGACGCTAAACATTCATCTTTGTATCAAACTGAAGCTAATTAAAAATCCCACCTTGTGTAGAAATTCTAAGACGGTAAATACAAAAATAACTTCCCATTTTTATTTTTGTATTTTTTTTGGTACCACCCTGAATTTTGGCGTGAATCGTTCTGAGCCATACTATAATTCCACAATTACTGTAATGAGTTATATAGGAATTATAGTATAGCTCAGTGTTCCAGTCACATTTATTTGGATCGATATCAGAATACTTTCGAATTTCCCCCCATGCAAAATAATAGGAAATCGCCCCCCGTCTTTTCTAGCAAGCAACCGCAGACTCTTCGTCACACGTACCGCGGGCTTGGAGAGGTACGCTGTTTCTTGTAAATTCTGGTCTCTGGATGATGCAGCCAATTTGGCAGCCAATTTTTTCATTTTGAAGTTTCTTTTTGAAACAATTGCAAAGTATGATTGTTTTGAAATAATCGGGGCGAACTCGCGAAGCATCGAACAAGAGTTTACAACGAAACGATGGGTTCAAACGCGACGGACAAGGAGAAACTTCTGCGCGAGACCGAAGCAATGCTTCGTGCTGTCCTTATCAGCAGCCCTCGCGGAGTACGTTTCGAGAAACTGCAACGGGATTTCTTTGAACTGACGGGAAAACAAATACCATTCAAAGAGCTGGGTTATCCAAGGCTCGAGAACCTTCTGCAAAGTATGCCCTCAGTAGCAAGGATAGAAAAGGAACCAGGTGGTGACTTCGTTGTGAAGGGGGTGGCCTCAAGTGCTGACCAACACGTTGCGAAGTTGATCAGCAAACAGAAAAAGCCTTCTCTCAAGAAAGGGGCGAAGTCGTTCGTGGCCAAACGAAGGCAAATTCTGTTTCAAAAGAATGCAATCACCCCGGTGAGGAAACCCATTGGGCGACCACGGCCGCCAATCCATAAAAGTTCAAATTTTATGGCCCCAAAGTTTGTACCACCAAGAATGCAGCGACTACAACAGGAGAACAACAAGAACAGGGCTGTTGCACTGCCACTGAGACAAAATACGAAGGCTAAAGGTATGTGCATTAGTAATACGTCTGGGAAATGGGTGTTTCCAGGGTTGTTTCCTGAACAGGGTGGCAGTTTTAGAGAAAAACAGTTTAAAACTGATAGAGTTATCCAGAATAAATAAAGTTAGTTTAGTTTTGGTTTCCTCCTGTAGTAACACTGGAACAATAAGAGATGATTCTTATTGGACCTCTAGGAAGAACAGTTTAAAATTGATAGAGTTTATCAGTATAAATAAAGTTAGTTTAGGTTTAGATTGCATGGTTGGTAGTTGTGTCCATTTATTCTGTAGACTATACCGTTGGCAAAAAGGTATCAGTATGCAGAGACGAAATTTTTAAGAAGGCAATCAATGGGGTGAAAAATCAACTGCAGCTCTGCTTAAGTTCCTCATCACAAGGTTCTATTTGCGGCACAATGTGCTTCTTTAAAATCAGCTAGGGGTATTTTCATTGCAATGTTGTGTGTGCTTTAATTTGGCTCATAAAGTATCAAGTTTCACCAATATATTCTGCTTCTTTGCACAGCGAAGGTCTTGCACATTGCCTTTCAACTTTCCGACAATTGGACGAAATACAGTGAACTGCAGTGCGACAATCGTAATTGATTATAGATAACTGTGTTTTATTTGGCGCTTAAAACATCATAGGTCCCTCGTTACAATAATGTGTTATACCCTTACCTGAAAAGAACCCAGTGTTCTCTAACAATTGAACTTTTTAGATCCCATGAATTTGTCGGTCAAAGTGTCAAACAATGAGAGAAGTGTCACAACTGTCGCCTCTCATGATCAAGAGCACCCTGTGGCATCTGGTATACTCGAGAACGCAGCGTCAGTCAGATGGATCAAAGCGGTAAGTAATACATCTGAAATGAAACAGGGTATGCTATTCAAAGACAAAACAAGCGATGAATGTTATTTATTTGTTTCCACAAAACATGTAGCCTAGTTTTCTTTTTATCTCATTTCCCACATCTTATTTTGCTGTTTTCTCTTGCAGGAAATTGAAAAAGCTAACAGTGGACTGTGGGCAACACGTCTGGAACACCTCTTCAAAGAGAAGTTTAAAAGAGCGTGTCCGAAGCAACTTATGCAAGAGCTAAAATTTCGACCAGATATCACACGAGTGGAGGAGCCTATTGCTGGGAGATTTTTACTCTATGCTCCAAGACAACAACAGGTATATATTGTATATTCTGTTTTTCCATTGCGCCCTTCCAAAAATTCCCTGCACGCTCGCTCAGCTTAGCCACTGATCTATGTAAAAGCTTGTAGTGTTCTTATATTTATACAAGGCTGCTACCATACCTACTTTACTGTCATGTCTCTTTGATGCATTGGAGTTTGTTATGGTTCTACGGGGATGATTTCTCTTGAGGGAGGGTCATACTGTCACCAGTACAAGAAGTGATGAAAATAAGAATTTCTGATCATGAAGTTTTTTTTATGCCAAGGGGGGTGTTGGGTTATTTCTCCGGGGAGGTATGTATCCCTTTGCATTTTGCTAGCTAGAAGATCTGGTTTGTGCAGGTATTGACAGGCTGTTAAATTGAAGTGATTTCACCTGCTACCAGGTAAGAGGAACCACAATCATTTGATTTTTTTTTCAATTTGTAGCCTCCTGTAGCTTCCGGATCACATGTTGGAAATCAGATCCAAGTGAACAAAGCCGACTTCGTAATACCATGCTATTTACCTGATGTTGGGTATGCGAGTTTCGTTCCAACATTTCATTTGATGCAGATTCAAATTGCAATTTCAATAAACTATTGTTGGTCTTGTTTATACTTTATCTAAAGAGTCTGTTTAAAACTTTCATTTCTTGAGAGATCATTTCATTTCTTGGAATTTAATTCAAACCTGCACAGTATAAATGACATGTTTTTACTTGGTATTAATTTTTATATTCCATTTTGTAGTGCGTCAGTTCTTGTGTACATATCCCATATGGAGAACCTCAGCTGTTTCTATGTCAGTCTTTCAGATTCAATTTCTGAAATGTTGAGCGAAGAGATACGCAAGCATTACAAGGTCAGTGTCAAGTTCAGACACCACTGAAATATCTCAACCTTGCGCTTTCCTCATCTTCTCTGCAATGTCTACCACCTCACATCTTCTGATCTCTACATTTCATAATGCGTATATCTCTGACCATCTCTCCTTCATCTTTATCATATCATCTAAACCTTTCTTCCTTTATCTTCTCTGCAATGTCTACCACCTCACATCTTCTAATCTCTACATTTCATAATGCGTATATCTCTGACCATCTCTCCTTCATCTTTATCATATCATCTAAACCTTTCTTCCTTTATCCTCTCTGCAATGTCTACCACCTCACATCTTCTGATCTCTACATTTCATAATGCGTATATCTCTGACCATCTCTCCTTCATCTCTTCTTGTTACATGTCCATATCATTTCAACATTTCTTCCCTCATCTTCACTGCAATGGCTACCACCTCACATCTTCTTTAGATTTCCCCATACCGTAATATCTCTGACCAGCTCTCCTTAATCTCTTCTTATTATGTGTCCATATCATATCTCAACCTTGCTTCCCTCATCTTCTCTACAATGTCTACCGCCTCATATCTTCTGATTTCTACACTCCATGATATCTCCTACCAGCTCTCCTTCATCTCTTCTTATTACGTGTCCATATCATCTCAACCTTGCTTCCCTCAACTTCTCTTCAATGCCTACCACTCCACATCTCCCCCCTCCCTTCCCTCCCATCATTAAGCAAAAAGTCGTCTCACCCAACAATCTTCTTTATTTCTCAGACAAGTCAATACAACTCCGATGCCATTCCATCAATCTCCCAAGGACAGATATTCTGCGCCCAATTCACGGAAGATAAAAATTACTACCGCGCACGCGTCCTGGAAGTGGTTGACAGTGCGCATGTCAAAGTACTCTATCTTGACTTCGGTAATAAAGAGATTATCTCAGTGGAGAAACTGCGGGTCCTTATCAGCGATTTTCAAACACAACCAATTCAAGCATTTGAGTGTTGTTTAGAAGGTGTGCAGCCTTTAGACCAGGTACAGTAAGTTCGGCCTAAAATACTTTATTGATAAACTAAAATAGTTTTTCTGTGTTTTGAGATGAATTACTTGATCCCAAACCTCCGTTTCTAAGTGAAAATAAGAGGGAATTCCAAGACTTTAGAAAGAAGATAGATCTTTTTAAACGCATAACAACTGCATGCCATCCGGTAAAGATCCGGAAAATTGTTGGCAATTCTTGTTGAAAATTGTTGCAAAACAAATTTTAGTATTTTCACTATAGGTAAAGTCTTGTTATGCTTCAATGAACAATTTTACAATGAAATTTTTTTAGTGTCAGGAATGGAGCGAGGCAGCCATTGTTAAGTTTGATGAACTGACAAGCGAAAAGGAACTGCGGATGACCGTGCACGAGATTGACGGTAAAATATTGTTCTGAAACCCTGTTGTTCAGTGGAGATTTTCAACATCACAGGCATTTTAGAATTCTTTGGGTAAAAATGAAATTTTGGAATTCTCGGTGTTTTTAAGGTCATTCTTGCGACCGAGCCAAATTGAGAATATGATATATTGAGATATTTACATCGATGTCGTAAATTTATTAAAGTTTTAGTGATTTTAGTGATAATCGAAGGAATATTTCCTTTTTGTCACGCGGTTAAAGTGACTTAGAGTTCAAGACCTACTTTGAGGGAAATTTCCGTTCTGAGAGTTTCATTTCACAGTAGCCTCTTGATTTACACAGAAGATATCAATACTTTCTCTTGAATTTTGTGACGTAACGTTCATGTTCCCTACGTAATTCCGGGAATTTGCCCTGATTTCTTGGAATAGTAGAGACGCGGTATATTTCCGATGCTAATTGTGATGAATATTTCATCAGTGTTATTGACGCTTGTTTTCCTTCCTACTTCCTTGTCAGGCGCTATCCTAACAGTATCTCTTGTGGACGTGTCATCGGAGATGGACATTGCTGAAATGATGAAGAGAGCTGGTTTAGCCGTTGGGACTAAAAACCTGGAGACAACTTCATCATCGTCATCTTCCTCCCTGTCCTCCTCTTCAGGGTAAGCAAAGCTATTTGTAGATCAGTGAACTGTAATTAAACCTGAAACGCTATTTAACTTGGCCGCTATCTTTGATGCCAAATTTAAATGTAGTTTTTCTGAGTTTTTGAACGTTTGAGATAGACGTGGAGAGTAATTATCTAGGAATGTCTAGAACTATGTAAGATACAATTATTTGCTAATTTTTATAAAAATTGAACGAGAAACAGAGTCAGAAACGCTTCAATTTTTGCATCAACCAAGCATCGCGCTGAACTATATATAGGAGTTAGCGTTCCAGATTTTATGGTGTATAGACTAGGCTCAACTCTGACTTGATTATGTATAGTAATTATGTATAGTTAATCTGGTTCGAATTCCTCCCGTACTCTGCAGTAACACTGCATGATTAAGAATGTAAGCTGTATCTATATAGCATTTAAACATTTTTAGACCAACGTTGGAGAGGTCTCCTTCAAAAACAGAAAGCGTTGCATCGCGGTCTCGTCGCTTAAAATCCAAATCCCCAGGTACGCCAAACAGAATTCCTCAGGTTTCTGGCTGGAACCATGATGGGCAGAAATTTGCCCAAGAGTTTTTTTTACACAACAACGCTGCAACTTCGGTCAGAAGGGAACAAGAGTTGCGAGATGTCTGATTCATTTAAAAACATCGCGTTCAAACTCATTAAAAGCCAAGGTTAATTCGAGTGCTATTCTTGCCTTTCTCTAGGTATTGTTGAGTTGCCGGACGAGCTGTTTCTTGATGTTCTGGTTTGCAATATCACGGGAACTTATGACGTGTATCTACGTCTGGTCGGCGAGGAATACTCGGTGAGCTTTTGAGAATTCAAAGTACATGAATATGTCGAGAATTTGCATCCAAATGTGATCCTCAACGAGTCACATAGTTTTCATAGTATATTTATATTTTAACGAAGTAAAGAATTCCAAATGTCTATTACAACTTTCCAAACGAATCTCACCACTCACACCGTCAGATAGCACACGGCCTATAAATTACTCTCTCTCGCTCGCTCACTATAGTTCCTCACTCACTGAATGTCTCAGTCCAACTAACTCTCTCGCTCTCCACACCACATACACCTTCATCCTATCAATCACTGTTACATAACTAGAATATAATTAAGCAAAGGAAACATTTGTCTGTATAATAATCTTATCTGTCAGTTCCCGACAAATATTCTATCCTGAACTCTGAGTTTAATCCGTACCCGAGCTGGACCATTGCATGTTTCCATTTCCAAGCATGATCTTGATCCCATTACAACCTAACTCTGACCTGAATCTATCTGCTAACTTTAAACCACCGGACTTGTTTTCGTAGACTAAATTAGAAGCTATTCAAGAAAGTATGACGTGTTATTACAGCGATTCAAAAGGTATAGGCGACTAAATTATGTCTTCACTGGATTCTGGAAAATACTTGTTGAATGCTCAAGAATAACCTTTCGGAAAATTAAAAATAACGTCCGTATATTTGAATTTATTAGACGAAGTTATCACAGACCCTGCCAACGGTGATTTGTTTGCGCTGATTTCGGACGAGGTCTGGTGTCGAGTTAAGGTGACGAGTGTAAATGGCGGGGAAATTAAAGTGTTCTTCGTTGATCACGGGGACAGCACGGTGGCTAGTAAAGATCAGTTGAGACCTTTGGCCCCTCAATTCAGGCAACTGCCCTTTCAGGTATTTATGTACAAGATTGTTTAACCAATCAGCGCTCAGAAGTCAGAGAGGTTGTCAAACTGGATATTTATTTTGTAGTACTACAATATCTGCCACTTTTAAATCAATTCAGGTTTTCCAATGCGCTCTAAATGGCTTACCAAAGACCAAAAATCCGGACGTTGTTGAAACGTTAAAAAAGTTGATTATGGGCGAAGTTGCTGTGGCCGAGATTATAAAAAGGCAAGATTCTTAGTAAAATGTTTGAGCATTATGATGAAATTAAACCTCCAAGAATTAGTGAGAAACGTTTAGGTTAAGCTCAGTAGGTAAGATGCTGCCGTCTTGCGAAGTTCAACGATAGATGCTCGGCTTAATTTTTTGTGTTCATTTTTGGCGTTTTCTTTCAACAATGTTTAGGATGGGGGATTTGATATTTATCGAGCTATTGGACACAAGAACCGATGCTAATATTGTGGTGAACAATGTCGTGAGAAAGTTGGTTATACCCGACGAAGAGTTGAAACCTGTTTTACCAAAGGTTGGCCAGAGTACGGACGCCGATCTGGCGTACATTTCGACGGCGGGAAATGTATTTCTTCATGTTTCTGCTGTTGGGAGTAAACGATTGGAAGAACTGAACAGAGACCTTACTGAACATTATAAGTCCAAGGTAATTTAACTGCATTTATACTGCTCCAGTAAGGATCATCTCCTATTGATCCAGTGTTACTACAGGAGGAAACCTGAAATAAACAAACTTTATTTATACTGGATAGCTTTATCAGTTTTAAACGGTTCTTCCTAGAGGTCCAGTAAGGATCATCTCCTATTGATCCAGTGTTACTACAGGAGGAAACCTGAAATAAACAAACTTTATTTATACTGGATAGCTTTATCAGTTTTAAACGGTTCTTCCTAGAGGTCCAGTAAGGATCATCTCTTATTGATCCAGTGTTACTACAGGAGGAAACCTACACTAAACTAACTTTATTTATACTGGATAACTCTATCAGTTCTAAACTGTTCTTTGCTTATCCCAATGTTTTTAACTTTACATACAGCAATCGAAAGCAAGTGAATTTATTTCAAAGCCCGAAGCAGGCAAAATATGTTGTGCGAAAAGTGGTGATGGACACTGGTATCGTGCGAAAATTGTTTCTTTCACTGATAGGGATGTGAGTATCTTTGTTTAGTTTGAATTATTTTCCTCCACCCAATTTAAAACTTTTCACGTCAGCATATGTTCTGAATGCTCTAATCATTCATTGGTGAACAATTAATTTAACTCCAGGCTACGGAAGTGGTCTTCCTGGATTATGGTAATACAGAAGTTATACCCACCACAGATTTACGAAAACCGACTCAGGAAAACTCTCATGTCTTGTCACTGCCGTTCCAGGTGAGTTGCTTATGAATGTTTCTTCCGAAACGTTTAAGACTCGCTGGAAATTCTGGTTATATTAATTTGATGATCTTCAACATATTTTTAGGCGCTGGAATGCCAACTTTACGACGTACCGAAGGTAATTGTGAGGTTTAGAAGAAGTTAAAAAATTAAACATTCTTATATCAAATATATCAATGAAATTTCATATTGTTTTTAGTTATACCTTATTGTAGTAGTTACATTGATTGAAAAACTATTTTACATCAAGGCATTAGGAAGTTTTCTTGGAAGTTTAATGTACAGAATCTTCACATCGAGTTTAAGTTCATAAGTTTTAACGAAGAATTATTTAAATAACGTGCTTTTTAGGATGGCTGGAGCGACGATGTTATCAATCGAATCTTCGAAATTGTCGAACAAGGCAGCCTGCAAGCAGAGGTAAGGCGAAAACCACATTTACTGAACAAGAGAACACGGTTAGGGCTAAGATTTTGACGTTTCAAGGGCCTAGTTTACCAGGCCAGGCTTGTTTGTGCATTTTTACTTCGACCAGGACACTTTCGACTGAGAAATAGTTATTTTCAGCGTAAAATATACACGAACTCTGGGAAACCAACAAGCGATAACAAGCTTCGTCATTTTCGCGCCAAACTCGGTGCATTTGCTTTCGCCATCTGACGAAGCTCGTTGCCAGTGCATGGACTTTTGAATACAAAATTAACCAACAAACTCACATTCAAAAGCTCGACGACTATACGAGTTTTGGCTGATGGCGTAAGCAAACAGCGCACGAGAATGACGAGACTTGTACTCGTATAGTCGTACTCGTAGTCACTGCTAAAGTTATCTATTAAGGTGATATCAAAAGGTGATATACCCGCGGTGAGCCTTTTAGTTACAATGGAATCGGAAGGTGAGTGCGAGACTCATCGCCTCGCAAGTCTGCTCGGGCTTGGAGTCTTCGTAAACGGCAACCAACCTGTATCAAATATGGAGATCAGTAATACTGATGTTATAAAGAAGGAAACGCAAGCTGGAGTGAGCGAGGAAATATTGATACCAGCTAAGGAGGAAGTAAATCCAAAAAAAGTGGAAGATGAAAGAGCAAGCAGAGCTGCAAATATCTCTAATGCTATGAATGAATTGGTTGACAATTCGCAAGGCGTGAATACGGGTTTAAATGGGGGTCCTGGAGCACAGGCTGTGCGGGCTGATGATGTTAAGGTGACTGGTAATCATTTGCGATGGAATCCACTGCCACTTCAAGTTGGATGGTTTGATGTCTACATCACCGAAGTCAGAGACGCCGATCATTTCACGGTGGGTTGAGTTTGTTGTTTCGTTGTAAGGAAGTGGAGGTGATGACTATGGATCCATCGTTAGCAGTTGCTGATAACCGTAAGAGCAGGTTCTGGAGTCGTTTCAGTAAATCACTTTTCTCATTACTTAGTTTCAACTTTTGGAGAGCAATTCAGAGATTACCAAATTGGGGGAAGAGTTACAGGAGTTTTACCAGGTATGAACGAAACTGATTCGATGCAACAGGCGGGAATTTCGTTTTAGACCAATCAGCAAGTTTGTTTACATTTTCAGTAAGCCAATCAGAATGCATAAATTTTTATAAAAAGTACAATTTATAAAAAGTACATTTTACATGAAGTAGTAAAAATTTATGAATTCTGATTACCTTTGCCTAAAAAATGTAAACAAATATGGCGATTAGTTTAAAACGAAATTCCTCCTTGTTATTCGATCTAACAGTTTTTCTAGACGAGTTACGCCCAACCTGACTTTTTTACTTTCTAAACTGACTTTATACGTACTGGATTGCTCAGTTTAGTTTAAACTTTGACTGTAGAATCAAGTTGAAACTGAAGTGACGTTGGTCGAGGGAGACGTGGTTGCTCTTTTCTATGAAGCCGACGAATATTGGTATCGTGGTTTAGTTGAGACTGTAATCAATGAGGAAAAAGTGAGTAATTTTTTCGTGCGTGAAAAATCAGTCAGAGAAACAAATTTTGTTTAACTTAGATTTTGCGTTTCACAGGCGTACATTCGGTTCCTGGATTATGGCGGAAACGCTACCGTTAACAGGGAGGACGTACGCGTTTTGGATGAAAAATTTCTGAAGTTGCCATTCCAAGGGGTTTCAGCAAAATTAGCTGGTAAGTTGCAAAAACAATTGTTTTATTGGATTTACTAAAGGTGGTTTATTTAATTGGGAAGAGTTAAAATTTTAAGATGACAATGAACGTTTCGTTTTTAGGAGTAAAGTGTACAAAGAAAAAGTGGTCTAGGCAGTCTATTAAGCATCTTAAATACCTAATGTTGGATCGATCTCTAGTAGCGAGAGCCGCCAATGGCCTTGCTAACTACAATCTCGACCCCTCATCTACTGTTGAATTGGAACTTTGCGATACAGAAGACCCCAAACAGGACGTCTTTATTGCAGAGAAGTTTATTGCAAGTAATTTTGACGTCGTTTCATCGTTATCTCCAGCAATCTGAGGCTCTATGTGCGATTTATTAATAATTTGAAATACTTCATATTAATCGTATGTCGTCCGTCGTCTTGTGGTTCAAGAATGAGAATTTTCAGTAGGAGTGGAGACAGTCACCAATTACAGGGAATTGGAAAACGTTTAAATTGGAAATCCAGAGTTTTAATACAAGGCGGAATATATTGGAATGTTTAAAGGTATTGTGAAGGCATAAGTTCCGGTTGCAGAAACTCTTTACCGCCTTCTGTAACGGAAAGCAAATTTAAAAATTGAAGTATGACACAATGGATGTTTTTGTTCAATCTCAGTTAATTGGAGGTGTCGCTTCAGTCATTAGAGTTTGAAAATGTTCTTTCTATTGGCAAAAGGACAACGGTCTGGAGAGCAATATTTTTGAACAACCAAATTTGTGAGCGGGAACAATGTTTCAGACAGGTTTTACCAAAGTGATGTTTTGTACCAAGGCAGGTTTAAGGACGAAGAATTTTAAAACTTTTTTAGATATCACAACAGAACTACATGCCAGTAATCTTTGTTCTTGTTCTCAGTTTGGTTCAGGGAGAAATTTATCGTTAGGATGCTATTCTTCAGTTGTAAATGCTTCACCTTTAGCTGAGATGGAGTCCGGTTAATGGCGGTGCAACACTAGCTAAACTGAATGGCTAAATTATCGAAATGACCTGCCTGTACTAAGTCGGGGATAATAAAGTTGACGCCAGGAAAACTTTGGAGGCTGAAGTGAACATTCAGAATTCTGAAGAAAAAACTATGAAATTGATGTTACCTCCATGAATGATGATTGGAGATGCCTGGTTGAGATTTTTCTAATAGAAAAATGTGCGGATTGGACGCTTATAAACCTTATGGCTTGACTTTTAATGGTGCATGTTAGTAAACTCTTGGCATGCGAAACTGCTCGTTTTGAAGTAATGGACAACGAGAGGTGATTTAGGAGTTTCTTGAAAACGGATTGAAACGGTTTGATGGAAATGATGAGCTTTGGGATAAAATGCTGCAACTGCCTGTTTTCAAAACAGATAATCGCGCACTTGGATGCTTAACTGGCATTCATAATATTCATAATAGTATTGAATTTGAAGGCCTTTACCAATCATTGTTGGTGACATAAATTTGTGGTAATTTGAATGAAGCTCACAACTATGGCTGTAGATATGCCAAGCGAGCAAGTTCGCAATGAAACTGGACATTATGGCAGAATTTAATGACGGAAATAACAATCTTCGTTGGGTTTTAGACAAATTTAGTTGATTTGGAAGACGATAGACCTGATTTGACTCGTCGTGGCTGTGGAATATGTTATATGAAAGATACCAATTTTCGCCGTTGTAAAATGGAACTATTTGGCCTTTAAAACAATTCGTATTCGCCGTGGTGGAAGACGATACGAAAGAAGAAACTTGGATTTCACATTTAAACAGTTTTGTTTCAGAAGTTTTTAGACTCTGGCTGCTTCAGGAGAAAGTAATAATTTTTGTCCAAAAGGTAGACTTATAAAGCCGCCATTCTAAAACTTTTACGAATTACTGACCCATGTCGTATAAGTGGAGTACTTTTCGTATATAGAAAAACCCTGTTATTTTGAGGTGACCTATTTTCAAAGATATCAGCGTTAGATATGAAGGACAGGATTGTAGTGTGGGCTAAGAATTTTAGACACACGCTACTTTTTCATCTCGTTATAAAATGAAAATTGAAAAACTTGAAAAAGACTATTTTGATGTATTTTTCTAATGTCAATCAGTTTATTAAACTGTAAGAGAAATGACCAAAGAGTATCCTCGTTATGTCTCAATGCTTGAAGGGAAAATCGTTTATTTAAAATAACTATTGCCCACTGTTGCCGGTGAGTATCACGCTTTTGTTATTTTGAGGCCATGAACAGGGTTGAACTAAAACTACTTTTGATGTATGATTTTATATAATTCTCAGTCAGACCCAGGTTCCTCGACTTTACTATAAAAGGGCAAATATTTGAAACTTAGGTTTTTCACATAAACAAATGAACGCATTTACGGATGCAACAAGTAATAAGCTTTTCTATGGCCTGTATGCTTAGCAATTTCAGCTAAAAAATAAGCGAAATAACGAAACAGCTTTTCACTCGACTTATTGAAAAAAAATTCATTGTATTTCCCGCAAAGTATGCAAATTAATTCTGAATCTTTAATTTTGTTAGAGAACCGCTGCAGGAAGCCACCCGAGGCTCGTAAACAATATGTCGAACTTTTCTGAAGTTTATTGATGGAAAGTTCGATACTTCTGTTCGCTGGAAGAGAAAGACTGCTTTCATAATCAAGCTTAATCTAAGTGTAGCTGAAAGATTGAGGTCAGGATGAGTGAGGTACGTGTTTTAAAAGAAATCGGAGTGTTGTAACTACATTTATATCACAATTGATCGTGACAGATTTTTGTATATTTGTCATGTTCTCAAAGGTATATGTCTAGGGTGTGTTGGGCCAGTTTCGGTGTCCTCCTCTTACTGATTTTGAGACTTATGCTTTATTGTTTGTATTGGTTTGACGAGCACTCAAAATCGCTACTGTTTAAGGATCTGATCGCTGATGTGAACGTAATCACTGGGACAGAAATTAGAAAATGTAGTTTTGTTTTAATGTTTAAGTATACATTATTACATTGATGACAACAGAATGGCTGTACACAATGTCCCAGTTGTCTGAGATCAATAGATTCTTTAACCGTCGTTCTCCTGGACAATTTTACCCCTCCTTGACAAACGGTTATATTGATAGTATTGTAAACAAATTTATCTAACAGTTTCTCTTAGTAATCTCAGTGAAATGCCAGATGCTTTACTTGTGAGCTGTTAGGTTCTGGCATGTAACAAAGCAAAAGCTGGGGGTTGTATAACTTGTATTGGCTGCACAAGGCACTTACTATCCTTAACGATTTAGTATTAAGCACATGAGGGGTGTTCATTGGGAATTATGATTAGAATGCATCTAAATCTGTTACTAAAATGTTTCCACAGAATATCAAGGATCAGGTGCTTGCAGTGAAAGCAGAAGGGAATGACCATTTTAAGAAGATGGATTATTCAAAGGCCATAAGTAGTTACGAAAATGCATTGAATCTATGCAAAGGAAACAGTGAATTAAAGGAAGAACATGGAACAATATTGAAGAACAAAGCTGCATGCTTTCTTAAAATGGTGAGATCATGAGTTCATGTCTTGAAATAGTCTGATAAAAATTTATTACTCACAGTTGAATGCAACCAATTAAGAAATTCAGATTAGTGTTCTTGCAGTATTCTATTTTTGTGAACTTTCTGAAGTGTAACATTATTGATCGAAGGAATAACTATCACACTCTTATATATATATTGAAAATATGTTTTCATGTCTACAGGGTAATTATACCAAAGCACTAAAAGACTGCGATGAAGGTATGTTTCAATCCAACCTTCACTATTTTTTCACTCCAACCTTCAGTCTGATTGAAATCTGTCTATCATTACCAAAGTTAAGTTAATCATAGGAACCTTTTAAGATACACCAAATCTACTACATGGATGTATCATATGTTTTAGTTTTACATACAGCTCTGACCTTGTTTGCCAAAAGGAGTCCATAATATTTATTTCTGTTGTAAAACTGTGGAAATGAAGACAGTATTACTTCACGTCCGTATCATAGATTTGGTGTATCTTAAGGTCCTTTATATATTTGTACAACCATCTCTAGGCACTAACTATATTATTTAGTTTAAGAACCTTAAAGCTTGCAAAATTGTAAAGACTAAACCAATCTGGAACAGTTGTGGAATTTCAATAATTTCCTTTCTTGTATTTTATGATTTTTTTTTCTTATTGGTCTGTAGTTCAATCACCCCTTCTCAATCTTCAGATCGATCCTTTTATTTCTTTAAGCACTGCAATATTTACCAAAAGATCCAAAGGCGTTGTTCCGTAAATGTCAAGCTCTTGAAAAACTGGAGCGTTTAGAAGAAGCATATAAAACTGCCAGGATATTGGTTCAGATTGTGCCAAAGGTACAAAGGAATCTTCTGTTTTTAAGATATTTGATTGCCTTTTAAAGAGTTATATGACGTTTTTTCCTCTTTTCAAAATCCAAGGATCCAGCTGTCCAGCAATTTTTAAGGAACTTGACCCAACAAGTGCAGCAAAAGGTATTGATCAGGTTTTTTTTGGCCCGTGTTTTCAAGACGTTCATTCACTCGAGTTTTGGTAAATTACTAGACATTCTCGGTCTTAATTTCGTGCTTTTTTGCCCAGAATAAAATTTAATTCATTCATATCTACAGCGTGTAGAATGTTACCATGATATAATGAAACCATCACAGATATAATGAAACATGCATTTTGAAATTTTCAGACCGAAAAACAAAATACAACAGACGGCATGGTTGAGACGATGTTTTCGGCTATCTTCGATGAAAATGAACCTGATGATCGCAAAGTCCAGGTATCTAAAGAGATTTACGAGCGTGAAACTTGCTTTTACTTTGTTTCACAAGCCTTGGGTCAACTTTGAACACTTCCCTTTGTATCACAGGCGATGAAAAACCTGATCGTTTTGGCAAACAAAGATTCTGGTGCAGACATAATATGTAATGCAGGTAGGAAAGTATATGGTTAAAACGATGGAAACAAACTGAGGAACCTGTAATTGGTTTTATTCAGAGAAGAACGTCAGCCCTATGACTGATTTAGCGGGTAAGCTGGGCTTTCTTCTTTATCTTTGAATATATCATATTGATTAGCTTTTGCATTTTTAGGTGGAATCGGCAAGTTATCCAAAGTTTTGGAAGTCGGAAACGAGGAATTAAGACACCTGGCAATCAAAGTTGTTGGGGTTCTTTGTAAAGGAAGTGCTTTACGGGTGAGACTGAATTGTCCGTTTCGCGATGAAACGTTGACACAACGAAATATATTGATGTACCGAAATTAAAATAAGAAAACGGCCAAGAACTATTCGAATCAAGAAATACATGAAATCGATTTCTTTTTTCGATAGGCTGCAAGAGTGTTTGAAAGTTTGAAAGGAAGACTTTCTCCTTGTATAAAATCGGTATGCACTTGTTGTTTTCCGAGTAAAGTTACTAGTTCGTTCACTCTTGTAGCTTTGCTCGGTGAAGAACTAATAATTTTTTGAGAAAATATCCTTTTTGGCACAGTTTTAATTAGACACAGGTCTGCAGGGCCAACAGACCGAAAGCTTTGCGATGATAATATTTGTTTTACCAGAAATCTGCAGAGGTCTGCGACAGTGCCGTAAGCCTTATCAGTCAATTCATTCAAGCCACCGTCAGACAGCCCACCGCGAAAGAAAAGCAAAAAGACGAACAACCTCCTCTAGGTAAGCGACTAAGTAATACCTTAATCGATTATGGTGTAAATTTGTTGAGTTCCTTAAAGCTCATTTCTATGTGCGATTTCCTCTTTTGATACATGTGAACGAGTGGATTAGTTACGCACGTTCGAATAAGGACACGTATACATTAGAGCATTCATAACTATTCACTCGTTGTCATCGGTCTGAAGTAGAAAATCGCAACAAAAATCTATTTTAACTTTTTTAAACGTACCGTTTTTTTTAATCTGTATTATATAGTGTACAAAGATGAATTGAAATACGCCTGTTCGGTGCTGTTGGATAATTTAGTTGATCCTGAGTAAGGGAGTTAAGATGGCTTGTATTATATCTCAGCCGAAATCGTTCGTATCTCAATGACGGTTGTGTTAAAATGTCTGTTTCAGTGTGAATGCCCGGAATCGAAACGCCATTATCGAGTGTGTGATTACAGCAGTACCTGGAAACAAGCACATGGTCCAGTTATTTGTCGAACTAGAAGGTCAGAGAAATCATTTGTACACCACAGTCCAGCGACCGTTGTCATTTTGCCGCCAAATGAAACGATAACTGTAGAAGTAGCTACGACATTTTCCTGCATAAATACACGTAGTTCTTTTGGGATTTTTGCTTGAATTAGTGGAATACTTGATCCTAAACCTGCAAATGATAAGTTTCCCTCTAATTCGCACGCAGAAAAGCGCTCAGTGTTGAATATTTTAGTTGAAGTCTGGACAGAAAAATTAAAGACATCACGTCTATTCTTAAAAGCACTACATCGTACGCGGTGAAACACTAGATGAAAGTGTTATGAAGAACGAGTTCTGTAAAATTACATATTTTTTAGGCGTTCGAAGGTTACTCCAAGTCGCAGCAATGGCGGCCTGTGTTTGGTCAAACACGAACTCCGCGATACCAGTTGACAAATCAACGAGGATGGATGTTTCTGTTGCATTATCGAAACTCTACGACAGTTTAGGGTATAAATCACCTGTTTTTGTTCAGAACGCGCATAATCATACTTACTAAAAACGCTCAAAACAGCAACGCCACTTGAAAATCATATATTGGTTAATTTTATAACTAGAAAAATATGACAAATTGTATCCTTTATGTCCTTTTAGTTATAAAGACAAAGATAAGGAGAAATTTCTCGCAGACTGTGACAGCGTGGTGTGGTGAGTATCCCTTCTTCTCCTGAGCGAACGAATAAGTGAATAGAGTTGAGAAATGTAGTTTTACGGCGATGCAAAATCTTACTTTGTCTTTTCTTCTAGTAAATATATTCAAAGTTCGGAAAGAGCTACCAAGATAAATGGCCTGGCCGCATTATGCGCTGTATTGCAAGTAAGTTTGTGTCCTACCATGAAATATACCATTCTGAATTGTACCAATATTCACAGAGACCATACCACTCCACACCATAGCATACCATAGCATACCATAGCATACCATTGCATACCATTACCGTACCTTACCATACCATACCATACCATGCCATACCATACCATACCATACCATACCATACCATAGGTCATACCATATTTATATCATAATATCACACCCTACCACCATCATAATCTTGCATGCTTCAACTCCATACGACCTAGTTCCTCGCCCTTCAGTCCTCATCCATCCTTCACTGTCCTCCTCTATCCTTCATTGTTCCCCGTCCTATTGAAGCTTGTTCACCGCATCCGCTGGTCTTTCCTTAAAGCATATTATACTTCCAGGGGGTCCACGATGCAGCAGCGGCCATTTTAGCGAAAACCGAAGTTACAGAAGTAGTGTTTTCTATCGCTCAATCGGATCAATTAGACGGACAGGTTGGCATAAAATTTACTAGAGTACTGCAGGTATTGTAAATAACATCTTGTAAGCCGTTTCTAATTGGTTTTTCTTGAAAATTTTAAAGATTGCGGCAGCCGAAGTGATTGCATTGGCCGCTTCAAACAAACAAAGATGCAGCGAAATTCATAACAAGGTATGTGAGTTGGTTGAGAAAAGGAAAATTAATTTCTTCTTTTAAAACTTCTTTTATAAAGCAAGAAAGAAAATAGGAAGTTGAGAATTTAGGTGAAGATTTTGCCAAGAAACTAAACACTATTTGCCGTTGTTCTAAAATGTAATTTGAAGTTTGTAATGAAACCGTTTTATAGGGAATGTCTGTTTTGAAAAATCTCTACAAGTCCACGAATGAAGATCTTCAAGTCCGTGCACTCGTAGTGAGTATCAAATCGTGCAGTGTAACAGAATATCAAGTTTTTCCTACCTCGTACTAAAATATACCAACCGTCTTTCAGGGAATGTGTAAAGTTGGCTCGACAGGAGCAGGGGATATCAATTCGAAAGTTTACAAGAAAGAAACTATACTTAAACTATATAAGTCCGCAAGAAGGTTTGTGTACATATAACTTGAATTTTCAATGTGATTATTAAAGGACCAGGCTGTCACCATGCAGGCCATTATCGTGTCTTAAAGCTATGATAGCTTGAAAATGCACAGTATTTACGGATTCAAATTTTGCCATTTGCTTTGCCTTTGTTTCCAGTTATCTTGTGCGACCGAAAGAGGAAATGGAATTAAGAAAATGGGCCTCCGAAGGACTGTCGTTTCTAACTTTAGATGCTGACGTTAAAGTATGAATTATTATGCATTGCATAAATCATTCTTGGGTTTTTTAGCATCGTAAAAGTTTTTAAATTTGTTATTTCAGGAAGAATTGATACATGATAGCACAGCACTAACGTCTTTATTAGACTTGGCAAAGGTTCGTAAAGATACACTTCAATTTGGTATTAAACACATTAGTTTTAAACTGTGGAAAATATATATATATCGGTGTATAATGTATACATACTGCTGGAAAGGGCATCTGTATTATATTGTTTTTATTCTCATTGTTTTTGTTATCGACGCTTCAGCTTGAAGACAATTCTCTACTGTACGGCGTCTGTCAAACTCTTGTCAACCTCACGAACAGTTACGACAAACCGGAGAAGAATGAAAACTCGGAAAAAATGAAGGAATTAGGAAAATTCGCAAAAGTCAGCATTCCTGAATATGATGAGAAGGTATATATACTTTTATCTTTGCATATTCTTCCTGGTTCCTTGAACTTGAATTGCTCTCTTTTATTTTTCAGGATAACGAAGATTTTGTCCAGAAAAGAATTAATATATTAGTTAAGGTATGAAGCTTACTACCTCATTTATAATCGAGTTTAATTTCTTATTTTTATCACCCTGGGCTTAGCTATATTCTTTGAAAGGTATCGTGATCCGCACACAGTGTTTTCTATGTAAATTGTAATGTTTACAATTGGATTTTGCTGAATTTAGGAAGGGGTCGTAAACGCTTTAGTAAACTTGGCAAAACCCGAGAGCAAGCAATGTCGAGAAATGATAGCGAGGTAAGCCATAATGGACTGGACGTTTTGAAAACTCACATTTGGAAACTTACATTAAATATACTCATGAAGTATTTCCCTTGATCTATAGGGTATTTCATGGTATTGTCACTGTCCAGGAACATCGAGGACTCACGGTCCAGCAGGGTGGCGCTAAGGTGATTCATAAAGTCTTTTTTATTTCTTCACGCTCCCAAGGTTCTTCCAGTTAAGTATTTCGAAGAAATTGAAATTTTCAATCGTTCGCCATAGGCTCTTCTCCCGCTAACAACGGTCAACACGGACAGAGGTAAAGATATAGCCGCGCATGCTCTGGCGAAGGTCGCCATTACGATGAATCCAGCTGTTGCTTTTCCTGGACAAAAGGTATTTGTCTACTTCGTTTATAAATGGTTGACTAGGACTCATTAACAGTGGGAATAATTTTACATTGCAGAGTTTCGAGTTGGTTCGACCATTGCTGTCGCTTCTTCATCCCGACAAAAAGGTATGCCACAAGCAAACTGTATTTTTTACCCCTGACTTTCCCCCTGACTTTACCCCCAAACTCACTTTGTTTCTATCCGTGTCAGAGTTTGGAACAATTCGAGTCACTCATGGCCCTTACTAACCTTGCCGGAATGAACAATGACGTCAGGTAACTCTCTGATCTCGAAACGAGCACTGGATGAAAATGTCCAGATGCATGCTTCCAAGATCAGTGAATGTATTGGAACAGCGACAAGTTGATATTCATCGTATCTTTACGCAGGAAACATATTTTTCATGAAAGAGGAATTCCTGACATCGAAAGCTTGTTGTTCGAGGATCACGAGATGGTCAGGAGGGCTGCGGCCGAGTGTATGTGCAATCTTGTTTATTGTCAAGAGGTATGAACCAAGATTACTTTCTTCTTGAGCGTGGAAGGCCTTGTTGTGTGTGTGAAGTGAAAGGCCTTGTTGTACTCAAATCGTAGTTGTGGTCAAAATAAAAAGAATCTCAACAGAGTCATTGAATAATTTTTTAAGGTAGCTGACTTGTTTCTTCAAGAAAATACAACGGAAAGAGTGAAGTTGTTTACTTTATACTCTGGTGAAGAAGATGAACTATTAGCGAGGTATAAATAGACTCTTAAGTGGATTATATATTCAAGCCTTGAACGGCTTTATTTTAAATGTTTATTTTAAATTCAACATTCAGGGCTTGTTCTGGTGCACTGGCTGTCGTAACAGACAATCCCAAAATTTGTGAAAAAGTCGCCGAGGTAAACAACAGCAGCTTTTCTTGCTTTTAACAACCATTTTTATTTTATTTCGACGTTGTTTGAGATTCCAAAATATGCGATTTTTCAACCTTTATCAATTTTAATGAAGGTCAAACCTTGGTTGGAAATAATGCAAGGACTATTGCTCTCAGGGAATAAGGAACTAAAGCACAGGTAAAACAATTTCTAAATTAAATCCATGTTTACAAAATATGCCTGAAAATTGCCGGTGTATTCGCTAGTAATAATTGTATGAAATGCATCAAATGTTAAACAGAGTGATATATTATTTTCAAGGGGGTCTTTTATTGTCAGAAATTTAATGAAAGCAAGCAAATCAATCGCAGAAAAGGTGAGTTTCTTATCCGTTTCGCGAGGGTTAGAAATTTGTGTTATTCTTCAATATTTTTCTGCAATTCGTGACTTCAGCTCGTTGAAAGCAAAACTTTCGAGATTCTCCTCGCATTGTCCCAGGATGCATCACTGGACGCGAATATAAAGGAAGCCATTATGGAGAGTTTGCAAAAAGCGAAAGACTGGGAACTAATTAAGAAAGCTCCGAAGAATGACTAATGTTGTACTGGGAACCACTACATCGACACTCAACTCTTTGTAATTCTGTCGTAAAACGCATCTCTCTAAGTCCAGTATCAAATCAATATGGGTTTTCTTCAAAGGGAAAGACCTCAGTCCATGCTACGCAAAGATATCACTTGAACAATCAGCATTTCACAAAATTTTATTTCCAGTCACTGCCTGAGATGAGACACTTTGCGATTGGCGCTCGTACCCAGGCGCTTCATTGGAAAACATAAAGTTGCATTCAGGTACATATAGAGATCTGTGACCAACCAAGAACGATTTGCTGGGGTTGGTTGTGGACAGTGGTTGTGGAGGACGCGCGTTGGAAAACAACCATGCACCCCTGCGCGCTCGCTCTTCTTAGCCACTGATCTGTATATGAAAGCTGAATGCAGTCTTATAGGTTTTCCTTGAAACCCTCTGATGTTCACGAATCGTTTCTTGAAAAGATATATATTTCAGCCTAGCCAACCGTAAACATTTTACTCGTTCTAAAAGTTTATACATTTGATGCTGCTATACTATTATTATTACTACACAATTAGCTCGTTATTTTTTGATAATAAAATTGTGAATTTATCCGCATGACGTTAACTCATTCGTCAGAGACGTAAATTTTAAAACAATTTTGTTCAAATCAAACAGGATTTTGAGAATTCAAATTGAATTCAGTAAGCCTGTTGCTATGTTGGCGCGAAAAAACAACAACTGAATGGCTATATCAGTTGATAAAGATAGATAAAAGGAACTACTTTCAAATGGTAAATACCATGCGAAAATCATGCGGTCAAATTCTGTTATTGACACTGGTGATAAAGTTGAATTTAACGAAGTATGTGTTACTGCTTATAAAGCTATTTTATACTTTTTATTTCACAGAAATAATTCAATTTATTATTGTCCTTTAATTTATTATTTTCCTACAAACGTTTCTACTGATTTTTATTTTCTTCTTGAATCATGGATGATTTTGACGAAATTTACTGTTTTTTTCGTGTGCATCGAAATACCACTAACCCCTCCTCGGGCGCGCACTTTGTAAGCGGACATTCCGCTGGCTTCACGAAATAACTGCAGGCACCACGTGATAGACGCCGGAGAGACGCCTTGAAAGTTCTGAATCTCTGACAATTGACATCTCAAATGATTGCAATGTATGAAGAATAGATGTTCATGTTAGCACGCAAAAATATTTAAACGAATAAATTCGACAAAATATTGAGTCATGCTAGCCTGCTTGCACTGCCCTTCAAAAAAGTGCTCGCTCCAGAGAGGTTGAAGTGTTATTTGTTGCCATTTGTCTAGGTCTCTAGGACCATTCAGATAGACCTGTGGGTAGACGTACTCTTATGCCTGTTTTCCACTAGCGATATCTTTCGCGCGAAGCGAATTCATTCCTTTGTATTTGAGCAATTTGTTCCAGAGGGTTGCAATTGAAAGCTCTGAAACAAAAGTAAAATGTCGCTTCGCGCGAAAATTATCGCTAGTGGAAAACCGACTTAACATCTTCACCGTGTGGCTTTCACCGGTCTAAAAGCAGTCTGGCGATTTCCAACAGCGCTTAAGTTTTCGTGTGGACCACTGGGACTTTCACGTACGTCTTTTAGCCCTGGCTGCCTGCCCAGGGACATCATGTACGCAGCGTTCTGTTGAAATTGAGAAATGTTTTCTTTGCTAACCTTTCGAACCTTAAGCACCTTCAACTGGCGTCTAAAAGGTTAAAATATTGTATTATTCGACCCATATGATTGATTTATACGACTGTTTGCAGTTGTTCTCTCATTATGTAAATCAATCATTGTCAGTTATTGTCATACTGATTCCTTATGGCTGACGAAACAATGGCTGTAAATTCCTTTGTGCAATACAACTATTGTAATAAGTAATCAATGGCTATTCCCCAGAGTAACATGCACGATTCTGTCCTACCTAAATTTGAAATTCAAATAAACGATTCTCTCCTATCTAAACTGCCTAGGAAGTTTATATGGTATAGCTTAGCTGAGTTTGCTGAGTTAAGAAATGTGAGAAGTTTCTTTTGGGAATCGGTTTTTTGAATCAACGTGTATAGGAGCAAGTGAATGTACACGAACAATTTGTTCATGGCAGGGGAATTTTGTCGGGTTGGATTTAAACTGGGGAGTATTTCAAACTATATATACAAGACGTTGTAGCTGTTGTAACCTGTGAAGTTTTTCTTCGGAAACCGTATTTGGCGTTTCATTACCCCGAGTATTGGTATCCGGCGACAGAAAGAAGATGAGATGGAATCGTAGGGTATGATTTGCGCGGTGTAAGGTAGGGATAGAAATCATAGAATATTACTCTAGAATAATTGCACGGGGTGATTTGCCATGCAACGTGGTTTCCAGTCGTGATTGACCCTATTAGAAAATGTGTACAGGGATTGTTTCAACATTAACCGATTTGAATCAGAAATAAAGCGAATTTACATCTATACATCGGTAAAAATGACTTGTTAATTCACGAGAATTACCACTAAATGGAAACCAGGCTTTACAGTGAAGCATGCAGTCTCACTTGCCGCTAGCGAATCATGTTTTCAAAGCGTGCAGATAAACGGAAACTAACCTCGTTGATCGCGGGGACTCGGCCGAGCCTCGTCTTGAAGATGAAGCGCTGCTACTGGCACTAGAACTGTCGTCTGATGAGGGCCTGGTAACAAATACGAATTTTGATAAAGTATAAAATAAGGCATGAAATTGAAGTCACACATGCAGTCATTAGGCTATCAAGCTGTTGCTGGTGTCCGGATCGTCCTTATTCGGAGTGTTCCTGACGAAATTCCCATCCAAAATCTTGCTTACTCGAAAGTTTAATACTTTAAAGCAGGGCTTCCAATCCGTTGTTCTTTGCAGAAACTATTGGGAATGTATCGCTTTTACTGTACCAAAAATGAAAGCTTAAACTTAATTTTTTTTCGGTTGGATGTTTTAAGATTTCCTTATCCATTTATAAAAGCGCATAATTGAGTTCTTTTTTAATGACCTTAATTAATAACCTTTTAAAAAATCTATAATCGTCTACCTTTTATCTTCAGTAAAGTCGACTCCTAAAAAACAACAAATAAAAAGTCAGCATCAAAGGGTAATTGTTGCATGTTCCTAGATTAAGCTAGATTGTACATAAAACAATTTGTTAACTTCAACGTGTGCAAGTGAGGAATAAAAAGTGCCTTTGGCTGGGTACGCCACCAACCTCAACCACTGTAATTCAACGCTACTGATGCATCCACTGTCTTCACTCGTCGAGATTTTTGTGGTCTTAAAGGGCCAAAGGGGACCCCGTGATAGCGGCTTAGCATTCGTTTTATAAAAATTTAAGACAATCTACTCAGTCTTCTATGTAATTAAAAGCTTCTTGAACTAAGTCACTATGATCTAAACGAAACCACTTTCTCTTCAAATAACTTTTGTGAGGGATGATTGTGGATGATATGATTGTGTTTCCATTTGCAGTATAAATTAAATCTGAGTATCGGAAAGTCTTCCTTCTAGTTCTAATAGATTCTTTAAATGAATGTAGCCTACTGTCGACTATGTTAAGGTCAATATAGACTCGCTTTTCGCTGCCTTGTGACTCTGTGTGTTCGCAACAAGGACGAATGACTAACGCCCCAATTAACTAACGACAGACATCACGGTGAATAGCTTACATTTGTAATGTTTTCATGCATCGTGTTAACAGAACGCTGGAACAATATTCAATCGATAAAGAGACGCAAAATGCCGAAATCGACACCGAGTAAATATTGCGGCGCATTTAAGAAGCAACACTGCGGTCCTGAACAAATATACGTGGTTATCAAACCATCGCATGAATCGCGTTGTCTGTGGCACACAGATTGAGTTCTAGACAAGCAATCTTCTATAGACGTCATTGCGGACAAAATCTCATAATTTCGTAATGGGCTTAGTTATAATCTTGTAACGACGAGCTAACGCGGAGAGATCTCGTTGTTAGGTCCATGTTATGCGGCTTATGCCCACCGTGAAAAAAGTGGTGTGTAGCTGGTCGGCCTTAGCAGGTAGCAGTGACTACGATAACAAGATTCCTCGCTGCTGCTGACGCCATCTGACGAAACTCGAAGTCGTTTGGCTTTTCACTACAAGTTTCGTCAGATGGCGTTTGCAAACGACACGCGATAAATCGATGATGACGAAACGTGGCAAGATCTTAGACATGGCTATAATGGGATATCGCGAAAAGTGTCGGTCTGACGCTCTCGCGTTTCACCATATTTATCTACACATCGACTTGCAGTGTCCGACAACCAATTTACACTGTCTGGCTTTAAATTGAGTAAGTGCTAAATTAGGACATCTGTGTTATTGCAATCTGGTCGGTTTCACTGCATTTATCAAGAATTCCTAGGTGGTAGGGCAATGCGTGTGACTGCGTGTGTGTACAGGGAGCCAACGCCCTCATATCTTATGGTTCTACTTTCTACCTAATCGGATAGTAAGCTCTCTCAAAGCGAAGCGAGACTTTGAAGTATTGAAATAAGTAAACATCCTGTTCTTGGCAGTGGTGCGTTCGTCCCGGCAGTATCATGTGCTTGTTTGCTTTCACGAAGACTTATTTCAATACTTCAAAATCATCTCACGTTTCGTTTAATCCTGGGTGGGGCACAGAGTCTTTGACAATGCAATAAAAATGTCTTAGGTAGGGTTAACAAAAGCTGGTCATGAAAGAAACGCTAACATGCAGATTAGGCTATTATAAACTGCTGCCCAAATAACAACAACAATAATGGTAACTGAAAACGTAAGCCATGAAGATAACCCTGCGTTAGTCAAATATTCTGATGCGTTTCTGTTCTCTTTCCGTTTATGTTCTGTTGTATATTAAAGGCAAACACAGGCGCAATCGTAAAAGGTTGTTTTGATATCTCCTAATCTTTCATTGCGGTGAAGCGAGTCTATATCGTTCAACCATATTTATTCAGACTAAAATGAGCAATCAGACCTTTTTTCCATATGGTAATATTTACACCATCTAATTTGAATCCGTGTTGCAAAAACATTGGTCGAACTAAGATACAGCATGCTTTCCCTTAGGGCGGTAAATCTCTGCAGTCGAATAGCTGAAAATTGTTTTCAAACTTGATGTAATTATTTGAAGAATGCTTGGAATCGAAGGTATTCATCCATTATGTACTTTACCGAGAGTCTCCACTGAGCACAAGTAGGATCGACTGATGAACACTTTGTAGGCTTTGTAAAAAATAAACTAAGTTCGTTTATATCCTACAGAATTCGGTCTCAAACAAGATTCGGTCTAATGTGGGCGATAGGATCGCTATCTCTCTTTTGGAAATGCTGAAATTTGAGTGGAAGCACCGCACGCCGCACGCACGCGTTTTATGCAAATACCAAATATTGATATGACGCCATAAACATATTGCGCGATAAACATTTGAGTGTCATAATGAGACATAGCAAACTGTGGCTCTTCAAAAGCAGATATAAAAACATCACACGGTGTGTTGAAAGTTACACGATAACCCACATTTTTCATGCGTTGTTTATGTTTTGGATTCGATCATCTGATTTATGAAGGAATCCTGAGAGCTTGATCGGAATTCCGATTGGAAATAGAGCTTGATAAACTATCTGCGCTTTTCATGATGTTGATGAAATTTTGATTTACATGAACAGGGGGGGGAGAACGGTTTCTTTGAATACTGTGCAAGAAAACATGCTGGTTTTATGTTCATGAATGTTTGGAAACGCTCGGAAACACTCGTGGCTACTCTTAGCCTTCAAAATAGCTCTTTTTGAACGCAGATGTTTTTTGGTACGCTTGCGAAATTCGTTCTCATTGCACTTGTATAATTATTTGCTGATTACACACCCGTTAAAAGAAACAGCCTTAGCGCAAATAAGTTGTCGTTTTTGTTTTGCGGCGCTCGGCTTATTTTGTCGTTTGAGTTATCTGTTGTTAAGTATTATTTGGTCAACGTTCTGGGAAATTGACTATTTCACGCAAGTGCTGTTCCCACAACTATATCGCCAAGATATTTTGCGGCTTGTCTTTAAAATCCTGTCTCCGCTAGAACGGATAATGTGTTGAAAGGAAGCCTTGTTTTTGAGGATAAAGCAACGGATAAAGCAACGGTCAAAGCAACGGTTAAAGCAACGAATAAAGCAACGGTTAAGCTATGATGCGAGTTGATGAGATAAACCATTCTTGCTCTTTTTATCCGTGAACTGCGAATATTTACGCTGTTAGGGTCGTCTTTGACCTAGTTCAAATTGCCAAGATACTTTCGAGACAACCTACCGTGCTTTTTTTTTCCGAGGCATCTTATGTAACTTTTAAGGTGTGCAACGGTCGAATTTCATGCTTGTAGCTGCGGGAATGTTTATTCAAGAAATATTTTCGCTCATCTGTCTCGGTTACGGTCCGGAAAGCGCTCTGAGAAGGAAAACTTTACAATTGCTGTTTCACAGTTCCTTAATAACTGAAAAATAAGCGTTCCCAACAGGCTGAGAATATTCTAGAATGTTCATACGTGCAAGCAATATGCCTGAGTTTATCATGTTTGCACTGATACTGTGGTAAAGTATGCTTCATGAGCTAATTTTTATGTGTTCTTGCAGAAAAACAGTAAATCATGCATCAGTGAAATCGTGTTTAATTAATAAAGTGCATGCAAAACGTGTATTAGGCTTAAAAAACACTGACATTGTTTGGAATTTGTTGAAGCCCATGGGGGTTTTTATTAGCTTTTTTTGCCACGATGCAAAATTATAATCGGATATGAAATATGCATGGAGACTTTGAAACGTCGATTATGATCCGCTGAACTGTCTTTATTAAACGGTCGTATATCGGGTTCGTATCAAAACTTTCAGCGCAATGCGTCTGCATGCAAAACTAATTAGGCCTGCAGTCATTTTTCAAGCCGAAAAGGCGAAAGTAACGTGTTTACTCCAAGTTGCCCAAACGTTATTAGCCAAACCAAACAACGTATGTTGAAGAGATGTTTTTAAATTCTATTACTTCCGTTGCATGACGTCCTGACAATCTTCTAAGGCTATCAGAAAGTTTATCTTCACAAGCATCGGTCTCTGCTCTAAGGAAACAATCGAGCAAACATGTGTTTTGCATTGAAGATTAGCAAGGCTTCTCGCGATACGCTTGCTTGCAAACAGCGCAGCTCTGATATTTGATGAACATGGATAAACATTTTCGCATGCATGCCTTGTGCAGCGCGCGTGGTCTCATTAACTATCGTTTAAAAGAGTACGATTTTTTATACATTTGCATGCATTTATATGCTGTCATATTGAGTACTAACGTATAACTTTAACCCAAGTAAACTAACTTTATTTATACTGGATAGCTCTATCAGTTCTAAACTGTTCTTCCTAGAGGTCCAGTAAGGATCATCTCTTATTGATCCAGTTTCACTACAGGAGGAAACCTAAACTAAACTAACTTTATTTATACTGGATAGTTCTATCAGTTCCGAGCTGTTCTTCCTAGAGGTCCAGTAAGGTTCATATCTTATTGATCCAATGTTACTACAGGAGGAAACCTAAACTAAAGTTACTAAACCAACTTTATTTATACTGGATAGCTTTATCACTAGTTCTACCTAGAGGCCCAGTAAGGATCATCCCTGATTCATGTGTGGCTTAGTTCGTCGAATGGAGCATATTTTCACCAAAATCTTTCTCGTGCTATTCCTTATTTCAGTTATATGTATGTTTACGATAGAGAGCCGGGTTTTCCCACAAAATTACAAGTATATGTTGACACATCATAGAATGCCAAACCACTTTCTCGCATTTCCGATTGCTAATCGGATTACACAGCAGGACTGCCAGGACAGGCATCATCAGTATTGTGAACACAGCGCATTGCAAAGCTTTGAATCTTGCGACGTCTTTTCACATGGAGCATTTAAACTTGTCAAGGCGATGAAAAGTTGTTTTTGACATTTAAGCCGGCTAAGGCTGTGCATTATAGGCAAATTCAAAATGTGTCAGGACACGAAATTATCGTATATTCAAATGTTTAGTTTCCCGGGCCTCTTTGTCTTCTGATTTTTCATTTTCAAGTTAGTTGCATGGTCATTGTAAAACTGTTGTACTCACTATTATTATTTATTAATAAGTGCCGGATAACCTGTTTATAGTATTAATTGCAATGTTTTATTCAGTGTTTTACTTTCAACCTTCCTGAATGTCAGTTGATCAATGCAGTACTGCTAGTCTGACTGAGTGTTGACTGTTGCTAGTCTGACTGAGAGCTGACTGTTGCTACTAATACTAGCCTGACTAGTCTAGTACTTACTGCTTGCAATGTTTTATTCAGTGTTTCTCTTTCAGCCTTCCTCAAAGTCAGTTGATCATTGCAGTACTGCTAGTCTGACTGAGTGATGACTGTTGCTACTAATACCAGCCTGACTAGTCTAGTACTTACTGCTTTGCAATGTTTTATTCAGTGTTTCTCTTTCAACTTTCTTTAATGTCATTTCCCTATTGGAAACTGCTTTCCTGACTGCGTTTGACTGTCAAAAAGTCCTTGCAAACCAAGTAAACCCTGCTAGAATGATCTAGACGCATAAGATACGTAAGAATAAAATGGACAAACCTTCTTCACAGGCATATCCCTCACGGGGACCGTTTCCTCAATGATATCATCATAGCTATCATCCTTTAGTTCCCACTTCTCTTGAAGAGACGCACGGCTGTCCCGCTCGGAATAGTTAAGATTCTGTAACAGACGTTTTTCCGAGGCACTGTCTCCTTGGTGCATTGCTTGCTGTCCCTTCAAGAGCTTCTTCTGAAGTTCAACGACTTTCTCTCGGAGTACATCGTTCATATCTAAGTTCATCGGACGGTTAAGAACTGTCGTGCTTCTTTCGAGATTCTCCGGCTTCGTCTCGTTTCTTCCTGTTTGTAGCTGCGCGGTTTGAGCCGTACCTGTTTGTGATGAATGGAAAATATACCTCAAGTTAGCAAAGGATAGAACTGGCTGAAATGGACTGAAATAGGATAGAATGGGATGGGACGGGTTAGGATTGGGTAGAATGGAAAAAGGGTATGATGGAACAGCGGGTATGATAAAATCAATAGAGATAATAATGGGATAGTGGGAGGATGATTGAATTGAACATGATGGGATATGATGGAGTAGGAAAGAATGGAAAGGAGTATGATAGGATGTTGGATGCCTTCGTGAACATTTCTGACTTCACACTCATTGTATTGTATTGTATTATATTGTAAACTAATTGGTAATGCTAACAGCACTTACTGCTCCCTTTATTGGATTAACTTCCGTGCACCTCAGCCAAATTAGGCAGACCCTCTCTAGCGCTATCAACACTTAACCATTTACCTGGTGACTTGGTTGAAGCCTGCTTCAATCTCCCCTCGAGAACTTGTCGTTTGGCTTCAGATGCCTCGTATAGTTTATCGAGTTCTTCGTTTTTTCGATAACTCATGTCCAATTTCTCCTGGAGTTCAACGATTTTCATTTGCAAGACATACGAGGACTTCTGGTCCTGTCTCTGTAAATTCTCTGATTGCGAAAGACTCTCCTCCAAGGACCGTTTCTCCCTTTCCAATATGTTCAACCTGAGGCAAAATATTATAAACTTTTACATTTTCCGGCAGCAGGATACACTTTGACGCGGTAAACTAAAGCTAGCCCTTATCAAAATAAACTTGACCTTCTCTTTATTATTAAACGAAACTTTGACAATGTTATAAAAACCGTTTTATTTAAGAGTGTATGAATGTATACGGTGAATATCAGGAAACGACTTTTCTGAATAGAAAATAAAGTTGTTTACACGTTTTATAGCTTTTTAAACTGCGCGCATTTCTAAAGAAAACATGATAATTTGAATCAAGATCATACGACAGAAAGCTCTCTGTTAAGGTATTCGCGTGTATATAAGATGCCGGTAGTATTGGTCATATCTGTACTCACCTGGTTTGATGGAGCTGTAGGTCGCGTTTCAGCTCCAAAACCTGTTCACACATCTTGGCATGCAGCTCATTTTCGCCGTTTCTCTTGTCCTCAAGATCTTGTTTCTGTTTTGCAACGCGTGACTTCACGCGATCCAGATCACGCAATTTCACTTCCTTGGAACGCAGGGCGCCCTGGAGCTCCTCGATCTGTTTCTCGTACTGCTGTTTCAACCACTGGTTCTGCGTTTTCCCGTCCTTCTCGACCTCCCTCACGCGTTCATCGCTCTTCGTTAATTTTGACTCGAGGTCGCTGGTCTGCGTTCGCAGATATCGATGCATTCCTTGTCATTTTTACGAAGATCCTCGAGCAAGCGACTTTCTCCAGCGCAGTTTTCTTCGCTTCCTCCAGCTGTTCAATTGTCAACACAGCTCTCTAACGTCTTCTCCAACGTGAATATTTTCGTCGCATCCCCCGGTTGCTGTTCGTGTTTGATTTGTTTATTTTCGTATTCTAAACGTTCAACAACCCGCTCGAGCGATTTTATCTTCTCGTCTTTACTGTCAATTACGGATTGCATTGGTCCATTTATCAAAGAAAGCATAACCTCCAGACCCAAATGATTATTACCAGCTTGTTGCGTTAACTCATCTCTGGTTTGATTATTTCCGCGCAAGCCCTTCATCAGATTGGGCATGCTGGCAATCCCCCTGTGCCTCTCCAGCGAATTTTTATCGTTGCTGCACTCCAGACAAGTATCAATAGACGAGCTTTCGAATGCGTCAGAGCATTCGCTATCCGTTCCAGAGCTTGTGCATGTCTCGTTGCCGGGTACCCGACGTACCCACGTTCCCACACGACGCTGAACGGGTCAAAAACCTGCGACCGTTTGGTTGTTTCTCGGTGTTTCTTTGCCTCCGAGTTTTCGTGTCCCTTTTCTCACGGTACACGATTTCCTTTCCTGCGGCGCGATGTTGTTCGCCCGCTCGGTATTCGCACGAAGAATTTGCGCAATTTATGCGAGATTCGGTGCTGTGCGCGTCGCTTGAGTATACGTCTGACGCACATCTCCCGGAAAAATCCGAAGCAGGATCATTCGTATTCTGTTTGTAGTCCCGACGCATCATCTCATTCTGCCCCTCCGAATTACGCCTTCGTTCATTTAAGTCTTTTAAATTGCGTCTCGGACTAACGTGATGAGTGTTTGACAATTTCGGTCGCATACAATGCCGACAATTAACGTGTGTGTACTTTCCCATTTTATATAAACGCGTCGAGGATTCCGCCATTGGCTAGCCACAGCCAGCCTGTGTTTTTAGGGTTCGTCAAATTAGAGTTGACTGCCAAGAAACAAGCGAAATTCCGACGTCCTGAGCACAGTTTTTGACCACAGGCTTCCAGATTTATACTTTTCGCGGTTCGACCAAACGGCACGATCGTCTCTCGGCAATTGACGCCTGTTGAACAACTCTGCTATTGTAAATACTTTGTTTCGTTTGGTAATTGCATTAGCATTTGATGCGCACGATAGCAGCACGGCGCACGCGTTCCGATTGGTCGAAACGCGACACGTGCTCATCCCCGAGGCGATTCGCGCAATCTGATAGGCCAGACAGCAAACAATTTCGCAGCGGAGGTTAAGAATGCGTTCTGTTTTATTTTGACAGTACGCTGATTTTTTTAATAAACGCCCAATCGGTGAGGATTATAAACCCACCCTTAACCCGCTCGCCTTCGTCTTTACTAGCCTCAGAAACCGCCCTTCGCGTCTGACAGCCTGCTCTCATTTCCGAGGCGTTTTCACGGCAAACCTACCCACAATAAAAATGGGTTTTTAATTGATTTCAAAACGCCGTCTTATGGTTTGAATTAAGCCTATTCTAGCGCTCTTGTATGTGCGTTTGAGGTGGTCTTATAGCCTGTCAACGCTCCGCAGTTGAACTCTTCAAAATGCCTGTTACACTTCAGTGTGACGAAAGACGGCCTTGCAAGAAATAAGCTAGAGTGTAGTTTTTTTATCACGATTGAGAGGAACCAGTTGGTCTTAGAGATTGCAGCAACCGCGTCCTTTTTTAAAACGCCAACAAGTCAGCTGTTTGCATGTTCATTGATCAGTTTCTAGATGCAATTGTGATAAGTTATACTTGTAGTATGCAGACTAAAGTCCAGTCTTTGTTCCGTTTAAGCGATAAGGCTCAATATAGCTAGTTCAATCGGAAACACCAAATGATTGTGTTGAGAAATGAGGGGTTAAAGATCGATATGTTTGTGACAATAATGAATATTTTGCACGTAGAAAACTGCAAACAAAATCGAATCTAAAAAGAGCGAGATCTATAATCATCTATCCATGATGAAACTTTTCCGTTTCTGAACTTTTATTAATATGATTGATAATGGTAATAACAAGAGAGAGACTGAGAAAGAGAGGCGTCAGGCGTAGCAGAATCTATAAATAGCTTCTTATCATACGTTGTACAGGAACTGCTAAAAATATACCAAAATTTCCCGACACTTTGGCCCGTTTCGTACACTGAAACCTGATAACGACGAAAAGCTCGAATTCTGAAACGGGCCTTTGTCTTTATTTGAAAATGTCGTTTTTGTTTGTTATTTCATTGATTGAAATACTGGGCGATAAGCCTTTAATGGATTGCTTGGAATTGTCGAGTTGAAAAACTGAGATCAAATTTGTGGAGAAGCGCTAGGTTATAGTTGTTTTGGAATGCAAAGGCATTTCGTTGAAAGAAAAAACAGTGTCGGCATGAGCGAAAAGATGAAAGCGTTAAGTCATGGATTATCTCTATCCGGTGAAAAAATATAGCCATTTAAATTGTCTATGATTAACGTAAATAAGCTGATCCCAAAGAAGCTGGCTTTTTTTCACCTGCGTAATCCCACTCGAGAAATAAATAATCTTTGAAAAGTTTTTAAGGAATTTGCGACACCATCTTAGGGCAGGATTTTAAGTGCTGTCAAATTGTAATTTCATGGAACGACATGTCACGTGTTCGCAGCATGGACGGCAAGACCACCAGTAATTGATATTTCAAGTACTTTTTTACTCGATTAAAAGCGATATTTATGCCAATTACGGTTTTGGCATAAATTTCCGATCGACGAAAGTAATTAAATTACCATACACTAGAACCGTGAACATATATGGTAAACATGACGAGGAACTCTCAAAATTCCCACATTTATCCCTGCGTTCAGAAGACTGTCGGAATATTCCCTGAAATTTCCTGTGATTCGATTGTGATTTGATTTGCACACTGATTGCAAGACTGCAAGTCAACTTGATACACGAATTATGATACTCGAACACGAATTATGCTCAAATTGAGCGCATGAAAATATTTATAATGTAAACAAAATCCTCAATTCGCTTCTATGGCTTTAGGCCCCCCAGTAAGGTTGGCTGGTTAGCGCAAAGAAGATTAGTGTAGACAATGGTAGCGGCTGGGATATTCGTTATCGTGCGAATGAACTAACAAGCAATGTTTTGGTGATTTTATTTTCATTCCGCTTTCATAAACGAAAATTTCTGGGGAAAAAACTATTTGACAAAGACAAGTACTACTACTATATAGGCTGATATTTCATATCATAGACCTACAAGGATTTTAGGCAACAGATATTGCAATAATCTGTACAACAAACACAATTTTAATAAAACTCAAACGCGCACAAAGACAAAAATTGCCATACGCTTGCTTAAGTTTTTGCTATTTTTTATTATTTTGACTAAATTAAATGCGAGTATATTAAATTAAGATCATAGTAATCAAAATCTCTAAAGCCTTAAATCCAATCGGAATATCCACAATGGGAAAGCCTAACAGCCCCAAGGTACTTGGTCCGGACGTTGAAATCGATTGAGGATAACAAGCCTTCTGTTAGCCATTTTTCACCACCAGCTTCCCAGTGTGTGTTCCGTTTTGCTTGAGTTACGTCAATGGCAGCAGGTTATAATTTTCAGCAATTTGTATATAGCGGGAAACATTTTCCCATCGCTAAACTAACGTAAAAAAAACCCCTCGCCGTCGGCAAAATTCTTCGTCGACAGCTGGCGAAAACGTGCGCGTGTAAAAGCGTGTAGCGGAGCACGGGCCGTGCTCCACTGAGGTGGCCATTTTTCAATCTGACGCGCGCTATGCAAATTTGAAGTGATTCTAATTTTTTTTTTTGGAAATTGTTAAATTCGGCTTCAAATTAATTTTGAAGATTGCGGTGAAATAACCGTTAGTTATCGTTCCAGTTTTTATAGAAATCCCTGATTTTGACAGACAGTGACTATATTTCATCCGTTAGAAGTGAATTGGATCCAACAAAATTGGATCGTATGAACAGACCTTAAAATTGGAATAGAACACTGATCTTGTAGGACACTGGATAAGACCAGTGGATATACCTATCAAACTGAATGAAACCAGAATTAATGAACCTCTTGACACAATTCATGTTGTAGGCCCGTGAAATCTACCTTTTTTGGTCGGTCCGTAAGGGAAAACTGTTTCAAACATGGTCCTTTTCATGTGCCAAAACAAAAAACAATAGATGAGGCAAGTCAAATTATCTATTGTGTTTAAATGCGTTTGGCACAAACACGATGTTTGAAAAACCTGTGCTTTGTCTCACGGGTCTGTCTGCTTTATTTAAATCAAAGTTCAGAGAACAAAATAATGTTTTAAAATCTTTTCATTTATTTCCAATAATGTTTAGTTTGGCAATAATTACAAATACATTTCCGATGTATTTTAATTCGAAGAGTCGCATATCCAGGTAATAATGTCATGGTCTTGTTTTCATGATAAATGAGCTTTAAGTGATCTTTTGCGGGGGTTATTTTGAACAAGGAGTGTCCCAGGCTACAATGGAGTACACCAAGGGTATCACGGGTACACGAGAGGATGTCAATGAGGGACGTCGCTGGGTGCTGTTAGCTGTAGTGAATCCAAGAGATTTTCGATGCTCGACAATTTGCCACAATCGTAGTCGCCATCTTTGTTAGCTGTCTGTGGAAAAAAGATTATTTTACAATCTAAACTCAGATAAACAAATTGCTTTCAGAGTTCGTTCTTTTCAAACAGAGTTGAAAAAAGTCTTAATATTGCTCAAAATTTTGTGATATCACTGCATGTTCCCGATATTTTCTTTCACTTAATGTGTAAAATAAGGCGACAAAAATCATTTTCAGAAACATCGTTATATCCAATCTGTAAGTCGTCTGGCTTGGGCTGCTATGATTTGGTGGCGCGAAGATATGTTTGCTATTCTCTATTTCCACTATCAAATGGGTTCCCCAATTTTTCATTAAATTTTCCTGACCAATCATTACCTGATATTTTTCCATAATTTGACTCGCAGCCCACGAGGCATATTTCGCATTCTCTTTCTTATTTTTGGCTTTGGGCATGTTAGCCAAGCTTGATGCCGCCTGTAGTATTTTAAATAAAAGTTTTCAGCAAAGATAATCAGTCGTGTAATTTAAGAAAGAAATACGATATTCTTCTCTGAATATCCGCTTATTTTGGTGAATTTTTTTATCACAATTGACCAAAGGCGAGTAGTTTTTACAACAACGAATGTTCGGAATGAAATGAAAGATGTTATTTAGAGTATTTCGGGGTTCGTGGGTCATGATATACGTATAGAAACCGCGTTTACCAACCATGAAAAAGCCGTACAAAGCTCGCATATTGTTGTTATCCAAGCGTAAAGCCTGGGAAAAATAACTCCGGGATTTCTCGAGGTTTTCGACACCTCGCATCGTGTATAGAATCTGCAATGAAGTTGGAAACGTTTTAGCAAAACACTTGAAGATATACTTATTCCTTCATCCATTATTTACTTCACCTCCGCATATTTTTGATAGAACAGGTGATTGTGAGGGTTGGATATGATCAGCTCTTCCATACAAAACGCAGCTTTTGAGAATCTGAAAAGTAAGAACAACTACCTTTCTAAACATCATTTACAATTGCTGAGGAATGAGTTTTTCGTTGGCACTGCGAGTGATCAAAAAATGTGATTGGTAACCTGGATTTTTTTCTATACACAGATTATCTGCCAGCGCAGCTGGAGACTGCTAGAATCCCAGCAAAGGCGTTCAAATTTCAAAAAGCTGGCACTTAAAACATCTTGGGCACTTTGCCAGTTTTTTTAAGTACTACCTTTAAAGGTAGTGCTTACGTTTCTGGAAACCTTAATCGATATCATTTCTTAACACAAGCAACAAAACAAGTGATGGTACAGTACATGCACCAAGCACCCAGTCTGTACAGAACCTTTAATATATTTCATGTTTACAGGATTGCCTGGATATCGGTATGCGAGTTATGTCAAAATCGCGTTATCTGATAAGGCGTATTCGCTTACTCTTGTTGGGAGATATATAAATCTGTCAATTCACCCCAAGCTTCATGATCACTCATAAACCTAAATGAAATTCACTACATTTGAAAATGGTCTGCGGTTGTGTTTGTTTCAAGCTAAAAAAATAACAGACTAAACATTCTTCGTTCGTAAACCTTTTGAGGTAATCGTTCAGAGCTTTCACAGCTTCAGAAATCTTGTTTTGTCCAACTAAAATACTAATCTTTCTCTTATATGGTGCCTAGATAATGGAATATGAAGGACAGTGTAGAAAAACTGCAGAAATTACTCCACGAAAAATACAAGGAATTCCAACAATTCTTTTCATACTGAGTTGGCAGGTTCTTTTGCAATCATATCATCATACATCTCGGTTGCTTTATCAAATCTGAAATTGATATTTGAGGTGCTTCATCAATGACCTGGACACTTATGATTTTTTTTGTTAGTTGAAATTTATCAATCTGGACGGAAAATTTATCAACTAACTCGTCATCAGTCAAGATTCGTCTTTAAACAATCAATGACCAAATCAGTAGTCATAATTCACCATTATCACTCAACATAATCAACCAATATTGATTGATACAATCAATGAACATCAATCAATGATAAACCGAAAACAGCAAATCAATCAATACTGCCAATCAATACTTATAATCAATCAATAATAATCAGATAGAATAATCAATATGATCTATCATTAACACTAATTGATCAATAAAGCTCATCAATTAATACTTTTTACTTAATGACTACTACTGATAACATAATCAATGATGATGAATCAATCAATAGTAATTGATCAACTAATATTTAAAATCATCAACTAACTGATTGAGTGCTTCGTGCTTCATTGCAATTAATCGTTTTACTCTCAGGCTACCAGGAAACTGGGAACTCAAAGCTTTCAGACACATCTACAAGAACAAGAAACATCAAAATCAATAATTCAAGGATCTAAGAGTACTTGGATGCATCCAAACAATTATCTTGTTCAGCCAACTTACACTTGCCAGATCAGTTTTTCCCAAATCCAGAGCAGCAATCAAAACCTGTTCATAAACACTCCACACTAGAAATTACAGCGAGCGTATTGCACAGTTTAAAACTGAACACACATTGCTTTTTTAATACAATACTAGTATAATACAACATTTACATTCCTTTCCGGAGGTGAAGGGTTTTTATATATAAAGTATAGACACAAGACGAAAATTGTTTGGGAAAAGGCAGACGAGAAGACAGCACTTAGCACGAGCCCACCTGTTTACAATCTTAAATCTAACACTGTACGATTGGCATGAAAAATAAAAAATTAAAAAGCGATGCTTTGAAGTGTATATGGCCTCTCTTTCTTTTTAAATTAAGGCATAAAGGACATACATTCATCGCCAAGCTTGCTCCCGTGCTCAACAATGAGCGATTCCCCTAGCTCAATAACTTCCTCGCTATTCCTTGGCGGTTCATCTCGCCATTCTTTCATCTTATTTCTCGCCACTTCCAAATCGAGCACTTCGTCCGCCATCTTGTATTCTCAATCACATACGCCACGATTCGATACCCGAAGATGCTTGCCGGACAGCCGAGCTCGATTTGACAAATATATTTGTTTTAAAAAAGTAAATTTAGCCGAAATACTAACTGTTTTTTATTTACGCATGCATAATCTGTGTTTGCATCCACCAAAGGAGACATCAATGGGCAAAATTATGTGTTTATTTTAGGATTTTATGGTACATATTCGAAGCCGATGTTTTACCGACAACTTCCGAATACGCTGTTGGTGATCCTGAAGCGTGGGCGTAGCACATGTATCATTTTGAAACGTAACTAATGAAATATGTCTTGCTGGTACCTTGCCCACTTGAAAACAGTGACAATTTGACGCGAGGTATAGTATGCTGTTACATTTGCTTGAAGAATGGTCAATCAAGGTTAATTTAAGTAGGTGATCCAGTATAATGTTGAATACTACATGTCACTACAGGTTTTACATAGAGATCTATGAAGTTTGAGCTATGTCTGTGTTACTATATGAAAGTGATCCAAAACACTACAAGACAACTGCAATCAGCCAAATGCTTGCAGAACTGCTGAAGCAATGGTGATTGCTCAGAATGTTGCAGTGTTTTGAAAGCGTATTTGTCAATTCAACCTTTGACTTGGATCTCTTCCATCCTCTTGTAATTTAGGACAGAGTTAGGACAAACCACATCAGCTATGTGGTCAATTTTTGAGAGGGTACCAAGTCCAAAGATTGCAACATTGAGATCAGCTCGAAAAATGCTTAAAGCTATTCTCAAAATAAAATGTTTCCTATTTTTACCGCAGCACAATCTTAGCAGCACATTCCATTAGCAGCAAATACCATATTCTTAGCAGCATATGCCATTCTGAATCAACAGCAATGAAAACCATGCTGTATAGCTTGAAAACAAAGCATTCAACCAGCATCATTTCTTTGTAAATATCATTGATTCCCATTAAGACTATTTTGTCCTATTTTGTTTCTCAGATGTATTTTGGAAAGTGAGATATTTCTACATTGAAGCATGTCAGCCAGAAGAGCCAGTAAAAAGAAGGTTCTATCAACGTCATTCCCGGAGGAGCCAAAGTACAGAAAGTGTGCGAAGTCTGGTTGTCCAGCTGAACGGCCAGAATGCTTTTCAAATGCTGTTGAAAGGTTTGTAACAGAGTAACAATCTATGGATTCCCACATTCATTCCCCAGCCCTCCATTCTATCAATTACATCTTCTAACATTGTTTTCTCTTCCTATTTTGATATGCCAACCAATTACCTATTTTGAACTTTCCTGTCTGTGACCTTTTCTAATAGTGAACCTTGTCTGCCTGCCTCCCTGTATTGATTCTCACCCACCTCATACTCCACATCATCATCCCTTTGAACCCTTAGCCCCCCCCTCTTACTTAGCCCCCCCCTCTTACTTAGCCCCCCTCTTACTGCTTTTTTTAAATTTACCAGTTGTGTCCCATTTTGTTTTCTGCCCTAAAACTTAAATTTGAGCAAAAAGCAGTAACCCTTTTCTCAAAGTGCTGCTTTCCTTTCCTGGAAACACTGTTTCCAAGATTGCCTAATGAACCTGCTTTACTGCAAATTCTTTAGCTGTTGCGGACATGGTTACACTTCAAGATGGTATCACCTATCAGATGGGGAGCACTTCTGCAATGAATGTTTTGACCATTATTACAGAAGGTAAAGGATTTTATGACCGTAAAACGACCGTGCAAACTCGTTTTTTATTGCATTCTTCTAATTCATAAGTGACGCGGAAATTAAGGCTGTTATTTCAATTGTTTTCAGTCACAAAGATGGGTTTCAAGCCTATGAACAGTGGAAAAAAGATTGGAACAGCAACAGTCAACATGAGGGGAACTTAAAGATGTTTATGGCGGAACGAATTCTACCGTATTGGGTGAAATGCTCTGATTGTAGTAAATGGCGCCAATATCCCATAACGGAGGGAGATTTGACCACAGATATTGTCGAATCTTGGACTTGTAGAAGCTATAGAAAACTTAAAAAGGTTATTACCAATACTAGACTACCTTGTTTAAGACAACTTTCTCAGCTAGTTCAGACACAAATCACAACAGCTTATTGTAGAATACTACTTACACTGGACCACGACGCTTGAGATATCTTTCTCAGGTAGTTCAGACACAAACCACAACAGCTTATTGTAGAATACTGCCTACACTCTTGAACTACACCAAATGAAAAATGTAATATATGTCTTTCACATTGCGCTGTAGAAAAACGAAGACGACAAAGTAGAAAATAATTTGTGCAGCAGCGAAGAAGACGAGGTACTTCGAAGGAAAAAACATTTTATTTCAGCGGAAAAAGTTAAAGAAGAGCTATGCGCAATATTCGCAACTAGTCTATGAAAATCTTTTATTCTAGCCCAGTCACTTGCCTCACTACGACTTTTAAAAGTCTGTGTTTGTCTATGTAGTCATATCACAATTATACGATTGTTTCATGTAATTATAACAACTGCATAAATAGACAAAACACTTCTCGACGTTTCGACCTTAGGGCCTTCGTAAGGAGAGTTAGTCATACTACCTCTCCTGACGAAGGCCCTCAGGTCGAAACGTCGAGAAGTGTTTTGTCTATTTAGGCAGTTGTAACACCACATTTGATGCTAAGTTGTTTGAAGACGCTGCCACGCTGCTCCTTGGTTATATTGGATGTTTAACTGATTTATCGTTTTCCCAGAGAGTGAAGTACTGCCACTCGGGCTACTGGTATGAAGGACTGGGCTATAATCCTCTGTTAAAGTTCAGCCCGACTGCTTCATTGGTCTCGTCGTATTATCTCGATGGCGTGGGACTGAGCCCGACTGACAATAACTGGGAAGATACGAGCGTTAAGGAAAAACTGGAACACGGTACATAACCATATAGTTCAGAGCAACTGACCTATAAATATATCTATATACATAAAAACTTGTAAAGTTTGTCTTGACACAAAATATTGCTTCAAACATCGTTTAGCCGATGTAAAACCTTTCTGTCTTCCCGAGTCGGACGATGGTATTGCATTGTGTTTCCGACCAGATGTCATGGAACCAGACGAGTTGAAGGAATTCCCAGAATTTGCGAAGTAAGTTGGAATCACCCATTTTGAGATTGCGTATCTTTAGTATCTCGAAGCCTTACGATGTATCTCGAAGACTTACGATGTATCTCTAAGACTTACGATGTATAATTTGCTTTTAGAATCCAGAACAGATACTTGGCTTTACGAAATCTAATCTTGACACTTTGGAGTCTAAATTACAAGGTATTTAAATGCAAGAAGCAAGAGTTTTGAGTGAAGTTATTTAACGAAATTAACTTTGAAGTAGGTAACACAAGTGTTCAATTGTCTGACATTAGTATAGCTGAAGGAATGGAATAATGAGAGAAATAGAAGGGGCTTTTGATGTGGATGTCCTGCGCTGGCTTCTGACCAGTTAATTGCACATTTTTGCATCAAAAATCGAGGACATTTTGCACGCTGGGCCTTCTAGTCCTCTCATTATTCTATAACTAAAGCGTGTAAATAAGGACTTTTTTATATTTGCAGCAAATCTTAACGGTGGACCGATGTGTGAACAATTTGATCCTACGAGGTCTAGCGCGTATTGCAATCATACCCCAGCTGGAGAGGATTCTGAGATATCTCACGCTCAAAGGATACATCAACTACGGGATCTTGCAAAGCACACCTTACATATCATTGCCCGTTTCTAACCCTAACACTGTGAGTGGGTTTTTAAAATTAGCTTGAAATAATTAGATTTCCTGTTAGATTCAGGTTTTGTAGAATCGGATTCGTCCCAGACCTCTCTCCACATTTCGACCTTTGGGGTATCCTAAAAAGCCATGGCCATAGCTGAATGAACTCACTTCTGATGGATGTTTTATAGTCTGTTGACTTGCAATGTATATAAAAGCAAATCAACTGAAGCCAATACATTACTGCTTTATCAATAACAAACTACATTCCATACGTCAGAGGTAAATTGGCTCCACTTATATAATTTGTTTTTATCAAACAAAGAGTGCACACGTCATAGTCATCGGCGCTGGTGCCGCGGGACTGGGAACCGCTAAACAGCTTAGTAACTTTGGAACGAAGGTATTTGTTTCCACGTTGAAAACCGTACACTTCACAATTTTTCATATTGGATCACAACGAATCTTATGTGATACAAAAAGCCTCATTTTCAGAGCTTCATCGTCGTTCGCTTCCACTTGGTTTTCCATCGTTTCTGTAGGTTACAGTGCTGGAAGCACGAGACCGCATAGGAGGTCGTGTTTGCGATGAAAAGATTGGAAATATTACCGCTGGTAAAGGAGCGCAGATCATGAATGGTTGTGTAAACAATCCCCTTGCGGTCATAGTAAAGCAGGTAGGTTTTACTAAGCATTACCACGAAAATGACGAAATCAAGTTCAACTACATGAAGTTTAGGGTCTGTTTACACCATCCAATTTTGTCGGATCCAATTCACCTGTGACGTATGGAATGTAGTGTGTTATGGATAAAGCAGTACTGCATTGACTTTAGTTGATTTGCTGCCCATATACATTGCAAGTTAACAGACTATAAAACATTTATCAGAAGTGAATTAGATCGGACAAATTTAGATCGTGCGAACAGAACTTAATAGCTTCGCCCTTAAAGTTGAACTTATATATGATAAAAACATAGGATTGGACAGTATGTATTCTTTGGAAAAGTGGTTAGATTAAATGCCGTACGTAACTCGTAAGGCTCATGCAAAACTTGTTAGAACATGTAAGGGATTTTAGACAAGTGATAGCGTGTTTTGAGTTAGCATGGTTCTGTGAAATGCTATTGCAATTAGTGTATGATTTCGCTGACAGTGTGGTCTTACGATGAAGTGTATTGGCGAGAAATGCGATCTGCTCGAAGAGGATGGTGAAATTATTGATATGGAGTCAGATGAGAGAGGCGAATTTCATTTCAATGCTTTGTTGGACGCTGTCGCTGATTGGAGGAAACAAGACGATGTTGATTGCTCGCTGGGAGGTAGAGAAATATGCCGAGTTATATTATTTCCTAGCTGTGAAATGTGCGATGATCCAGTGTACTACACGAAGAAACCTAAACTAAACTAACTTTATTTATACTGCATAGCTCTATCAGTTCTAAACTGTTCTTCCTAGAGCTCCAGTAAGGACCATCTCTTATTGATCCAGTCTTACTATAGGAGGAAACCTAAACTAAACTTACTTGATAATTATTTGCTCTATAAAACGCAATGTATATATATTACTTTGTACTCTTTCTAAAATATATTGTTGATTTTGTGTAGACAAACTTTTAGGAATTCACAAGATGTTTTTGGATCAAACCCGAACTGTTTTCACCGAGGTACCTTTTATTGCATCTTGATTTGAACTGTCATGCAAATTTGTCCACAAATGAAATAACATTTCACCCGAATGCTAATTCCAGGCATCTGAACGACTTCTAAATTTTCATCTCGGAAACCTGGAATACGCATGCGCCACAACTCTAGATCAAGTGTCTGCCTTGTTCTGGGACCAAAACGAATCGTTTCCTCAGTTTCAAGGGAATCACACCCTACTCACTCACGGCTATGGAACGGTCCTACAGCGGATGAGCGAAGGACTTGATATTCATCTTGGTGCAGAGGTGTTGTTTTTGTTTTTCATCTCCCTTCAATCTTATAATTCAATCTTATATTTTCTTGACGTCTTTTTGAATTTTTGAATGATTCTTTTATGTAGGTTACCTCTGTCGATTACTCCGCAAAGACAATTTCTGTGACGACAAGAGACGGAAGAATATTCATAGCAGATAAGGTGAGACTACGTTACTGACTGGACTTCTTGGAAGAAAGTCTGTTCAGTATAAATAAAGTTAGTTTAGTTTAGGTTTCCTCCTGTAGTAACACTGGATCAATAAGAGATGATCCTTACTGGACCTCTAGGAAGAACAGTTTAGAACTGATAGAGTTATCCAGTATAAATAAAGTTAGTTTAGTTTTCCTTTCGTCTGTAGTAACACTGGATTCTTACTAGACCTAGCTTAAGAACTGATAGAACTGTACAGTATAAACATAGTTCTGTTTTCTAGGTAGTTGTAACCGTTCCACTGTCCTTGTTGAAATCGGAGGCCATTTCTTTCAATCCTCCGTTGCCAAGCAAGAAAACAGATGCCATCAAAAGACTCGGAGCTGGTATAATAGAAAAAGTATGGAGAACCTGTTCTTATAGGGGGGGGAGAACCTGATCTGACAAGGGGGGTGTTGGATGAAGAGCTTATTCTAGACACACTAATCAATAATTCTAATCAATTTTCGTGTGTAATTCTTCAGGTAATACTCTCGTTCCCCGTGTGTTTCTGGGAAAGCTACTCGGACACTTTCGGACACGTTCCGAACACGAAGGAAACACGAGGATTTTGCGGGATATTTTATGATCTATCACCCAAGGTACTGTATTATTCCATTCAATCACATAAATTTCACTGTTTTGTACCCTATATTAAAGGCGAATGGGTTAAGGATATAAGGAGTCAAGTTTTCCCAATGGGGAGTTCCCTAATGTCCAGCGCAGTTTAATGTTCAAGCTGTTCAAATATACGACTTTTTGTGTATGTTCAGAGTGTTTCAGACAGGCAGAAAAAAGACAATCATGTCTTGATGACAGTTTTGGCGGGAAACTCGGCCATGGAGGCTCAAGATATGGAAGATAAGGAAATTGTTGACAGATGTATGAAGTTGCTGAGAACGATGTTTCCCAACGAGGTTATACCAAAATGATACGAAATTATCAAGGGATCGATTCGGAGCATTGCGATTAACTTTGTGACTTCAATTTTTTAGACTGTACCAGACCCTTTGAAAAGCATCATTACTCGCTGGGGAAAGGATCCGTTTACCAAAATGGCGTACTCGTTCGTCGCTAAAGATGGCGTGGGTGAAGATTATTCGACACTCAGTGAAGATGTTGCAAAAAAGATTTACTTTGCAGGGGAGGTGAGTAGCCGAATAATATACACGTGGGTAGACCCACTCTGAACCAATTTCACCCTTGCTCGGCCTTTGTATTGGCAACCTCAGCGCAGATAAAACATTGGGTACTAGTAATAATTTTAGCCGTGCCACGGCCAATCTCGTCCCCTTCGTGGAAATAGACAAAAACACTTCTCCACGTTTCGACTTGAGGGCCTTCGTACTAACTCTCCTGACGAAGGCCCTCAGGTCGAAAAGTGCCCATTTAACGTCTTACTATTTTGTTCTAGTACAGCTGTAAAGTGTATATAGAAAGAGTAAATGTATTTTTCAATTTCGCAGGCTACAAACAGACAATTTCCACAGACAGTAACTGGTGCGTATATCAGCGGTTTACGAGAGGCCTGCAAAATTCACACCGACCTTGAAGCGGATTGACAAATTTGACCTTTTCATATCTAGCAAAGTTTGCATTCTTGCAAATTATGAGTGGATATCGAAAATGAATGATTTACGTTTGACTGACCTCACACGCGCATTAACCATCTCGGGATTTTATGTGCGCTGATTTGTAAATATTGATTAACTTATATTTTTAAGACAGTCCAGATTTTAAGATACTATATTTCGTACGTATGAAGAAATAATTATGCATTAATCCAGTGGCAATGGGTGCTTAAAATCATCGGTTCTGCATCGTCACAATCAGTTAGCAATTGTCTCGTAACAATGGTCTGCATGGCAAAAGTGCGATTTTTCCCATCGAAATTAGTGGGCTGTATACGACCTTAACCACTCGGCCAACGGATGGTGTGTTGACACCTTTTTAAAAATTTTTTAAAAATGTGTTATGTGGTTGGTTTTTGGTACATTGAAAAGGTAACCCTGACCTTTCAAGAAGACCCTGGGAACGAGGTTATCAGTTGTGTTGACACGTTTGAGTGATGGAAAATTAACTACGAGATAAACAAAAAATCGCAACTGCCCGCAAAAATATTTTAAGTTTTTTAACCAAATTCTTCACGCTGTTTGACAACAATCATTTACTTCCTTGGCCATGAAACATTAATAAGAGCAAGAGAAAATTGTTTTAAAAATGGACGAGGTTCCTTTAATATCAGTAAAATGTGGAGGAATTCTAAAAAAGCAATCAGATAATTGTTGTCTTGCTATACCAGATAAAAACGAGCCAAGGTTGGATTTTGTATGTGAAGCTAAAGATGGCGAAATATTGAAACTACATTGCAGGAATATTACGGCGATTGATCTACGAGTAGAAGCGAAATTTGGTTCAATTGATGCGATGAAAGGCACCCTTTTGATTGAATGCTCGGTCGTAAAAACTAAACACCCGGTCAATGAATCAATGAATGAGGATTTGGCTTTACTTTCAGGTAATTCTGGTGAAAGTTGTCTTGTCCGGGCGAGTTTTCACGTAAACGAAACCGGAGCTATTCGAGATCTTCTTAGGAAGCTAAAAGGGATTTATACAAGCACAAATTTGGATGAAAATACCAGTATCAGACACCCAAATGGCAGCTCTGAAACTTCCTCCCAAACTAACACCAAGCATTTGAAGGAAGGCTTACCAAAGTGGGTTGAATACATACCACATTTTCTGTACTCCAAACGAACCAGACAATGCATCCAATTGGCGATATACGTCTACCTTGTGTTCTCGGTGATGTGGGCGCTTTGGCAGCTCTATCGCTATGTTGAGTTTGTCAGAGAATTCCTGCGACCCTTGATTGACTTTCTCCAATACCAATACAGACTCCTGGACTATGCGATACGGTTCTTTAACACAATTTTCGAGGAGTATACTGTTCAATGGCTTTGTTTCATTAAACCACTTTATACGGTTGCATCGACGATGGCTGCTCCAGTGTTGCAAACAGTTGCACAACTACGGCCATTGTTGCAAATTGTTGCACAAAGTGTTACCAGCAGTTGTGCGGTCATGTGGCCAGTAGTGAAACCAATAGCAAATGTTGCTTACCAACTTGGATACTTTTTATTCGGCATACTTCAAGGACTCAAGAACCTTGTGGGTAGGCTTTGGTTTCCATTCGTCAATGTTTCCATACCATCGATATTTGGTACATATTTCAGAGCAGTCAAACAAATGCTATTGACTTTATGGCAAAGTCTGGGGCAGACCCAACTGGATCCCTTAAGAGCTCAATTACTGATTGTAAGAGCTACAGTAATTCAAAGTTGTAGGGCTCTGGGTTTTGGAGTGGCACGTTTAGCACAAAAGATAAACCAAATTATTTGGTTGAGAAGATCGGCAAGGGTCGAAATGCGCTTTAAAAAGCAGGACTGAAACTAAGAAAGAAGTTGGGTTGATTACTTTGGACAAAATTACATTAAAATTATTAAAATCATGAATATTATATAGCATTGATATTATCGAATTATAACATCTCTAAAATATAAACAGCATAGCATTACTTTGAGTATTAAGCTAATATCCTTATATATGAAAAACAAAAGGTGACATGTAGGCTGCATTTGATGGTTGTTAAACATATATAACAGTGTAACTGTATTGTAAGTTGAAAATGTACATATTTATAAATTTGTGCATCTATATAATTTAATATTCCTATTTATTGTAAATAGAGCATTTATTGTTCAAATATGTATAACATATAAATAAATACTGCTTTACTGTTGATATTTAGGTAACTCCACTGTGTATCCACATTAGGTTTCATTAGGAACCACTTGCATATAGGTTGTTCAGACATGAATGTTTCAGTCTTATTTGAAGTTTCCATTACAGTATTTTACATCTTGCAGGCTCAGATCGAAGGTAAACTATATTCTTTTATATAAATTGTTATATTAGATAATTATTTGATCTTTGGAAGCCAATAATGCCAAAGGTATGTAAATGTATCTAGCATTTGTTAGGTAGAATCATTTGGCATATTAGGCAGAGTAATAATTAATACCACGCTTGCAGGTTAAAGATTTTATTTGAACATCATCAATCTATCTTGAATTCATGATCAACCCCATGCATTTATATCTTTGATTAAGATAACAAATTATTTTGATTCGGATAGGAAAAAGACCTTTGTTCATCAACTGTGTAATAGACCTTTCTCATAATGATAATAATGGCGTCAAATGCAGAATTGCCAGATCTTACAGAAATTTTTATTGGCTCTGCCAAACTAAGGATTAAGAGCCAATCAAACTTCGTGTACCACCAGGCTTTGTGATTCAATGTCATTATGACAAAAGTCTATTGTATCCTCATAGAGGAATACTGTATTGACTAGGATGTGTGTGCCTAAATTTCAGGTCAAAATTCACTACACACTTGAAGGACAAAGTAGTGTGATAAAGACAATAGATGCCAATGTTGCTACCCTGAACTTTATAGTTAGAGGGCTGCCAGGTTCCCCAGAAGGTTATAAAGTCTCTAGTATAGAAACTGTCGATGGTGTCGTCCTGAGTGACTGGTCGCAACCCCCACCAGATACTGTTTATGTTGTTGGAATAATGGAGAAATGAACATTCATTAAGATAAATTGTGATTTTGAGAAAAATGATGTATATTTTTTAAGGAACTGTACATAATTAAATGCTTGTGCAAAATGAACCAGAAATACATTTGTAATATTCGATAATTTGGAGTCAAATGTTTAAGTAAGACCAAAGACCATTTGTGTCCAAATAAAATGAAGGTGTAATAGTTATAGATTTTTTATTACTCCAGCCTTTGCATCCAAAATATCAACCTGTGTCAATTACTTAATTACTGAAATTTTACAAAACAAATGGGCTAGTTTTAGGCTGTGAAATTTTTATAATTATTGGCCATGGTCTAAACTCTGAAATACAAAATTTTGAAAGCATTCTGTAATCTGTAGTTCTCCCCCCCTCTGTGATTTCAATCCAAACTTCAATATGGCGCCTATTGCTCTGAAAGACAAGAGAATCGAGGAGCTCACAAAACAGCTTGTGAAGCGATTCATCAGAGGAGAGGTACGTTGGTGGATTCCTCAATGTTTGCTCTCTAATTCCCGTGCAAAATTTATTGCCGATCTCTCTTTGCAGTTAGCAAAAAAGAATGTTCCTGTTGCTACTCAATTTGCGATGTCAAATTTTAGGTAAGGTATTTTATAAAGAACACGAACATTGCTTGTAATCAAGCGCCTTCAGGTTTAGGCTATTATTGGAGATGGCTTTCATATGAAGTGGTTTTATTTCTACGATTAGTTGTCGATCGATACTAGATGTTTATATGACTTTATATCGTACTGTACGGTGTACCCATGCATATAAAAGTGTGGTATAAATGTTTGAATGTTTATATATGTACACCTCGTTTGTTGTCGTAACTGAAAATTTCTTAAATTCAGCAAATCTACAATAAAGACTGTATTGGTTTCCGTCTTGTATTTTTTACACCTTTGCAATTTCGAACTGCTATTTGTTTTTCAGGTACCACAAATTTTTGGATGCAGACAGCAACAAGATTTCAAGGACAATTCAGGGGTAATATGGATTATGTAGACAGCTCTGTTAAGCCAGATTTATATTTGAGAGATCATTAGTTCAAAAATTTTGAAGGCTATCCCCATCATTTTTGTTTTTGCATTTCCTCAAGACTTTGCGAGAAGTTTGCAATCCATGGACAAGATCATAAATCACAGGCTCTTTCAACTTTGGTAGAAAAGTTTATGAGCTGCCTTTTGTTTGACCAACAGTATGGCGAAAAGGTCTGAATATTGAAGAATACCTCTTTTATGGTGGCTTTGCTGTGCCTTGTAATTGTGTCATGTTATCTGTAAACAATGTATTAAATTTTAATTCCAGAGTGACGTTCATTATGCATTACTAAAATTCCTCACAGTGCTGTCAGATTCTCCGGTTAATTCTGTTTACCATCCACCACAATCGGAAGAAAGTCAAGATGGTGAGTTAATTAATAAATAACTATGAATAAGTATAATTTGTAATGTCATATACCATGGTAGTGAATTTTTCCCTGTGTTCTTGTACTTCAAAGATTAAGAAAAAACATTCAAAATGTTTGGATAAAGATAAGTGTGATGCTGTTTCAGACCAGTCACCAGTGTGACCAGATCTGGTTGGATGCTCAGAGATAGCCTCATTGCATTTATACCAGACTGGGGCAGCCTACTTCTAGCACGATTTGAGCAGCTTTGGTTGAATATTTGCATATATTGTCTAGCTGTTTCAGACATTACAATCATACCATTTTGTTTATTACAGTTTTATTATATCTAATTCTTAGCAAAAGATAATTTTAATTGGACAAACTATCTTCTTGAGGGTGAAGAAAAATACATTGTTCATTATTATGATACAAATGAAGAGGTATATGACATGATGCAAGTATTATTAAGTATTTGTATTTCCAATGATTGTTACCATTGGAAGTCATCTACCAAGCTAAATCATCTTTATTCATTTCAGGAATTTTGGAGTGACTTAGATTCAGAGGTAGGTGGTATAAAAGAATCATATGTGTTTAGATGTAAGGTGCATGATCTCTAGTTCTAATGCAAGTGCTTTCTATACATTTTAAACTGTAGTATTGTTTGAAAATACAACATATTAACATACAACTGTCTGCGTATGACCTATGGGTTAGAGTCTGTGTGCAAAACATGCAGAACTGGTGTACAAACCCAACTGCAGACGTCACCTTTAAAGATTGTTCATTAATTAGGGTACTTACTTACTGCTTACTTTTTATTATTGAATATTAACATAAACTTCGAAATCATTGTGATACAATAATTGTTTTTCTAAAGGATGATGACAGCGTTATTGAAGATGATGAAATATCAGCAGAGAATCAGAATGATAAAGGAGATGAATGCAATCAACCAGAGAGAAACCAAGGGACTGTCAGATACATAGCAAATACCGGTGTTATAACATTGGAGGTGGGTATAACAAATAGATTCATCCGTACCCAACCCCATACCATACCCCAGCTCTCACAGTTGGTGGAGGGGGGGGGGGGGTTGTGGTTGAAAATTAATGTCTATTATTGTAGGCAAGGGACATTCTTTGTGAAAACATCATGGAACCATATTGGATGACTAAAGAAAGTTCATCAGTTGCTGAAGAATCTTCAAAGATATCACTTGCCTCGCAGTGGTAAGTAGTTAACATGACCTGGGGGCCAAAACATTGCACCAATGAGTTGAAACACTTTTTGAAATGTAACCAACATATCCCGGGTACATTTTGGTGGGTGAGATTCAACAATTGTGACCACTTCTTTTGCACTGTAGGTCAGAATATTGTTTGGAAACAAACCCTCTTGGTGTTAGACCAACACAACGTCTTCATGAAATCCAAGTTATCAGAGAAACGATCTGGTGAATAATTGAACATCCATTTTACCATAGTTTTTATTTAGTTATGTTTGGATGTCCTAAACCAGAAGATTTATTCTATATAGGATGTTATCTGGTGTTAAAAAACTACACGTTTATGATTTTACTAATGAAAAATTCACGGTTCGTGAGGGAATTGAAATGACACACATTACGGAGGTAAGATGAACTATGTTTTCTTTTTTCAAACTTGTGTTGACAAATATATTTCATCTTTCGGTAAAATGAATGCTGAAATTCGATAGGGCATTTGTGAATCAAACTTAGTCAAAGGTAGCTTGTTTAGTTGTTTTTCCGTATGAGATCGCCGCGCTAAAAGCGTGTTTAAATGTTATTTTTTTTAGCTTTCACTACAGAAGTTTTTGATCGCGTTTGCCGACACGGCTACTTCAATAGTCGAGTTACGTAGTTTCATAAAGAAAGTTTGTCAAGCCTCGACCGACAAGAAAATCCCACAAACATATCAAGCGTTTAGCTTTTCGGTTTTAAAATACTTTCAGGTATGCTCGTCTTGATTTTTACAGCACAAATATACCAGAGCCGTTTCTTGCTATTTGGAAATGAAGGTTTCTAGATGCCGTAGTCGACTCACAACACCGCTTTTAACCTATTCAAACTATTCAAATAGAAATTTAATGAAGATTTGTCAAAGATTGAAGAATCCATCATTAAGAAAGGTATGTTTTATGGGCTAAAGTCATTGTCAAACCAATTACTTCAGTTGTGAAATTCGGTGCCTGTTATTACAATCGTAAACTACAATGGTCGAATGTTCAAAGTGTTGATTACGGAGCCACTGGATCAATGACACTGTTGTCCATGTACATACCTTGTTCAATGTTCGACTTATGGTGCTTTGATTATTATCCTTGCAGAGGAAACAGTTACGTTATCAGTCCTGCAATGTCACATTTCACAATATCAGAAAGAGGTATTACTGTAGTAATAAATGGATAAACTTTGTTGAAAGTTATCAAGAATTTACGAGGTGAAATTAACTTCATTGATTGTGTCTCTTGCAAATAGATTACTGCGATATTTGATGTGTATCATCACGGGATCAAAATCGTAGCAGAAAGACCGAACTACGAGGTAAAGCAATTCATGATTTATTTTTGATATTTTTCTCAACCATCAGCAAGAAAGATATAGCTACCATCCTTTCCTCTGACGAACACGTTCTATTCATCTTTATAGAAAGTTGCATTTTTCCTAAACGCATTTTACCATGAGATACTCCTTGCTGATGGCCTTGGAGATTATGGTCGTTGGAAGGTTTGTGATTCAACTGAATTATCCTAATTCACAATAGGAAAGCTTTTTGGGCAAGCATTTTATCCTTGCATTCAGACAATATTTACAGCACTGCATTATTTCTGCGTTTCTATAGGTGAAAATCTTACTACCTCTGTTTTTTAATACTCTGGAACCCTACGTGGAATTTCTTGATGGTTGTCTCACTGAAGGAAAGTTAATCGATGCCGCTGATGAGTTCTGTATTCAAAGGTGTGGTTTATTCTGTACTCAAACGCTGATCTGATAATACACTGAATATAGCAACTATATCTTCCATGTAAAGGCTCCAACCCTAAGCATTGAAATATTTAGTTACGGTATAAATTATTTTAAACTAGAAATTCATTATTTCTGACGTCTTGTTTGACCGGTGTAGTTGCTATTATCCAGGCTTTTGACAGATCAGTTGGAATTAAATGATTAAGGTCTTTGTAGTCATCCAGGCTTAGTTGAGGCCACCTATTTTGCTTGGCACAGACTTCCTGAGTGAAAGCCAAGCTGATCAATCTAGTCCAAAGATGGATTTAGCATATGTAAACAAAATAATTTAAATCTTCGGAAGTTCTTAACGCCACTTAAAGTGCACTTTTAAAACGGAAAACAAACATTGCTTTATCTTTCTTAATACCGATTACACTATTCTTTCCCCGCACTAGGCTTTCTACAATCGTTAACCAAGGGCCTGAATTATGGGCATCAGTTTTAAAAGTCAAAGGTATCAAATCTTCATGTATATTCCTTTGTATGTTTGATGTTTTTTATCCAAATTACAATGTACTTTTCTCATTAGGTGAAACTGAAGCTTACAGCGTTTCTTGCCCGACATTTCTCCAGCCTGTCCTTCCAGAAGTAAGATCTTGCAATATGGTTTTGATGATATAGTTTACGTGTTAGATCATAGGTGTTATTTTGTTCGGATGCCCATGTGAAGAAAAAAATCTCAAAAGTAGAAATGTTCATACCGGATGTTTTTGTTGTTTTTCTATATATAGATTATTCTCGCTGGAAAGTCTATTATCCTTCTTGAAAGTTTGGGCGAGGTAAGAATGGAGAAATAGATTAGATTTCATGCATTTCTTCTACGTTTTTCACACCCATACTTTACCTTTAAAAGCCTGGGTACTTAGTTTCGAAAAGGTATAGAGATATGGGTCGAGATGTATATTGGCTGGGGTTAATCATGTAATATTTTTATCCCAGCTTTCGAAGAATGCTGATCGACTTTTACAAGGTACTGAACGATTTTTGTGAAAGCTGAGCTATTAGACCCCGTACCTTTCAAATTAGGAATTGTTAGCTACATAATCTCGCTTAGTCGAGCGTAAACGTATCGTGAAGTGACTTTGAGGTATTGAAATGAGTATATAACACGATTCTGGAAGTGTTGTAGTCATTCCAACAATAATATGTGTTTGTTTGGCTTCGTAAAGACCTATTTCAATACCTCAAAATCATCACAACTGCTGGTGTAAACAAACTCTTACTCGCGCGTCCATCAAACATTTACAGTGCCTTATGAAAATAATAATTCTGTTATTTTTTTCTTTATTTACGCAGAGGAATCTTTGAACACAATGTTCGCACGTTCTGTGTCGACCCTCACGGACATTCAAAGTAAACACGTATTTTTTGTCGCGATATAATCTTCTTTTCAGGGTGGCGTTTTTTTTTCTTTGTCCCACGTAATTCGCTCTGAACTGCATGTTCGCGCAACCACGCACATTTGTATTACATGAAGAAAAGCCAATTTATATAAGAGGATTAAATCCATTTTTTTCGATACGTGATCTGATGTTTACTTGCTGTAAAAATCCCCATTTTTGCAATGTTTATAATGTTTATTTTTGCCCAATAAAACGCACATAAGTGGAATGCAACTTAAGAGTGATCGATTAAGTGCACATATTAATCGTCTGTCAGGCAACGGTGTGTATAAAATATCATGTGAAAATGTGCAATATTTGTTTTCTGTTCAGATATGGCAGAACTATTTCAACTGTGTTTTTATCCACATATTCGAGCTAAATACGAAAAGGTATATATCTTGTATAAAATGCAGGGAGCAATGTTTACAAGTTGTTGAAATATTATACAATCTATTCCGAGCACATCTTTGACAGATTTTCCCGCCTTTTCCGTCTGTATTTTTAGATGTATTTTATAATCAATGTCCTCTTCACTTTTGTAGAGTTGCAGTTCTTTAATTCATCTTTTGAAAACTGAATATATGTTATTAGATCACCTTGCAGCCTTAAGGGTTAGTTATTCTGTGAATTACGTTCGTAGCTATTAATATATAATATATATAAGCTTCTGGTATGTTTGTTTATTGCTGCAAATATTGTTTTTTATAAAATCATACTGTTTGACTTGCACTTAGAAATTTTTCTTTCTGGAAGCGGGAGACGCTATGCATCATTTTTACACCGACATCTTTAAGAAGGTTGGAGTTCTTTTTCCCGCACCGAATTTTAGAAATAAAGCATGTATATACGCTGTCAGCTAAACAACCTTACACCATTCTTCGTCTTCTTTCAATAGTGCAATCGTCATGAACGATGGCAAGACATGTCATACTTAAACAGCTTACTTTACGAATCTCTCAGTCCTGCATATTCTGAAATGAAAGAGAGGTATATACTTTTAGACTTAATTTAGCGAAACCATATCTCTTCTTGCAAACAGGTGTATTGTTGCACTAGGTTTGGCCTATAACGATTCCAATTTTCACTTCATTGCCAGGTTTACAGTGGGCTATAACAAGCCAGAAAAATTGACGATAGACTCGTTTGAAGGCTTGGAGCTAAATTATAAGGTAGTGCCATACGTTCTTGATAATCTCTTGAAGTTGTGTTTAACAATGTTGATCTTATTCAAAATAGTGGATCTATTGTTTTAGGCACCCTGGCCAATTAACCTTGTGATAGACGCTTCATCTCAGAAACGATATAACGATGTTTTCTTATTTTTGTTGCACTTGAAACGTGCAAAGTGGAGTCTGGATGATTTACGTTTTAAAGGTGAACTACAGCCACAAACCTCGACAGCTGGACCACAACGTTTGAGATATCTTTTTCAGGTTGTTCAGACACAAACCACGGCAGCTTATTTATATTTTGGTATTATATACTAGATCTACAACGCAGGCAGATCGCCCCTAACTTTGAAGACATTGAGGATGAAGAGAAAATCCCAGTTCAACCGGGTCTCGTAATGGATTATCGTGTTCAGCATCGATTGCATCTTGTCCGTTTTGATCTAATGCAGTTTGTTAACGGCCTGCATCAATATATTATGACCAGGGTAAGTCTTGGTCCAAGTGTGGAACCCTAAGAGGCTGAATGAGGTGTGCTTGCAGGATTTGTCTTTATTTTTGCCAAGGTGATGCAACAGTCTGATCATTTTATTTTAGATTCTTCACAGCAAGCTGGAATTTAAAGAAGCTTTAAAAAAGGTGTTGTAAATACAAAACTTTACATTTGACCGCAATTAAAATATAGTGATAGCAGTTGGTAAGCGCGATTTGTATGTGAGGTTTGTCAATTCTCTTTTTACTTAGAGTGTCACTTGTTCTGGGTCAAATTATGCTAGTGAGGGAAGGGGGGGAGCAAGGTAAAGATGGGAAGGGCACTTGGGCTTTTTGGTGACACTTTAAACAGGGCAAATGCATGTCTTTGGATATCTGAACTTGGACAGAAAAGTGCACTTCTAGAAAGAGAACATTTTCTCATCACCTTAAAACGAACTAGTCTCTCACCCACTTCTCTATCGTTATCTTTGTAGGCAACAGATTTAGATGAAATCATCAAAGCTCATTCGCTTTACGTGGAGAAGATTTTTGAAAGATGCCTGATGACGAAGAAGGTAACGAGTATATTACTGTAAACGTTGGAAGGATTCAACACGTTGAATCCGATGACCTCTTGGTTGACGAGGAAAACTTCTAATCAAATTTATTCATGACTTCTTTTCTTGACTGCCAAAAAATTGTTTCGTTTCTTCTCAGCTCGAAGTTATGAAAGTTGGTATTCTCAAAGTCCTAAGACTCGCCGTAAAATTCAGCAAACTATGGCGTCTGGATGTCAGAGATAACAGGTTTGCCTTGTTTTTAGAATCGCTGAGAACTAGTTCAACATATTAGTAGTAGGAGGTGTTTGAAATAACCAGAACCCCATCACAAAGCAAAACCCCAGTTATAACACTAGGACTTTCTAAAAAACAATTCGAAGCTGTGAAGAAAAACAGCTGCATGGGAACTTTCTCAATAAATGTTTTCTTTGAGCCATAAAGTTGTTTGCAAACTTGTGTGGCTGATTTACCCCTTTGTAAGAAAAATTGTTCCACATTTTTTAGGGAAGGTTTAGTGATATCCATGGGTGAAGATCTTCAAAAATGGAGAACATTCATAATGACATTCTTGACAAAACAGATGAAACGCGGTTCATATCCTCAATGTAAGTTTTTCTCAAACACTTTCGTTTTTCATTTGTCCATGAAGAATGGTAAAAATGTATGTAACATTTTTTTTATATTCCAGTAGAAGCATTGGCTTTCAGTTTGGGATCAAAGAAGCAAATAAACGTTGCCGGAGAAAGTTAGGGCGAATTGTGGACAGAAAATTGTAAATAAAATTTGTGAATGAATATATTTATTTATTAAAGTGTATTTATGGTTAATTAATATAGCGGTGTCCACTGTCCATTTTTAATGTTGTATAGTGTGGATCAGAAGTTCTCAAGGACTTGTACAGAGTCTGGGCTTGAGGAAGTACGGCATCTTGAACTTGGTGGGTGAGGCTCGCTGACGTATGCGGGGTGGGGAGTTTCTTGTGGAGGGGGGGTGGGTCAGTGGCGTTGTGATTTTCAGTTCCCAATCTTCTCTCCTTGAATGATTTGTGCGCGGCAGATTCAATATGGCTGTCCTTCCACGTGTCATTTTCGTTTTAAAACTTTTCTTTATTTATCTGCTGTTTGCAATCGGCAGCCAAGAAGACAGAGATCTTGACAGGATTTCGCTGCACGATATTGAGCAAATCACACGAAGAAGCTGTGTTTTAGCAGGATTGCCGTTTGCAGAGAGTTTGAACGGCCACTTTTTAAATGTCCTTAGAAAGTTGCAATTTTCGGCATTTAAATCTGAGCCGAATGTAAGAATTGCTTTACTTAAACAAGAAAAAAACTTGTTGAAGGCTATCAAATGGGATGGCGGCGATTTACCAAGCTTGTACAACGACTCGATCGTATTTTTTCCGAAGATCAAGCCAGACAGAGTCTGTCTCACACCAAAGCCAAAACTGGTACTAACAGCAGAGGTAATTTTTTATTTTACTGTACTGTTGACAGTTATACCAAATATACTCTCGTGGCCCTATTTCTTGAGAGGACTGATACATTTATACCTGTGTGGTTCCAAACTTTTTTGTGGTTCAAAATTTTGAAAACTTTCACACTGCTTTTGATGAATGATTTTTCATTCCAATAGTATTCTTAAAATTGGTTGGTGGGCTAATGGTATAATATACTGGTTAGGGTGTGTAAAAAGCAGAACACCACCATATAATGTTGCACTCATAGTTCATTCATTTTGTTCTAGGTTTGGAAGGATAACGTGGATGCCCAGTTATTGCTATTTTATCTGAACTCAAAGTGTGAAACCTTTCAAATGCTTGATGGAAGCCTCTCTGTGCAAGGAAAAAGACGTCAAGATATTTTGGCAAACCTGTATCACCTGCCAAGAGTTCCCTACCCTGCTGTTGCCGCAGAATGTGAAAGAATTGCTATGCCAAACAGGGAGGAATTCATCCACAAATATCTGTTCAGATCTAAACCTGTTATAATTGAAGGTAGGGCCATAAGTTCAACAAAGTCAGATTCATTCATCTCATGTACAGTAGTTGAATTGTAGGTCTTTAATGAAACTTTGTGGTCTATGGGTAGTTAATACCATAAAAGAAACACTAAACAATACAGTTGATAAAAAATGAAACTAAATCATTTGCAAACTCAGGAACAATACAATCAAGCTTTTAAGCTCCAAACATGGCTTGTCAACAGCCATCAAACATTTATTTGCTTTTGGCAATGCAAGGTATCATTCACACAGTTTGCACTAGCTATGTTGCATCTTCCATGGCCTCATTGCAAGAGGTACACTTGAGCTCCCTCCCCCCTCTCGTATGACAGATAAGCCTTTGGGCTAAATGACTGATTTAGTCATTTAAAATTTTTCCAAAGGTGCTCTCCAAAAGTGGACAGCTCTCAAAAAGTGGACAAACATTTTTCTTGAGTCAAAATTCGGCAAAAACATGGTCCACATCAAAATGACTTCGGACGGCATTTTCGAAGGCTGCGACAAGGCAAAGCACTTCTCCAATTTTAAAACATTTCATGTTCCTGACTTTGTTTCAAAACAACTGCCATTTCCTGAGCTGGTCGTTGTCCGACCTGCAACAATGAATTTAAATTTTTCATCCTTCATGGATATGATTCGCCGGCCACCAAAAACAAACATGTCCGCATACCTGGAGTATTCTTCGATTCCTGATCATATGCCAGAGTTGGAAGAGGATATTGCAGAGTTTGATTTTGTAAAAAACATTTTGACAAGAAGACATCTTAATATCTGGTTGAGCAATGGGAACACACTTGGGAAATTGCACTTTGATCCTTATGAAAATTTTTTGTGCCAGGTAAGGTATATTTAAGGATTGTAAGTTGGTGTGAAACTTGTTTGAAATAAGACACTGATTGACAACATATATCATGGATACAATACTTAATTATGGCTATTGAGAATTGCCAGTTGTACTTTTGAAAAATCTATTTGGTATAGACGTTCTAAGCCCATTGCTGAACAGCTGAAGGATGATTGTTATATATTTTAAAGTACAAAAGCAATTGACTCCTCTAATTTGCTGGGGTTTTCTTTAAAATTCTTAGAACTTTAACACCAAATGGCAATTTTAACACAGAAAATATATAATTTAAATTCAGGCAAATACTTTTCATCATTTTTGCAGATTAGCGGTTCGAAACAGGTGACCCTATTCGAACCACACAAGAACGAGGAGCTCTACGAAGGACATATACAAGAGGCCATTTTGGCATACGATGAACAATCTAAGAAATTTTCCAAGAAAAAATTACTAGATAGCACTTCCATGGTGATGTCTCCTATAGATATTCTCAGACCAGACTATAAACATTTCCCGAAATTCAGAGAAGTTCCTGGAATGAAATGTACCATTAGCGAAGGGGATGTTCTTTATATGCCATCATTCTGGTGGCACGAAGTGCAGTCGAAACCCAGCGAGGAAAAGCGAAACTTAGCCGTCAATTTTTGGTACGATTTTGTTGAAGATTCCGTTTTTTCGTTTACAAATTTAGTTTTATGATGAAATATCGACAATTTGCTCTTTCTTCAGGTATGAGCCGTTTCTAACGAAGGAATTCCCGTGTGCTAAATGCCCAATGGACATCAACCCACACTACTTTCATAATTTATTGTAATCATATAGACTTTACATAGACCTAGGAATAGAGTATGAAATTATTTAAATAGAGCCAGTTTGCATGGGACCGAAAAAGGTTTCCTCCTGTAGTAACACTGGATCAATAAGAGATGATCCTTAATGGATCTCTAGGAAGAACAGTTTAGAAATGATAGAGTATAAATAAGTTAGTTTAGTTTAGGTTTCCTCCTGTAGTAACACTGGATCAATAAGAGATGATCCTTACTTGACCTCTAGGAAGATGAATGTGGTTTTAGGATAAAGACAATGACTTCTTCAGGCATAAATATATATATATATATATATATATATATATATATATATATATATATATATATATATATATATATATATATATAGGTATATATATAATGCCAATTTTTTACTAAGAATTATGTAAACGCCAATTTTTTAAGAATTATGTAAATGAATATATATATATATATATATATATATATATATATATTATATATATTTGATAAATCCAGACGTTTCGTTGGTTAGGGCACCTTCTTCAGTCGATACAAAGTGTTCAGGCTTGAGTTTTAAAACTGTTTTACTGCATGTGCATGTATTTCGTAAATGTTGTATAGTTATGTTGACCAAGGAAGCAGCTGTTATTATTTTAAAATTGTTTTTCGTGAATTAATTCTCCACAGAGCAGGTGAGAAATGTCATTGAAATGAGTTCATTACTAAGCATTGTTCCGAGGGCGAGGGACAGTTTCTGCAAGTGCACACTTGCAGTATATTTCAGTGGAAAAAGTGCCTGGTAGACAAAAACAAATATATAGTAGAGGAATGCAATATCCAAGTTTTTTGAAGGCGTGATCATAGTTTAATTTTAGCTCGTTATTGGTCCTGGTATATAGCACCTGTCTTTAATGTTATGGAAATGAACTGAAGAATTTGAAGGCCACAGCAAACAAGAGTTACACGTGTAAATCGTGTTCATCTGCAGAGGGTGATGTCAAAAGTGACAAAGTCAATGACTTAGAAACGTTTTATTTAAACTCTGTTTCTCATACGACTGAACTGCCATTTCATCATGGTTCGTGGATTCAGCGCTCGAGTCGTTTTTTTCTGCTTTTTCCTATCCTTTGCTTGTTTTTGCCATGACGGTGGCGGTTCGCGATTCACCAGGCGACAGCACAAAACAAAATCGATTCAAATGAAAAATAATTGGAAAATTGAGCAAGGCAGATGGACCCCAAACGATAGCGACGACGCTCTGTCGAAAATCTATCGTTTAAAGAATAGAGGAGCAGGTAACTATTACAATACTGTATTGAAATATTCGCATTTTGAATACATTTTGATTATAAGAAATGTTATTTATTAATCTTAAATGCATAATTTTCAAAGGAACTGGGAGAGAAGAATCCCGAATGAATAAAGGCAGACTAAAAAGCTTCGCAGAAGAAGATATTTTAGAACCCAAACCTAATCGAAAGAATAAGAGGAAGTCTAATCGAAAGAATAAGAGGAAGAAGTTACTGACCCCGTTATTCCATCCATATGGAGAATGGCCCAAGTTTGTTGCGAAAAACACACCTGCCTTGGAATTTCGAAGTTTTAACAACGCTGGTCAGAAAGCAGATGGGGAAAATTTCGTTTCTTCCACAGCACAGCACTTTCGGAAGAGGCGTGACACTTCAGCCGTATCAGAAAGTGAGGTGGATCCAAACGAGTGCTCCAATTATACCTTCACCATAAAGTATGAAGACGAATACAGAGTATGGAACAATTTCTCAATAATTTACAGAGGGCAGATGTACTATTATTATCAGTACAGATTGACGAATCATGGGCTAGTAGTTTGTCATTCTTTCGACCAGAGCGTTCAGCAAAGTTGGGCACAGTCGACCCACTTCGAAAAGGAGGATATGGCTTACAAACGCTGCAATGTCTCCGTGGACGGCTTTTTCTGGCCGAATTTCACGTTATACAAGAATTTCAGTGTTTTCTTGCCAGCTACAAAGCAGTTATTCAACCATTATGATTATGGGGTTTTTGGCACATACCTCATAATTTGTTCAGCAAAGTTGAGTTTATCCTGCAATTATCATTTATTTAAGGTAAATTACGGCGAACAATACTTTGTTTG